CTTAGATAGCTAGGTAATAACAGAAATTAGGTAAGAAAATACAACTGATATATTATCCGAAAGTAAACATTGAAATGGCTTCTTGGATATAGTGACGCTTCTCGACCGGTCTCATAACACGCATGAACGACGCAGACCCAAGCAAGATGCATCTATGGGGCTTCTCAACACAACTTGTAACTTGTGTTGTCTTCGATGTAGAATACAGTATAGGTAGACACTAGCCGGCTTCTCTATCGTTATTGTCCATTATCAACCTTCGTACTAATTACATTCATTATCTTTAAAATCGCATTTCACGCCCTTTTATGTGTAGTTATAACAAATATGCATACTTATTACTTACTGGTTTAGTCTTTGACCCACTTCCAGATTATTTTTAAAGGTAATAGGCAAGATAATATGCCTATAGGCTATGTCAGCCCTTGTGACATTTATGTTCGTACTAAAATCTGAGCTGTTTTAAAATTTATGAAGACTGTATTTCAAATGAAAAGTGAGATATAGCGTGAAAATTACAGTATGCAGGATCATAATATCGTAGTCCTCCAGAATGGCAACTTATGGGTGACCAAGAGCCTCACATGATGATGTGATTTCCATATGATTTTTTTTGTAGGTAATACCTATATATAGGCAACGGGTACCACTTACCATCTTACATCTTACATGACATTCTAATTAAATAAAAATTCTGTTAAGTTTTTAAGTAATCTTCGCTCTGTCGACTGAAGTAACTTGGTTATCTACTAACCATTTTTGTTTAAAAAGAATATAAATTGGAAGTAACGCAACTACATTATGTAATTATATACCTAGTTAAATTTGGCAGTATGTAATTTTATTGTCTCGGTGTGTTCACCGAGACAATAAAATTACATACAATAATTATAATTACATAACAATAATTCAAACTTATTGACATTTAGGAACAAACTAAATTTACGTGTGTTATTACAAAATTTAATAGCCGTTCTCATTAGAGGCCTATTAACTTTGTTTAATCAATACTTAGATTCTAAAAGATACTATATTGTAGTTATAGGTATTATTGCTTTGTTTGAGAAATAAATGAAGGCTCCGTTATTGAAGTCCGATAAAAATTACTATTTCACAGTGCCCAGATTTAAGTTATTTCAATAAAGATTATTTCTCTATCTTTATTATATACGTTATTGTTTTATTTTACTTCCACAGTGCCCAACCGCCGAAACAAATCTTCGGCGCGACGGAGAATGGTGACATTTTTTTAAAATAAATTAATTATAGGTACAGTTATATGCGTATCTGGTGCTCGCTATTTGATACGAGTGACGGAACACTGATATTTGCTGAAGTATTTATTAATATAGTCACTCAACTATAAAATAATGAGAAGAATTACAGCAGAAGTGCGCGCGGCGCGAAACTACATACATAAAATGAAAAATTGGTCGAATAAGTAGCTCCACTCTGCTTGAGTCAGCAAATTCGAGATCATGTATGCTCATTGCTAACAATCAGGTGAATAGTCCCTCTTACAGATAGTCCGTCCACTCTCACCTATAGGTACCTAATAGTAGGTATGATTATATTATTTTATTATAATTATAGGTATGATTTTCTATATTACCCAATTTTACATTTATTGCAAACCTAATTTACACACTACCCAGATATATAGCTAACTCGGTCATTCACGTTTATATTAAATCATCCGAAACTAAAATCAAATTAAGCTATTTGTTTAGACAACATGTCTGAATTACCGAGACTGCAGAGCGTACATCAAATGGTTAAATTTTATGATCAAGACGCTCTGCTAGCGGCACTTTGAAATCGAGTAGCGCCATCACGTCCATATGTTTCCTCGAATTAACGTCTGTTTTCTACGAAGAAAACGACTGTCATAAAATGTTATGGATTACTGCCTACATAAAACAATATTAACTGTTTGTTTATAATGAAAAAAGGACATTAAAGAACCTGCAGCAAGGAAATTAGTATTGTAGTAAACATGTAGGTATATACTCTGGGCGGAAAGCAGGCCAATTATATCAACCTACTTATACTATATATCAGTGTGCGTATATAATATAATCTGTATCTATATTTAATATGTAGGTATGACAAAAATATTCTTGAAATATTTACTTATTTTGGTATTTCATTCACTCATTAAGATCTAAGATACATAGGTGCAGCATAAGAAATGTATACCTACCCTCATCTGTATTTGATAATAACAATGTTCTAATGTCTAGAGTATGTGAATGGTTGACCTTAACCAACGCACCACTCAGCTCTGCAGCAAAAAAGCAGTAAGGGTAAATCAAAATTTATTTAATCAAATTTCACGTCAAAGTATTATAGAGATTCGTTACTCGTAACTTACTCTTTACTCAGTATGCGCAGATATGTATGATATGAAAAACTTGTACAGATTATACAGGTTTTTTTATATCATAGGGCCATACGGACTTACGGCACATCTGACGCTAACTGATTCCCGTCGCCCATTTTCGCCTGCAATATCAGGGAAGTTGTCGATAAGACGAAAGCTTTTGTAAATAGGAATTATTCTTTTCTTAAAGGTTTCAATCATATCATATGAGTTCGAAAATATCATTCATTTCTGGGAACTGACAAAAAGCTCAGCCTTTTTTCAATTCGTAGGTACAGTTGCGAAGGAGGTTATTTTAATTTCTAGCGGGTTGTGCGAATATTGAATTCAGCAGTAATCCAAATAATTACAGAGAATAGAACACTCTCCACAATATGTACCTACTGTCGAATCTGTCAATAAGACGTTATTCAACGATTCTAACTGCTCGCTTCTGAATTGGGTCAAATACAAGTAGTTGACATTGTGGATCTTCAGCCCAAAATTAGATCAATATGTCATATGCAATCAGATATGTATCTCGTATAAACAATACAAACGATGGGCCAGCGTGAAATACTGTCTGGCTCTAAGAGGACACACCTAACTTTTTAGAGCCTGTTTTTAGCCTTTGTGTTCTTTGCAACAACTCTATAATCTGTATTCACTTGTCATATTTTTTTGGTATAGATAAGTCATACTTGAAATAGGCATAGCAACAGTAGGCATGACTTAATATACTCGTACCTACCTAAAGATAGAATATGTAAAAGTCAAAAGTACCTATTACAACAGTATGTAAATTTCTTTTTTAATATAAAAAATTTTTTGATTCCATTTCATACAATTCTATTTAAATTAGTCTATTTACTACTTTTATTGATTTACAATTACTTATTTGTTATTTAATCTGCTAATAATTATTATTGATATTTTGTGATTTTTGAACACCAAGTATTTTATTTTTCTCCCCTACAATAGAATAACTATAATAGAATAACTAAAGATTTGTTATATATTATAATATATAACAAATCTTTTTGTACGCCCCACCTAAGCAAAATTTTACTCCATCTTTGTCCCGTGCTCAAAACTTGTCATTGACTGCGATTTTCTTATTATTTCATAAAAACTACTAAAGTTCGAACAAAGTTAAAATTAAGTTAACTTATTTCTAAATTTCTAATAGGTACCTTTGAACGCTTCTTTCGTTTGCACAAAACTATGTAGATCACATACCTACTTAATATCACATATAAATACCTCTACATATAGGTAGTAACCTTTAATAATTTTGTTGTCATCTAATATACGGTATACCTACCCATAGCTAAGTATTATGAATGAAGATAGATAAGGGATAAATCTCGGGCCACGTGCAGGATAATCCCAGCTAATTGCGAACACCCGCCGCGCTTATCCGGGATCATCAGGTACTCAAATTCGAAGTGGGTATATCTGAGAGGTATTAATGATTAATTATTTAAAACTTGCCTTTATCCATTTATTTATAATTAATAAATTTATATATTGTAGTTTATTAATTGTTAACAATTTACAAAAAAAATTGTATATTGGCGGGAGACGTTTATTAGAAATAGGGATTGGTTACTTCATTGCTAGCAATGTACCGTGCCTGGTCGATCTCCACGCGGTTCCCACCAAAAACTATTATTATGGTGAATTACCTGACAAATATGTTTCCATTACAATTTAAATTTTCCATATTCAATAAATGACTGATTAAATCGAGTGACAACGGTGCTCAAATCGCATTACTATTACTGTGTAATATTATCTTAACTGCGCTAGCTAATGCCAACTAGTACGGTGTTTTTATTTCAAACTATTTATACCACATGTGCTGCCTGTCAAATGTAGCAATTGTTAATGAAGCAACTGTCACCCGCACCATGCTACAGCGCACATAGTATAGTCTGTAGTATCGCTAGAGTTAACTCTATGGCCGTTTTCAGTGTACGACTATCTGGTTTTAATTGCTCTGTGCCTAAATCTACAATTTCACCTGTCTTGTTTCACTATTGGCAAAAAACCCTGGTTTATTCAGGGAAAAAATTTTTAGAGAGAAGATTTTATACTCAAATTTGTCGACTGCGATTTGGACATTGTAAATTCAATGCACATTTACACCGAATGAAGATCATTAATTCTCCGATTTGTCTTTTATGCTCTAGTAACGAAAATCAAACATTAGAACATTTATTTTTATATTGCCTGGTCTTTAATTTAAACAGAATTTTGCTCATTGCCAAGCTTCAAGAACTATATAAGATTATTCAGCCATCGCTTCAAGAACTATTCAAATGCACTGTAACTTTTAAACCAATTTACGACTTTATCATAGCAACTATCGGAGAATTATAAACATTTCAATTATGGACTTAACACAAACTTATAATTAATGAAAAGATTTGGCGATATCGCCTTGAAGAATTTTTGTAATTTCATGGAAATACTACTGAAGATTAGGCTGTATGGTCTCGTACCTTTGCCTATCCACTTGTGGATAAAATATACCACTACTACTACTGTCTTGTTTCTATAAATAATATTTCATTATTATTTATTTGTATACATTTTCTTTTTGTTCTGGTAGACACACTTCTTCTTAAAGAAGTGTGTCATTATTTAAATAAAATATAAAATGAGTGAAGAATTAAATAGCAACGTTAAAGAAATGAGACAGTTGTATTCTATGTTCCACCAAGAATATACTATAATGGCAGAGTAGTAAGTAATTGTTTGAAAGTAAATCTCTCAAAACTTTGGTGTATTTTAAGTTGTTTAAATTAACGGTAGGTCATAATTTCATAATAACATAATAATTACTGATTTTATTTCAGTCGTATGCTCCAAACTGAAAACTTGCAAGGTATTTACGTTATACCTTCATATGAAAACTCACTCAGTAAGTAATATTGCGAAATTACTTGTCTCATTATTCGTTCTAAAACAATTTATTATGCACATATTTTCAAATTAACCATTCTATTTTCAGTATGGTTCGGTGTAATCTTTGTTAGAACTGGCCATTATGAAGGAGGTGTTTTTAGATTTACATTGGCTTTACCAGATAAGTTTCCAGATGATGATCTTCCTGTTAGTTGACAATTAAAATAATTATCATTATTGTTTATCGTATGTAATATTCACAAGCCTTATATTAATTTGTATTCATAGGTTGTAACATTTGTATCAAACCTGTATCATCCAGCTGTGGAGCCTAATACTGGAATTCTACATTTAAATGAAGTTTTTCCACAATGGGACAGGAAGCGCAACCATGTTTGGCAGCTTTTAAAATACATATACTGGATATTTCATAACTTGAATATTAAAGTGCCAGCAAATGTAGAAGCTTCAGTTGTGTAAGTTCAATCCTATTTATGGTAGTCTAAATACTAACATTGTAGCTATGCAACACCTCAAGTATATGAAGGAGGGTAACAGAAACTAATGCTCTCTAACAATATTCTAGAGAATTTAATGCTACTAGTTTTCTGAATTGTACAAAAACATACATTAGTATTTACTACTTGCAATAGCTGATTTACCAAAAGCATTAATCAATATAGAATAATATCATTGCCTGTCCTGTATCCCATTATTTGGGGTCTGCGCAGTATGTCATTCTCTTCTACTGCTCTCTATCGGTCATCGGTATATTGGTATCTAAGACTTCTTTTATTCATATCATCTTTCACACAATCCATCCATCTTTTTTTAGGGTGTTGTCTCCCTTTACATCCATCCACATACATATTATACACTATAGAATATTATATTAATTATAAGAATGTCATCAGAAACAACAACTTACATTATATCAACTACTGCTTTTCTTTATTATATTTGTGTGCTCAGGTTTTTCTAAATGTCAATGTTTTTTTTTTGTTACTTAAACACTAAATAGACACACTGGAAGCTAAATATGAACAGGTTAAGAACAACTTTAGTAATGTGAAGCCTTATGACTGTGTTTATGTATAATAATAAAAATACTACCATATTTATTTTTTAATGTCTCTTGAGGAATATATAAATTTAGGCTTAACCATGCATTTTCTTTTACAGATACAAAACTAACAGAAAAGCATTTATAGACAAAGTGAAAGAATGTGTAGCATCAAGTATTGATCACATTTATGATGATCCCCCTATAGATGACAAACATTACATAACTTTTAAACCATATGATCCAGAGGTTCATGACACTGCCAAAAATGTAATGCTCAGACCACCGAAACCAAATGAAGGACTTTCACAAGGAATATCTTGGGTACAGCCAGGGTCATACCAACCTTTTTCTAAAGAGGAAACAACATGAGCAAGTAGTATTAATGGATATAATATTTATTTATTTTGCCATATAAGGTATCTGTGATAATAATAATTCAAAATAATATTTTTCATGATTTTATTTTCATAACAAATAACATTCTAAATTATTGATATTGTAATTTATATTGTCTTAATAAAATTACTAACAAATAATATACACCATAATATGAATAATTATCTAGACCTATCTTATTATTTTTTTAAGTACATAGGAATTGTTAATCAGGATCTGTTTTTATTTTCACATTAAACTTTTCAATTTTGTCAGAAAACCAATTCTTGTCTAGTTCATATGTTTCATTATTCCAGATAAAATGTGTAGGTGATAGATTATTCCCATTGTTAAACTTAAAATGTTTACTAAGCTCTATTGCCAGTTTCGATCGTATCAATCCAATTCCTCCATATTTATCATCTGCAGGATGATAGATTCTGCCTGTATTTGACATATATATTTTTTCGGGTAGAAATTGTGTTTTCAGTAAATCTCCAGCATAACCATATGTTAAAAAATATATGCCACTACTGTTATTAATCAAATGGGTATAAACTATTGGGACATCATCACATCTAATATAATTTCTCTCCCTTCCACATAATGACACAAAAGGAAACTCATCTTCATATCTTCCAGTAGTATTTAATTTAACTCTCTTGAAGAAAAACTCCAAAAATTTCTTTTCTTTGTAACATGAAGTAAAATTTTTCATTTTAGAATCATCCAAAAATAACTAGAAAAAATAAATAAGTAAACAAAGCAACAAAAACAGAAAAAAACAAGTTATCACGACATAAATGAATGTGGGTTAGGGATATTAGAAAAAGATGCCATTATTTTTATTTTATTTCATATGCAAGGGTAAGAAAGTATTAGATCATTTTATGCCACTACTGACAATTAGAGATTTAAAGAACAAGATAAGTAGATGAGTGGGTTGCCTTAGAGCAATAGAATCACACCCATCCCACATGCTGAGTAAATTCCATTTCAGGTGCGAATCTGAGAGCCTGTATTTGAAGCAGTACTAGGCCCTAAGGAGAGCACAAGGCCTATGGCGTCAGCTATAATAAGTATAAGTAATGCTTCAGACAAATTTCTCCAGAGTTGTCCTTGAAGTCATGATCCATTAAGTCAATCTGAACATATTACACAGTGTAAAGATGAAGGGTTATGTTCTGATAGGCTTTCAACCACTCTTTCAATGTATAGGCATTGATGGGTTGCATAGTCCAAAAGTTAATCCTCATCCCCAGCTGCAGCAAGTCAAGATGAGTTGAAAAAGCCCGGCATATACTGAGACATGTTGCCGGCACAATCTATTTATGGCCCAATCATCTACAATGGGTTAATGTTGACACATCCAAGGGAATAATTTATAAAAAATGACATTGATAATTACATATTTTATAAATTATATTATTTGTTTCATACTTTGGTCTAACAAATATCTGCATATTATTATTTTTCTCAATATCTAATGTACAGATATTGTATGTATTGCCTGTTACAATGTATAGATACTAAATTCTCTTGACGTAATTTCCAAAACCATTTCCCCAACAAATCCGCTTACTAAGGTTTCTAAAAATTGCTGATAAAATTACTATTTCTAATTAATTAACAATAAAACAAATAGTTTAGTTAAATAATGTACTATGATAAATACTGGAGCCTACTATGTCAATGGAAAATCGAGAATACATCCAGCTTCATCTTACCATTCCTTGATGGTCGATGTAATAGAAATATTCTCTAATATTTGGTACGGGTTCCTGCCCTTGTTTATAGGTTATAAATCTACTTTGTATATTGGGAGATTTTATAAAATTAAGCTTTTGACACAAACTCTGTATGATTTTCATTTTTTATCCCGGAATAAATATTTTTTTATCTGTTAGACAAATTTGACATTACCTATGGTACCTAGCTATGTTGCCATCATATTGACATTTTTTTTATTTATTTAATATTTTACGGCTCTGGATATAAGTCTTTTTAGCCCAACAAAGTTTTACGATATAAAGTACAAAAACTTAAAAACAATCAGAATTTCTTCACAGTATTGGAACATATTGAGATTCTTAAATAGTGTTGGGTGCTGTCAAAGTTGTGTTTATTCAAAACTCATTAACACAAAATTAATGAATTTTTGAACGTTAGAACAATCACGACATGAACAGATTCATGACATTTTATTATATTTATCGAAATTCGTAACAAAAAGATTTATAACATTTACTCCCCTAAATAATTATAAGGACCTAAATAATTATAAGGCTTTATCACAATATTTTTTTATTGACATGTTGACTAAAACAGAATTATATTATATATACCATATTATAACTATTATTTTTATAAAATACCTTCGTATGGTGACATTTCATAAAACACATATGTTTCACGGCCGCGGTGGTCTAGCGGTTTAACATACCGCCTTACTTCCAATGCTCACGGGTTCGATTTCTCCCACGGTACGAACATTTGTATTCTTGAGTATGATTGTTTGTATCAGTCTGGGTGTTTTCAATGTATAATATGTATGTATTTACAAAAATAATATATTTGTGTATTTGTATTAGTTCTCTGGTACCCATAACCGAAGCTCTAGCTAACTTAACTTGGTTCTAGATGGCACTGTGTATTTGACTTGAAATTATTATTATTATTATATTATGTTTAAAATATTTATCTGCTTGAAAGAATAAAAAATAGTTGGATTGTACCTGTTACTTTTTATCGTAAAAATAAAAATAATTGGGGAACTACATAAAAATATTTTTGTACTGTTTAATTCAAACACAGTAATGGAACAATAGTGTACGTACGAATATTGTGGAAATATGTTCTGTAAACTTCGTATAAAACTTTAAACTAAACGTTTATACTATATTTTTAAATAAATAAATACGATTGAACAATTCTGTACCGTAAGTACAGCACTATATCGCTGCAGCTAGTAACATTTGAAATTTGGATTAATAAAAAAATAATGTCATTTACATCCCTCAGTCTAGTCTTCGAAATAAACAAAATATAATATATTAATGACCATAAACACAATAGCGATTTATCTCACAAATATCACATATTAATGTTACCAGTGTGGCCAATTTGGCATATTTTATGCTAAATTTAGCATATACGATATTTAGCATATTTATTTGTCGTTTAGCATATAACATATTTTTTAGCATATTTTGATCATGAAATAAAACGATTCTAATAATAACACCTTTGCAGATTTAGCGATATCGTTACTGTCACTACCACATTCCAATGCAGAAATTAAACGAGATTTTAGTCAAATGAATATAGTTAAAAACAAACTTCGCAACCGTTTATCAATAAAATTTAAATGCCATTTTGTGCATCAGATTCGGTTTAAAGAAGGCCTTTGCTATTCTTACACCATTCCGGATGAAGTTCCGCGATCTATAGGTAACATGAAGAGTTACAATTTTAGCGTCTATATTGTTACCGCTATTATTTGTGTTTATGTTGTGTTCTTGTAGCAGCAGCGGAAAAGAAGGAGGTGAAATGATGAGTCCAGATTGTTGTTATGTACATATTTATAATTACGAAATATTTACAATGAATATATAGGTATGTACAGGAAAGTGATTCGGTCTCGAATGACAAGCTTGTTATTCTTCTTGCCCCATCGTAACTAGGCAACGGTGTTGCCGCACGATGATAGTAGATTCGCCACACAGTTTCGACAATCAAGCTTCCAGATCTACATCAGCAACACCATCCGTCCAAAATGAAGACCAAGATATTGATATCTTATTCAAAAACATAGCTGATTAAAACATAAAAGTCTAGATTTTGTTGATTATTAAAGAATTACAATTAAATGACATATTGACATTGTGACAAAATGTTAGCATAATTTTATGACATTTAGCATAATTTTGGTATAATATTAAGAACAATTTAGCATATTTTTTTTGTAGTTGTGTTGGCAACACGGAATGTTACCTGTTTAGAGTATTATGTTCCTTGTATTTAGCTCTATCGTCACAGAGTATATAAACCTACTGTGGATTATGGTATAAGAAATATTAATATTGATAATGAACCTCGTTCATCATAAAATAATATAATAAAAACAACAAAGAAAGTGTAATCTTTACTATAGTTTCTCAAACACTTTAATTTAAACCAAAATGCTATTTTCAGATACAATGATGTCTCTGATCATATTATTACTCTTCTGTGCTGATTACTGTCACTCTACTCTTACATCAGTTTGTGTCATATTGTCAAATTCCTACAATAAAAAAATATGTGTACACACCACAGTTCTTTAATTTAAATAAAATATATTATTTGTAATACAAAACAGTACAAAAGTATTTTAAAACTACTTGCAGAATATTTGTATATAGACACTATTCATTTTACCTTAATTAGGATTTCGTTTAAATCCACAAGGTTAAACACTTATACTTGGAATGGATTTATGTATAAATATTTACTAGTAAATGCCATGGAATCCATTCGTAGGTCATGGAAACTGCGTACGTATTTAATCACTAAATCTATATATCATAAAAATAATTATGACTTCTATTTGTACATATGTAGATGTTACATTTTTTTGCTGCAGAAGAATTCGTCGCCCACAAAGCAAATGTCAATTGCTTGGCAATGGGACACAAATCGAATCAAGTCTTAGCAACTGGAGGTGACGATAAAAAAGTTAATTTATGGGCTATTGGTAGACAGAGCTGCTTGATGGTGAGTAAAAATATTAATATTAAGTTCAACAAGACTCCTACTTGAGGTTGAATTGTATTTGGCAATGTTTTACTTGATTTTATTTCGTTCAACTACTACTCACAAACTATTGAAATTTAAAAAATAGATGAAATTTATTTATAAACAAAACTAATACATTTAAAAATTATATCTGTATTATTTTATCAGTAATGTTATAAAGATATATTAAACTATACACTTAATACATACATACAGTTCTACAAAATACTAAATGAACCTGCTTTATTTAAATTAGCTTCAGCACCTGTTAAAGTAATAATTCATATAAAGATGCTATATTAAAATCTTCAATAAACTGCCAAATCTCATGATTGATGCCCGATGTAGGCATTTAATAACTTGAACTTTTATTGTTTTGAGAAACTTGAAATAAAATGAATGAGTTTGAATAAATAGTTTAAAATTATTGCCTTAGACCCATTTTCTTTTGATCCTGTATCAGAAAACATATCTCTTCTATTATTATTTTTCACTAAATTTCATTGAGTCATTAAATTTTTGAACTATCAGCAGTGAGTACATTATACTGAAACTTGATAATTTGATTTTTTAATCAAATTTCATGACGAAACAATGATAATAATTATATGTTTAATTGAACTAAAGCATAATTTGTAATGTATTTTATATTATAGTATAAAATGTATAAGAGTAAATTAATCATATCCATTCTTATTTGCATTAATTTATTGTTTTCTATGAGAGAGAGAGAGAGATTATTCATTTGGTGTATAAATATAGGAAGGAAAGAAAACACTACCCTTTTATTTAAACCTACACAAAAAACTTCAGTTGCAGTTAGTAACCAAAATATGAATTGTAATTGAGATCATAAAATAAAAATTTAGTTCAGACAGAATAATAAAAATATTATCTTAAAAACAGTACTTAAAAATTACCATTTTGTTATAATTTTCATATCAGTCAGCTAGCGAATCTTCTATAAAATATAAGGTTTACTTTATTTTTTAGAGTCTAAGTGGTCACACAACTCCTGTAGAATGTGTTTGTTTTGGACATTCTGAAGACTTAGTATGTGCAGGCTCACAAACCGGTGCTTTGAAAATTTGGGATTTGGAAGCAGCTAAATTATTAAGAACATTCACGGGACATAAAGGGGCAATAAAATGCATGGATTTTCATCCATATGGGGATTATCTGACAACTGGGTCATGTGATAGCAATATAAAATTATGGGATACCAGAAAACGTGGATGTATTGTAACATACTCCAGTCACAGACTTGCTGTTAATAGCCTACAGTTCAGCCCTGATGGACAATGGATTGCCTCCGCTTGCGAAGATGGTCAGTATCTTCTATCAGTTCATTTTTTTCACATTCATAAATCAGTTCTTCACTCCCATATGGGTATCAAAGAATATTGTAGAACACAATTTGAAAAATTGATGTACATTACATAAAAATGTGTGTTATTAATAAATACCTAAATGATTATGGTAAAATTAAAGACATATGTAGTACATGTATACGTATTATTATATGGATAAAAAAATAATGATTTCATTAACCTTCTAATTTATTAACTTATTTATTCATATAAAGGTGTTACCTAGAAGATGATAAGACATCGGCTAGGGCCAGTTCTCATATACCAATTATTACTTTCGATTGCTAGTTACTACTAATATTAAAATAGGAACCGACAAGTAACATGTTTAGAACTTGCGAAGGCTACAGTATATTTCGTATATGAAAACTAGCCAAGTTAGACCTTAGGCTACAGTATATTATCCTAAGTTATAAGAAGAAATGATATTTTATATTGTTATAAATACATTTCAGGACAGACCATTGAACTTGGCACCCATTTCGATCTCATCTCTTTTGTCGTAGAAGTCAACAATCAAGCCATATATCATAATATTAAACTCGGCTATCATTTCACATTTATGTTTTAATGGGATATCATTACTTTTTGTACATAAATTATACGAGGTACTTATTTATAACTAAATTAATACCAAATTATTTTTGATAACTGTATTTTCGTATATTTACGGGGTATAATTGTCTATTTTTTGTGTTATTTTCTATATTTTCTTGTAACTTTTAAATGTTCAAGTGCAATGCCAATTCAGTATCAGGAATTTTTGGGAAAATCGGGGCGGTATAACGTCCACAGATCTACAATAGAGCTCTCGTGACTTGGATCTAAATTGTTAAGACGTACTCCATCTAAGGTTTTAAGGGGGTCTTCCTATGTGACGGCCTGTTTTTTAGGGATATTTTAGGATTTTTTTTCTACGACCAGTAAATATTTAGAGCTTCAAGTTTTTTATCATTTATTAACACATATTTGGACAGTATAAATATAAAATTTCAGCTAAAAATATTCAGTCAAACTAGAGTTACAGCGCTCTGAACACCCCCGCCTCGAAAAAAAGAGCTCCCACTTCCTCCACGATTCCGGCTGATCGGCTTATCTGAAAAAAAAAAAAAAAAAACGGCGTTTTAATTTGTAGGCTTAAAAGCACGGAATGACCAATAATCAAATGAATATAAAAAAAATTGGATTTTTGATAGACATTTGAAATAAAAGTTGCAAATTAGGCGTTTTTTTTTTTTTTTTTGCTATAAAAAAATCGAAGTTTTGAAAATTTTCGATTGATAATAGTTCATTCCATGCGTTTACATATATTGAGTGTGCCCTGTAAATTTCAAGTAATTCGGTCCAGCCGTTTCTGAGATACAATGGAGGAAAGTTTGAAAAACACAGTTTTGAGAAAAACGCGTTTAAAGTTTCAAGTCCGTTAAAAACTATTAAAATATCAACTTACTCTCAATCGGCGATGCCTGGTCCATAGAGTATTCCTTCCTCTTCCTCGTGAAACTCTTTTAAAGCAGATTGTTCAGCTCTTGAGTCAATCCTGGCTTGTTTAACGACATCACTTACGCGCCGCTCAGAGCGTAAGATTCGCTTTTCATCCCGTTTCTCAACATACGCTTGGGCTTCACGACCAACAGGGCATCCCATAATCGACATAACTTTTAAAATACCTTGAAAACCTTCATTAAAGATAATAACTGCTAAGTAGCTAGCAATTTCAACAACTTTGGGACCAGAATGAAGATGTTTAGGAGCGAAAGTCCAAATCAAAGAATTCAAAGATTCGTTATTGTTTTGTGTCTCTGCTTCTAAACAACGAATTAATAATTCGTTGTTTAGGAGTTTTACATATAACTATTTCAGAGATTGCAGCAAATACAGAAACAAACTCCAAAATGCAATATGCGAAATTCGAAGCGATGGGAACATTCATGTTCATGTTATTTTTAAGTTTTTTGGCCGAAGCTGATGTAAATACCGTATCATTTTGGTGGGTAAAACGGTTTCCACTAAACTTTCTTTTTTTACTACGACCAGGATGAACATTTCCACTCGTACTTCCTTTCCGTCCACTCATTATGAAAAAAAATAATTTGTAGCTGTTGCTCTCTTCGAAGTTCAACCAAGACTAAAATAACTTCGGTAAAATATTATAACAATAGAAATTTCTGTTTAAGTCTGTAGAAACGTGTCTAAACTTGTATAAACAAATATATTAATAAAAGGGAGGCCAGGTATAAAGCCGACGGTACACAATAGGCCCGGTCTCTAACTGCCAACTCACCGCTCCGAACCGCTCTTTCTTTTACCTGCTGTATCTTTAAAACGACTTCGAATTTTCTAAAATCGCTTTACTACCGTATTCTAGACATGTTAAGGGAGCAATTTATGAAAAAAAAAAATCGATTTTTCAACCCATCACATAGGAAGACCCCCTTAACTCTGGAGAGTCCAACGTAAACCTGCCCTTTATTAAATATAGAGGAGCCTATGTTGAAAAGAGGACTGCCAAAACTAAGGCTTTGTGATTTGTGGATAGTAATAGCATATGTTAAGCAAATACGGAATTGTTCTCTTTCAACATATACATTATTTAATATCTGAAACTTCGTATTGACACGTTATAGTTCATAAAGACGATTATGTAACAAATTGACTGTTATCTATTGAATTTTCAAGAAAACAATTTGTTACCAATGAGTTCTCATTCTCGAGTTAACTATACATTCCTACTTATAACTGTACTAAAATTATTATTAATTTTTGGTTTAAACTATTGTCTATACCATACGTATTTACTAAAATAATGTAATAATAATATAACCACAAATATATAAGTATAATTTAAGAAAGCTATGAATTTCGTAGCATAAATCGCAACCTTATAGGTTAGATATCGAGAAACAAAACATTGAGACATATGAGGCTGCCATTCGCTCGGACAGGTTCGCGTCAACGTTTTATCGCACCGCTCCCACACAGCGCCGCCGCGGCGCCCTATACCGAAATGCCTATTATTTAATAATTATTTATAAAAATAATGATTTTACACTATCGATGTGCGCTAAATATTGAAACAATAATTAATACCAAATCTCAGTTAATAACATAATAAATACGACATTCGACTATACACCTAGTTATAAGTACGAGTATATTTTAGACAGAATCTAAATTATAGCAACTAGTGTTTACCGCTCAATGCAATATTTGAATTTTGCTAGTTATCGACACTGATGTGAAGGGGTCAACGTAAATTGGTAATGATGACGTTTTCATACAATATTACTTTACGTCCAGTACAAGATGAGATATTTTCGCTAGGGATCAATGTCAATTGGTGGCTATCGACGTTTTCATAGAATTTTAGTATTCGTCCAGTATAAGTTGAAATAGAATCAATTAAAGTGAAAAATTGTAGTAAAATGATAACAATTTACCAGTTTCAGATTTTTTCCTTTATATTCACCTAATTACCTATCTGCATGCCAAATTTGAACTTCCTAGGTCATCTGGAAGTGGGTTATAATTTTGATCTATAGTTGATCAGTGATAAAAATGTCGATTTTTGGACATTAATATCTAAATAACCGTTTGAGATATGTTTATGAAATTTGGAACACATATTTATCTCGCAAGTCTCAATATATGAACCAAATTTGACAGGTTTGTGTGAAAGAGTTTTTGAGTTATGAGGGGGTCAAAAGTGGCTCCAAATGGTTCGTGTAAATATACACACGGTGCTGCTTGCCAGTTTACTTGAAACTCGGCTTGACACGCTACCGCGTGTCTAGATATTAAATAGTTTTGCTTCCAATCTCAACCAAGTTGTATCTTTTAATGGCGACTGAGGAAAATAAATGTAATTTTGCGAAAATGATGTAAAATATTAATAATATAGTGCTTCCGGAACATTTTAATCCAAAAACAGACAAATGGAGTGACTATAAAGAACAATTACTGTGTGCTCTCGATGCCGCTGGCTATGGTAAACAGAACATTGATAAAGCTCGTTCATTGTTCTTATCTCAATGTGGAAAATTATTAGCTGTGAAGTGCAACTTTTCGGACTTAGAACGTCAGTTGAGGGACAGGCTGGTATTAGGGGTGAATGATGTGCGCTTGAAAAGGGGAATTGTGGGGAGAATAACCTCCCAGTAATTAAAGCAGAGGTGAGGATAGATGGAGTGAATATTTCTATGGAAATAGATTCTGGAGCTTCAAGAACAATAATATCAGAAGAAATTTACCACAAATTATGGGTTACACCACCCCCACTAATTCCTACCAACATAAAATTGGTGACATGGAGGCGTGAACCACTGAAAGTGTTAGGACTGGCTAACGTTCGAGCTAGTCTTGGTGGCAAAGAGGCACAATGTGAGCTGTTGGTGATAACAGGCAAAGGGCCAAGTTTATTAGGAAGGAATTGGTTCAAGCCTCTGGCGATACATATTTCTGGATTGTGCTGGACCTATGATGAATTAACATCCCTCACAAATAAAATTCCAAGTTTATTCAAGAATGAATGAATAGGTGAATATACTGGTCCAGAGGTTTCTTTGCATGTACGGCCTGAGATACCACCAAAATATTTCAAAGCTCGACCAGTGCCATTTCCACTCAAGCAACAGGTGGAAACTACTTTAATACAAATGATTGATGACGGCGTTTTGACACCAGTGTAGTATTCAAAATGGGCCACACCTATTAGAGTTGTTAAAAAAGAGGATGGCAGCTTACGCATATGTGGGGATTATCGTGCCACAGTTAATGTTGCTATAAATACAGACACATACCCACTGTCCACATCAGCCGAAGCTTTTGCAAAATTAAGTGGAGGACGGGTATTTAGTAAACTTGACCTGAAGCAAGCATATACACAGGTGAAAGTGGATAAAGAGACAGCTAATCTATTAACACTAAATACCCACATGGGATTAATGAGGATGAACCGTTTGGCATTTGGTGTGAGTGCAGCACCAGCAATTTTCCAGCGTTTAATGTCAACAGCATTTGCTAACATGGAAGGAGTAGCATGTTTGCTCGATGACATTGCTGTCTGTGGAAAAATATGCAGGAAAATAATGGAAGATTATGTATGGTATTAAGTAAACTGTATTCTATGGGATTTCGCCTTAATTAAAAAAAAAATGAGTCTTTGCATCAGACAGCATAACCTTTTTAGGACACATGATTGATGGCGAAGGACTACATCCATCTCCATTAAAGGTTAAGGAGATAAAAGAGAAACCTGCACCCCAGAATAAGGTATCATTAAGGGCATTTTTAGGCCTGTACAATTTTTATGAAAAATTTTTGCCTGACAAGGCAACTATTCTGGAACCATTGTACAGACTATTGGACTCAAAACAACCCTGGATGTGGAGTGTTGTAGAACAAGTGGCCTTTGACAAAGCAAAAAGTCTTCTGTCATCGGATTTGACATTAGTTGGATATGAATTAAACAGAACATTGCTGTTAATCTGTGACTCTTCTGATTATGGTCTAGGAGCTGTGATGGTTCATGTAATAGATGATGGGTCAGAACGACCAATTATGATGGCTTCTCGAACTCTTCAGCCACATGAGCGGAGCTATGGACAAATTGATAAGGAGGCCCTTGCTATTATATTTGGTATCACAAAATTTCATGAGTATCTGGCTGGTCGTAAATTTGATATTATTACAGACCATAAGCAGCTTGTTGGTCTTTTCAATCCTGTAAAACCCATTCCTGACCAAATATCGCCAAGAATGTTAAGGTGGTCACTGAAACTGGGTTGTTATAATTACAATATTAAATATAGACCAGGAAAATTAATTGGGAATGCAGACTCCCTTAGTAGATGGACAAGCCAAATACATCCGCACTAAAAGAAGATGTATTTTGGCAACTGCTTCTGCTGGATGAGCAGCCAGAGGGTTGGGACCTTGACGTGACACGAATTGCTGGAGAAACCAAGAAAGATCCAATTTTACAGAAGGCTATGTTTCATATACTTCATGGCTGGCCCCGTTCATGTCCAGATCCAGATTTGGAGCCGTTTTGGTCTCGTAAAGAGGCTCTTTCACTTAGTAAGGGATGTTTACTATGGAGCAACAGAGTCATTATACCCAAAGCACTACAGAGTAAAGTTTTGGATTTATTACATGCCCCACATGCTGGGGTGGTTCAGACCAAATCCTATGCTAGAGGATATGTTTGGTGGCATGATATGGATCGACACATCGAGAGAGTTGTGTCAGTGTGTGTACATTGTCAGCAAGTCAGAAATAACCCACCGAAAGACCCACAGACATGGATACCTCCTGAGAAACCATGGGGTCGAGTGCATATAGATTTTGCCAGGACCCTTCCAAGGAAAAACATTTCTGGTATTGGTGGATAGTTACAGCAAGTGGTTTGAAGCAGAGATTGTTCCATCAATGAGCAGTGAAACAGTTATAAGTGTGCTAAGGAAGAGTTTCGCAGCACAAGGATTGCCAGAGATTTTGGTATCTGATAATGGCAGGGCTTTTACCTCAGATGAATTTAATTCTTTTCTTCAGAGGAATGGCATTAAGCACAAATACTCACCACCATATCATCCTGCCACGAATGGACATATTGAACGGGCTATACAGACATTTAAAAATAAACTTAAGAAGTTGACATATGCCAATTCTAATATAACTTGGTCAGAGAAGCTTTCAAAAACATTATATCATTTACGCACTGTACCAAATAGCACAAATAAGACACCAGCAGAAATTCTAAATGGTCGTAGATAAAGAACTGCTATTTCTAATTTACACCCGAGTTGTGTACCGGATGATGCCCAGAATCAACTCGAGGCAGCAGCAAACCGGGTCCCAAATAGAATCTTTAAAAAGAATCAGGCAGTATTAATCCGTGTATATGAGTCAGGACAAAAATGGCTCAGAGCTACCATTGTGGATATAGAGGGTCCAAGTACATATAGGGTGAGAACAGAGGATGGAGAAATACATAGGCGCCACGCAGATCAGATCTTAGCTCGGGGTAGTAAAGATTGCAATGGCTTTCAACGCAGACCATCCTGGGATCCTGGATTAACCAGATGATACTGAACCAGATAAGTCACCGGAAGTATTAATACCAGACCCTGATTTGTGACCAGAGATAATTTGTGTGCCTTAAGTAAATTTGCGTAGTGGGCACAGTATGTCATGCAACTGTGAGTGTATGAAAACAGTGTATAAAAGTATGTAATTCAATTGATGAATCTATTTAGTATGTAAATTGAGACTTAAAGACTATAAGGGATGAGATATGTTATGTATGTAAACTAAGGGTAGTTTGATTATTATTTGTAAATTGTTTTATGTGAGGGTACTTATGTAATTATGATTAATATTAAATAGTTTTGCTTCCAATCTCAACCAAGTTGTATCTTTTATTTACTAAATAGATTAAATAAAATTGAATAAAAAATACCTTATAATTCACAACGTGAAAATCATAATTTTAGTCACTAACAACCCATGCAAGAACCTGAGTAATACAAAGGGATATTTAATATATGTACTTACAGTATAAAGGGAACTTTGGAATAATCTTAAATATCTATGCATAAATTATGGTCTTCAATAATTATGTTATAAATGAAGTGAAATATTATTTATTAATACTGATATTGTGGTCTTCAGTATGTGTCAGTATGTATATATTATAAATCATTAAGTTGTAATTGAAGTAGAATATACTTATTCAACAGGGCTTGTAAAAGTTTGGGATGTTCGAGTTGGTAAAGTGCTTCAGGAGTTTATAGAACACACGGCAGCCGTAACATGTGTAAAATTTCATCCTCACGAGTTTCTTCTAGCCAGTTGTGGCACAGACAAGACTGTTAATTTTTGGGACATGGAAAAGTTTCAGTTGGTATCAAAGTTTGAAAAAGATAATACATCTATCAGGTAAAATTTAATTTTTTAAAATACGTCCTTCAATTTAAGATCTTTACTACTTATGGAAAATGGACGATTTTTTTAGTCTATGCAGAATGTTTGTTTTTTACAAAACAATATTTAATACATAACTGTTTTCAGACATATGGTGTTCAGTGAGGATGGTGCAACACTTTTAGGATGTGGTAATGATGGGTTACATGTGGTCGGATGGGAACCTATACGGACACTTGACACTGTAAATTGCCACTGGACTCAAATCCATGACGTCACTGTAGCACAAACGCAGCTTGTAAGATCCAATCCATGAAATTATTATTGTTAATTGAATTATAATTTTGAAATAGTAATATAGTTGAAGATACTAATTTTATTATGACTAACATACATGACTCCAATTTTCAGATAGCTGGTTCGTTTCATTCAACTTACGTAGTATTATCAGTTGTTGATCTCAATAAAGTATATCCATTTGGTGGTCCCGCTCCTGTGGCACCATTAGCGGTAAGGGATCTCTCACCATTCCAAAAGGGCCATAGTGTAAGAAAAAGTTTTTCCAAAGAAAAACCCCCTAAGCAAGGTAAAAATTTTTAGAGTGACTTTTGTAAAGTACATTCTCTGTATAGCATAATATTTATTAATTGTTTACAGTGTTACATAGATCAACACTTCTAGATGAAAAGACGGCAGAAGAATCAACTTCTGGCACAGAAGCAGATGAGGATTCAGGTGCTGTTATATCCAATATTAATGACTACACTGAAATTTTCCGTCCTTCTAGAGCATGTAAGTTGATATGTAAAAATGAGAACTGAAAGTGATCCCGGCAGTTTATATATACATATATGAGGAATATTGAAGTTTTTCACAATGAAAAGCATTCTTTTTTATTTCAGTAACCCGTACTCCACCTCCGGTAACCAGTTTATCTTATGAGGACTTTTCGATTTCAAGTAAGTCCTTACTAGATAAAGTTTATTGTGAATTACTTTATCTGTATCACTTTGGAGACATTCAAACGGATAAATTACTAATCGGTGAAGATATCAGTAAAGTCCAAAAATGAGGTAGTAGGCTTATATTGAAAAAAAAAATAGTATTTTTATTTATATAATTGGAATGGCAAACTAGCTTACGGCCCACCTGAATATCATACTTTCGTGTGCATTAGTGCAAGGTGTTGCGCTAATGCATACGAAAGTATATACGGTACTTGCATTAAGTTGTAAATTTAAAATGTCTGTCTGTCTGTTCCGTCTAATCTCTGAAATAGAGGCTAGCTTTATTTTAGAAATTTTATATAATTAAAAAAAAATAACATGAGGTTCGTAGTCATTACAAACAGATACTACAATGTGATTTATTTGTATCTATAAATATAAATAAAATGGGAGTGTCTGTTTGTAATATTGAAATAACCGTTTTTTACAACATGCATATGAATATAAATACTGTACATACACCAAAATAACATTTTTTTATTTGTTAGTTTTATTATTTCTGTCTGTCTGTTTGTTCCGGCTAATCTCTGAAATGGTTGGACCGATTTTTACGGGACCTCTATTGGCAGGTAGCTGATTTAATAAGGAGTAACTTTGGCTACTTTTATTTTAGAAAAATAAAGTTAAATTCCACGCGGACGAAGACGCGTGTACAGCTGTAGTTAATAAAAAATAAACTAATAATACACCTGCATACTTGCCATTGTCGCGGGTTAGATTATTTGTGCGATGAAGAATATGAAATGATACTTATGAATGAAAGTATGATTGTTTTCATGGTTTGCTGTTTTCTATATATTTTAATATTTCTATTTGGATCAGTTGTGTAATAACCCATAACAAATTTTGGCAAAAAAATAACAATTACAGCTAAAGATATAATTGAATTTGTTTAGTTGACTTATTCTGCAAATGTCATACACATAAAAATTAGTTAATGAACTTGTTTTTTATGACTACTATATTTACCCAGCGCAAGAATCGAGAATAAGATTGGAAGGAGGTATAAGTAGTTCGCTACGCGACTTGGCGGTGGAAGATAGCAGGCCTCCCCCCTCGCCGTCACCGCCACCCTCGCCTCCCGCGCCGCCATCACCCTCGCCGCCGCACTCGCCCCCACAGCGCCAACGCTCGGAACATTACTCTCGAATACCAACATCCACAGTATTAGAAAAGAAAGCAGACATATTTACAAGTAAGTATATACGTGTACTTGAAATTTTAGTATAGTTCGCTTGCATATATATGTATAAACATAAATATTAAACAAAAGCCTATTAAAAGTAGACCCACAGTAATAAATCACAACTATTACATCCCATTTTAAGGCCACATAAACATTTGCACTCGTCGGGTCTAATGAGATGTTTAAATAACTTTAAATAATATATTTATGAGTTAATAATTGTTTACCGGTTTTATCACACTACTCATCTTAGAAAATAATAATGTCCCCGAAGTTATGTCGTTTTTGGATTGGGTAAAAACTAAATACATCAGGAATTTTTACCCTGTCCAAAATACACTAGCTACTGTGTTTTCTATAACCTACCATTTCAGTTATCTTCGCTATTCTAATACATGCATTCACAAATACACATGTAAGCTTATTATCATTAACACCGTCATACTTACCTATTAATGAGGAATAAATTTCTTAACATTAAAATTTGCTTTTATAATACTTAACCCAGGGGTGTTGGACAACGCTAAAGAAGATAACAGATTCACAGTAACACAAATATCTTCCACGAGAGATTATGTTGCCAGCCCTCACTCGACCAGCATACTTAACCGACATAATTCATACAAAGAAACAAAATCTACGACAAGCTTATGTAAGTTTCATTTATTTTTGTACTACATTAAAAACATGTTTTTATTATTTATAGATATATATTATATGTATATATAAATAACTACATTTATAACTGTTTTTATATATTCATTCATAATTTAGAAGCCACGCCCTTGTCGGTGTAGCTCTTGCCATTTTCCACAATCTTATAAATTACAATCTCATAACAGTATAACATATAGAAATATTTATACTTTTTTTTTTAGCAAACAGCAACCTACGACAAAGTAATAGCGAGATATCATTGGGTCCACCGTCATTGGGACAAAGATCTCTTTCATTTACAAGAACATCCAGTGATAATACCAGGTAATTAATTGTGGTTATAAATACTTTGACTTGTAACTATGTTTATCCATAGAAATAACATTATTATTACTATCTTCAGACGAAGAGTGGACAGCGTCAACCGAGAGCAAGAAAGGGAATCAGAGCCAGAATTCGTACCGTTTGCAACAGACAGGCCTGTTGGGCTGGATCTCGAAGAATTTTTACCGGTACGATTTTATTCCGTTTTTTTTGTAATTAGAAAATATCCCGTGACGTTGCTCGCGTAAGTTTTCATAAATATTCTATTTACTTTTAAATAACGTTAACTTACAATATATGGTTTTCTATATGTGTCAAATTTCATATCAATCTATCAAATTTGCCAATGAATAACATGATTGTGTTAACAAACATCCCATGTTATGAAATTTCACATAATTTTGTTACAATTATCTGTCGTACGAAACACACGCCATTCTCGGGGAATTGAAAATTTTGACAATCACATCATGATATATGAAATATGATCATAATCATTGAAATTAAAGAAATGAAACTATATAATTAATAATAATAATTTATTAATAATTAATAATAGCAATAAATAAATATTTGCATGAATCTATAATTAATAAATTAATAGATTTATGCAAATGCATATTTTTAACAATTGAATTCAAATTTATAAAAACTTCTATAACAGAAATGCCGTAACCGAACTGTCTTAGTTTCGGTTATGGCAAAGCTAATACGAACACAGAAATTAGGTTTTTATTTGTAAAACCTAGTTTTGGCCAGACGCTACGCATGACCGGACCTTACTGCTATCTAATTTTATACATATATCGACTAAAAACCCTTTGATCCGTGACAATTTATTTTATTTTCTAAATTATTATTTTTACGACGTCAGCAAGGAATAAGATGAGATTTTTATAAATTTCTTGTACTAGCTACTCGCCCCGGCTTCGCACGTACATGTATTATTTGAATAAACCTTCCCTTGAATCACTCTATCTATTTAAAAAAACCGCATCAACATCCGTTGTGTAGTTTTAAAGATTTAAGCATACATAGGAACAGACAGCGATAGCGACTTTGTTTTGTACTGTTTAATGATATGTAATGATGTGGAAACAATATTAAGTACACTGTCAGAACACTTCGTAGGAGCATTCCTAAAAACAAATAACTACATACACAGCTGTAAATTGTAGTAAATACCTTAGCGAAGTTGCGGCTAAAATTAAATTTTTATATATACCGTTTTATAGGGTTTTATAGTATATATTACTATAAAACCCTATAAAACGGTAGATTGATTCCGATTCTGTTATTATATTCCCGTATAACGCATTATAAATAATTCACGTTTAAATTTTAGCGTTAAGGGGGGTTTAAATCGGATATCAAGAAAAATCTATATTAAAACAAAATATGTACATTTTATTAAAATCAAACTAAACTAAGAACAATTTTAATAAAATCATAGGGATATGAACTAAAAAAAAACAATTGTGAACTGTACAAATTATTATAAATTTAACAGTACAGAAATATAATGGGAAATACCTGCGTTATATAGGAGAATTCGCCGTGTTATAGGGGGGATTCCTGTATATTATATCCGACTGTCCTATTGACACCTATCAACTTAATTAACCTGTTATGTGTGTAGCGGGGCCTAAGTGGTGCTGGCGGTGGTCTACGACGGGGAGCGAGGGCGCCTACCGCCGCCCCTAGTGACCAGGAGGTGCTGGGCGTCATGATGCGCGGCCACGACTCCATGATGGCCGTCCTAATAGCGCGCCAGCGTGCTCTCCAGGTACATACGACGATCGGATGCGCCGTTATATGGATTATGTGAATCACTTACTTATGATTATATTTTAATTGTAAAAAGTAAATTTTAAATTTCATCAATACCCAAATTCTCGATTAATGGTATAAACGGCGCTAACATTTTAATAAAGATGTGTATTACTATTGTTAGTGATCGTGTCATTTAAAGTAATTAAACCTTTATTTTTAATGGAAGATAATGGAATGGTGGTTTGCGCTAACGGTTTACGCTGGCGGGGCACCAGTAGAGGATGTAAGATAAGCAAGGTCAGGTCAGTTTGGCCATAGTGATTAAGTAACCAGGATTTAACCACGAAGGTTTCCAGGTCATCCGCGTGGAGGACGGCCTAACATGGTAGATTGCTAGCACTAGACCCAATTACTAACAATCCCCTTCCCCCAATATATATCATTCTTAATATAAAAATAAATAGTAAAATGTCATTATTTTTAGATCTTTCATTCTGTACGAGTCAACAAAAATTTAAAGTTGGCGTTAGAATCCATTATTGAATTAGAAGACAAAGCAGTCATATTGGATATCCTCAATGTGATGGCACATAAACCGTAAGTAAACTGTTGCATATTATTTTTGCACTGACTAATATGTTGCCACCTGATGGAAAGTGGTAAGTGTTGCCCATAGATACAAAGAGAATGAGCACAAAGTCAAAATGCACAGAATCTATAGCTTCAACATATATATCTATAGCTGTTATCGTACTATTCAATGGATACTTACGATGTTATGCCTCTGTGTGATTTATTGTTGACCATGGCCCACTTTTAATCCAATAAATGTTTTACCTTTCAGATCCCTATGGAATCTAGACATATGTTTGTTAATGCTGCCCAAAATATATGAGCTGTTGCAGACTAAATATGAGTCGTATGTACCAAATTATTCACTTAACCCTATTTATATTTGACTATATTTATATTATTATTATTATTATTATAGTATCCGAAACTGTGTGTAGTATCCGAATTATGTTGATGTTGAGTATTGTGATGTGAATATTTTGGAGGGCTGGGACACTAAGTTAATTTACAGCGGTATTATCTATGAAATTCTGAAAACACTTATACATATTTTAATACTTATTAATAAATGCTCCATAAATAATAAAATGATACAAGGAATATCATTCTTATGATAGATATGTGATTATGATTTGTTTTACGAGATTATGTGCATCAATGTATGACATATGTGTCATACATTGATAGATAGCTAGCTAAAAGAAAATTTTATATGAAATAAATTCTGTATTTTAAAACTTCGCCCTAAGTTATCTAGATAGAAAATCTTTAAAAATTGTTTTATATGTGTATAATAAGGAACATATGATAATGTGTTTCATAGCATTGTCATATTAAATAAGCTAATCCTTTCTATTTGATTGTCAATGTCAGTATCAGATAGGAAACCCAATAGAACTAAACATTGCACCTCAGTAATAACATCATGACTGATTTTCAACTGGGGATAATGTAATGAGTTTTATAGCATTGACAGATCTACATAATTATTTCTTTTTTATTGTCAATGTCAGTATCTTATCGCTAGTACAATTTTAGTAATTAAAACTCTTTATTTCTGTATACACGGTTTTCGCTTATAGCTTATATTGACAGCAATATTGTGTTTTGCTTAACCAGATATATGCAATGCGGATGTAACGCACTGCGCCTGATCGTACGCAACTTCTCATCGGTGGTTCGGGCGAACGTGGGTGCCCCCGTGCGTGCGCTTGGCGTGGACATCCCACGAGAGGAACGGTATGCTAAGTGCGCCCAGATACACCGACTGCTACTCGACATACGCGCTTTCCTACTCAAGCGACAGACGCTGCAGGGTCGCCTCGGCGCCGCCTTCCGCGACCTCCACACCCTCATGCAGCAAGGACTAGACTGAACATTTCCTGACCGTTACCGCAATCATCAATCATTCATACATAATGATCAAGAAAAAGATAACACATATGCACATTTAAAAATGCCATGTTTATTCCCAATATTAATTTACCACAACAGTATCACATTCCATGCAATTTAAAACAATATAGACCCATGTCTTATTTCATTGTGTAAACATGACTTGAAACTAATTTTAAACAAGCTTTAAAATTGACATGGCAATGATTTTTTCGATTTTACTAAAACAAACTAACTTTTTGAACTAGTTTCATGAAATTAATTTCTACAATGTAAATTAAATTTAAAAATAGGAATTTCAAAGGGTCTTTTACATTTTAAAATTAAGGTTGTGAAGTAACATAATAGGGCAAAAAAAATTCAATCTGTAATTTTATTTACATAAGTATGTAATCATATATAGATTAAAATATAAATATATTGAACACAAACCTTGCTCTGAGAATACTTAATGTTTTATAATGACAGATTAATTCTTTTAAAAAGTTTATTAACTTATAAAACATAGCTTTCAAATTACTCATATAAAAATAAAGGAAAAAAGTGGACTTAAGGATGAATAAGCTGTGTAAAATTATTTATTTGTTTCTACAATATATGTATATATTTATGACTGTGTGCAACTGGCACTGAAGACATAGGCACATGATCAATTTGTAAAGCTGTCAAATGAAATTCATGCATATGTTTAATACAGACTGAAATGTAAATCAAACAAAATTCAAGTTAACCCTACTTACAATAGAGTACATAATAATAAACATCTAATATAAATAACTAAAGTTGCTTTATTTATTGTTTTAAGGACAATTTCAATAGAAAAACAATAAACAATTTTATGTTTATTGTTTTTCTATTTTGTAATCTATTAGATATTATTTGGATTAAATAATAACTCAATATTAAAATTCAAATTTCTGTATATTCAGTCTAGATAGAACAAATGTGATTGCAATAGTCTTTATGAGATCACAAATATTTGTAGTACAATATGTGAACAAATGAGCTGGTGTGTGTGACACTGCATCACTGTGGAAGCACCTTAGGAACAAAAGCAGCATATATTTTAATAGTAAAAAAAAAGAACTTTATTGTTATTGCATGGGAAAGCTATATACAATTTACTAATCCTATAATTATAATCCTACTATACTATAGCAAGTATTATTATAAAAATTAAAACAGACTGATATAATTTAATTTTTCAACAAAATATCTCCACATGTAATTTAATTTTGTAATTGTTTAACACATTAAATATCTATTGAATAAAATAGTGTTTCATTAATTGAAATCTTCTATACACTGAGTAGACTATGTAACAATCAGTTGAATTAGAATTATTGTTATACAATTACCATTAATGTCTCATTTGTTTGAACTTGTATGCTATTAATCAACTCAAGCAAAGAGTATATTTAATCTACTATTGAAACCTTACCAATCCTCACATATCATTAATTATAATTGTTGGTAGTGTTCACTTTCTTCGTTTAATAGCATTGTATTTACTGGGACTATTATGTGATCTCTTCCTTTTGTTAAAAGCTTCCATTTTCTTAGCCAATATATCATCAGATATATCTTTTTGCATATCTTGATCTGGTTCTTCGTTTTTACTCTCTAATTCCATAAGGCGTTCTATTTCCAAATTCATGCCTTTATATGAAAGTCTACCTTCTAACAAGTCTTCGCAAACTAGAAAACTGGATTCTGTTATAAAGTTACCAGTTGCGTGTCGCATTTCACTGGTGATTATATTGGAATATAAACTATCATGATCTTGAGTATTTTCGATCTCTTTTTCTATGCGGTCTTTTGTTTTTTTCATAAACTTCATATCTAGCACTGATTTAGGCAATTGTGGCTTTTTTTTAACAGACTTCGCCATTATTGAAAAATTATAGCAATTTCAAAATAAGCCTGTATAATAATTTATAAGAATTCACTCGTTTTTCCTATAAAATGTATATATTTTTACTCAAACCTGGTTGAATATATGTGAGCGCGACAGCTGTTCAATAATGTAGGTAATCTAATTAATATTACTAAACAAACATTAAACCATATCAAGCACAACAACGATGTTATATAGGTTATTTATTATGGGTATTTCGAAGTGTTTGAAACAGTAATTTCATGCTTTTTCGATATGAAATTATTTAATTTGTTAGCTTGTCAGATTGACGACTTTTTTTTAAATTATAGTATTTTACGGCCCTGGAAATTTCCTTTCAGCAAAATATTGACTAAATGATACCTATAATTTTTTTAAATAATGCTTTATTCATGACCATGGTGGTACCTATCACTCCGTTCAAGGTTGCCAACGTTCAATTAATAACTATAATAATTTACGAAGAAGTAAACAATTGTAGAGTGTCCTCTCTAAACTCTATCATGTTTGATTATTGATCTATTTGTGTAACAGCATCCCTGCTTCTGCAATCACATTATTATTGATACAAATCAAATCAGATTATCATTCTCAGTAAAGGAAATTGTTCTTTTTTTATTAAAGTTCTCACTACATAGCCACAGTTTCATACAAATTTCGATTTTTAATGTACAATATGTTATTTGTTACTTCTTCATTGTGGTTTTATGAGACAAAAACCCAGCGTGTCAGAGTGACAGTAGCACAGAACATCTATACAAGATCCTAGATGGACAGTAGTGACATTATAAATATTTATCTGTGGTGTGAAATAACCTCACACGAGTAGTATATTCTTTGCCTCACACACAGCTCTATTAATTTAAGATAACCTCAAAGAAAATGTTATAGCAGTAACAATATTATCATTGTTCTAATGTTATGTTGACTAATATTTTAAGAAAATGCAAGTGTTTGAAATAGATAATGTAAAAATTTACAACCTTAGCACTGGAAAGTCGTTACCAGATGTAAGTATATGACTTTAATTTTATTTACTTTTATTGTAACTTACGAATACATTTTGTGTTAATTTATAGGTGGGTGAATTTATATATGAAATATAATACATTTCATATATAAATTCACCCACCCACAAACCCACTGGTTGAAGGGTCTTTTATCCTGATCTGTGATCTTCTGTTCATATCGGTTATTTATCATTTCAATAAATATATTAAGTTTTTATTAGGTTGTTTCTCACCCACCAATTATAAAAATTAATTAATTATTCGGAACAATATCTATAACTGTATCATTGTATAAGTGACGACTTTAATATAATTAGTTTTTTTAAGGTATCATTATTTTATTTATTTATTTATTTATGTACTTCAGTTCCTAGTAGATTTATTATCAAACTGTTAACTAATTAATTTATGTTATTAAATTAACAGTGGCTAACAGAGCGAAAAAAACGAGCATTGTTGAAAAAAAATGTAGATCTTAGAAGAAGAATTGAACTTATTCAAGAATTTGATATGCCTGGTGTGAGCACTAACATAAGAGTTTCTAAAGATGGACAATATATTATGGCAACAGGTATCTACAAACCAAGAATCAAATGTTATGATGTCAACAACTTGTCTTTGAAATTTGAAAGATGTTTAGATTCTGAAGTAGTTACATTTGAAATTTTAAGTGATGATTACACAAAGGTATTGGATTTATATAAGCATACTAAAAATATTTATATGTAGCATATACTTAACAATTTAATCTTCATTTATTTAAACATATTTTTTAAATATTATTTTACAGTAAATATATATTAATGATTCTAATTAATATCATATCTCACATAAAAATTTGAATATCTATTACAATATTAATTATTATCTGTAAACTGTGTAATGTATGTCAGAATTATTTTTGCAACTGTAGCTATAAGAGTCATCAGAAATTGTAATTGTTATGGATAATATAACAAAAATAGAATAGCATATTGTATTAAAATTTTGTGAAACAAGTTAATTCTTTTTGTTTTTATCTATGTTTTTATGGTTATCCAAATGATATAATGAATTTTTGTTTGCAGATTGTATTTTTACAATGTGACCGTTACATTGAGTTTCATGTTGGTCATGGCAGACACTATCGGTTAAGAGTTCCTCGTTTTGGAAGAGATATTGCATATTATACAAATTCTTGTGACTTATTTGTTGTTGGTGCTTCTTCTGTAAGTTATATTTTTTATTTAGAATGTATTTAATACTTATTAATGTACAGATACAGGCCTTACACATTGCAAGGCTCTTTGTACACTGTGAAAAGTATGTGTAACAATTGATGTAATTTTGTCGATTCCAATACTATTCTATATGTATGGATGAGGATTGAACCTCAGTGATTTTAAATAAAGATCATAAAAATCATAAGAAATAGATATGGGGCCACATATATACATATATCCAATTAATTATAGTCTAATTTTAGTATTAATCTATACAGTTGACAGATAACAATTTACATGCTTATTTATGAAAGCCCTGTTTATAGGAAATATATAGACTTAATCTAGAACTGGGCCAATTTTTGGCACCATATGTGACAAAAGCAACTGAAATAAACTGTTGTGCTGTCAATGAAGAACATGGTCTACTTATTACTGGCAGTGGAAGTGGGCATGTTGAAGCATGGGACCCTCGTACTAAGACTAGGCAAGGAATATTGGATTGTGCCGTTCATTGTACAGACTATGATTATAGGTTAGTATTGATTTTCTTCAAATTTAATTCAGTTGTACTAAATTATATTTATAACTTACTATTGTTATTTTTTCAATTATTCATATGAGGTTAATATATCTATATATATTAACCTCATATGAATAATTGAAAAAAAAACCCTATGGTTATGCCCTTGTTATTGGCAGGCAGTATCTTCAAATGAGTTTTTCCAATTATTCCAAATATAGTGTATATACTATATATGTTTTTTTTCCTACTGTATGTATATTTGTATCCAGGGATACAGATATATATGTATGTTTAGTTGTTCATGATTACTGAATGATAATAATCAAGTAGGAAAAAACATGTATAGTATAACCTGATACAGTATCAGGATAGGAAAATGAAATAAATTCCTATATCAAGTTAACTAGTCAACATAGTAAAATTCCCAGCTTATGGATTGAGGCTGTATAGTAAGATGTTGCATGTTCATTTACTATTATACAATTTTTTTTTGTTTTTTAGGAATAATAGTTTACCAGCTATCACCACTGTTAAATTTGATAAAGGCTTGAGAATGGGTGTTGGAACATCAACTGGGCATGTTTTATTATATGATATAAGATCAAGTAAGCCTCTGTTAGTTAAAGATCATCTAAATGAAATACCTATCAAACATATAGACTTCCATAAACAATTAGACTATGTTTACACCATGGATTCAAAAGTTGTGAAGATTTGGGACAAAAACACAGTATGATTTTATTATTTTTATGTATATAACACTCCCAGTTCTTACAATATAACCATTTGCAGGAGGAAATTCGTTTGTATTTTGTAATCATCATATCATATTTTGTTAATTTACAATATTATATTGGCAGAGACTATACCTTTAATTTTACAATGGTCTATAATTTTGATATCATTGAATAGTTTGAATAAAGCCCTATGGGAAACTTTCTAAATAGTAACTGGGACTATGGCTAGAAGCTGTATTTTTGTATTTACTACCTCTCTTTATTTTCTTATTATTATATTAACATGTGTACGAAATTCCTTCTCTAAATATTATAGTGGTATGTGCTGTACCAGACTAAGGTAAACCACTGCAATCTTTTAAAGTGCTTGTACAGCCTGATTAGTATCAACATCATATTTTGGACCTTAGTTTTATAATATATTCTTCATAGGATAGTTTTAAAATATATATTTTGTCATATTATATTATTGGCAGTTCTGAAATGAATATAATAATTCTTTTAATCTTTTCAATATCACTAATATTGTGCTTGAAATATTTTTATGTGGATTCCAATTTGAAATAATGTACCATATTGTATATAAAAAAAAATCTTTATCAATGTGTCCCTTTCATATTGTTTGCAATTGCAATTGCAATTGTAATTTTAGTTGCAGTGTTTTCGCTAAAGTAATGTTATAGATATTTGGGCTACTCACTGTAGAAAAAATATTTATTTATTTTATAGAAATATTCTCTAGAAATAATATTATTACAAAAGTATGTGAAATCTGTAATACCAAAAAAAATTTAAGTTATTTTCACTTTGTTTTTTGTTTTGTATTTGTTTCTTCATCCTAAATACTACTTATAAGCCAAATATTTATGACATAATTATTGATTATCCCGTAAAGGCGTGAAATAATATAAATTTCTTGATATTTTGACATTGTAAGAGTCTATTTTCCAGGGTAAACAGTACACAAGTATTGAATCATCGGTAGACTTTAATGACTTGTGTGTTGTTCCAAACACTGGACTTAGTATGATGGCAGTTGAAGAACAAAAAATGCAAATATATTATATTCCTTCTCTAGGTAGGTTTGATGTAATTCCTCATTAACTATTATTTATAATATAAAAATGAATTTACAGCATTCAGCATTTATTTTTTCTAATACAGGGCCTGCACCGAGATGGTGTGCGTTCTTAGACAATTTGACAGAAGAATTAGAAACTTCAGCTTCACAAACCGTTTATGACGATTACAAATTTGTAACAAAACAGGAGTTGGAATCTCTTGGTTTAGATCACCTGCTTGGCACAAATCTTTTAAGAGCTTATATGCATGGGTGAGTATTATTATGCTGGATTACTTTTCTTGTCAGTTCGAGAAAGTGCATGCACACTATGCATACATACGTACAATATGTAATTAAACACAGTATTACAATTTATAATCTCGATTATGCTGACTGTAACTTAGGCCGGATTTCACCAGAGAAACTAACCCCGTCTAGTTCGAACTCTTCAAAGGTTCATTTTGCATTTCACTGCTGCAATTTGAACTAGTTTTCGCTAAATTCGTTTACAAATTCTCAATGACCGACTTCCTACGGTTAGCTCTTTAAACGTGTTTAAAGCAGTCACTTGTCATATAGCCATCAATAAATTTTTTGACAATATTATATAATAAAAAGAAAATAGCAAGTAGTGCAAAACCCCAGTAAAATAATGTTTTACCTTATTTATAGCTAAAGATTTTTGTTATATATTTTGTACTTATTGAATTAAAAACTTATCCTAATTATCACACGATTGAATTATTTTAGTTAGATTACCCTTTGCATCAAATATAATTTTATGAGCGTGTAACACTGTGAACGAATGAAAATCTAAATTTGGTTTTGGTAAACGTGATCTATATTATGCTGTTGAATTCCATTTAAAGTAAAACGAGATCGACGTCGATCTTTTTTTCGACTTTACGCTGAACTCAGTTTCCTTGAATTTGTTTATACTGCGATTGGTGAAATCCAGCCTTAAACACTCACAAGACGTACCCGTCTTGTGAGTGTTTAAGGCTACCTCTGAGATACCTCTCAGTCTCACCTATTTCAGCCGCCAAGCAGCTCGCTTTGCAAGCTGTTTCGTTTGTAACCAACAAGTATGCAGATTAGGCAGTAAAATTACTGGATAAACATAACATCTTAGTCCTCTGGAATGGCAATAATAAGTATTAGGGGCGTCACATAATAACGTGATGTCCGTAGTGCAGTTCATGAATATAAGCGACTATTACCGTTTAAAATCAGTCCGTAAATCAAGCTTGTTTGCCATTACAATAATGTTGAAAACAGCTATTAAAAGAACATCTCTCTATATAAAGTAACACTTAATACTTCCAAAGTAATACATTATTTATATCATAGTAATGATGCTAGAAAATGCAAAGCAAACAAACATTATTTTTAATTATTTTCAGGTATTTTGTGGATGTGAGATTATATAAAAGAGCAAAATCCATTGCTGATCCATTTGCATTTGAAGATTATAAGAAACGGAAAATAAGAGAAAAAATTGAACAAGAGCGGCCGTCCCGAATCAAAATTGAAGATAATTTGCCGAAAGTCAATAGAGATTTGGCTACTAGGCTTATGGATAACAATAGTCGTAAGAAAAATCAACCTGCCGACTTACTAAAAGACGATAGATTTAAGGTAATATCAATGATAAATATACATATATTATAAAATTGTTGATTGTACTGTAAATGAATATTTACTTTATCATCTCTTGTTTAAGGCCCTGTTTGAGAATCCCGAGTTTGAAGTTGATAAGGAAGCAGAAGAATATAGGTTACTGAATCCTGTAATGTCTAAATTTACTAAAAACAAGGTTAAAGACAAGGAAATCGAAACAACTGTTGTACAGGTAAGGATTAATATATTTTATGATATAGCTACTGGTTCCGCGTTGCTAAAACTATTTGGTGTTTTAGAATAAAGAAGAGCAAGATAAAGATTCTGATTTGGAACTCTATGAATCAACTGAAGACAGTTCAGATGAGGACCGCACATGGGTAAAGGAGGTTAAAAAACAGCATAAAATTATTAAATATAAAAAACGAGAGGCAGATGTCTTGGATAATTCCAATAAGGAAACTATATATGAGTTGAGCAAAGCCCCCAACATGTCAAGTAATATCAGAAGTATAACAAAAGTCAGTAAGGCAAGTTTAGGTGACCGACTTGCGAAGGAAGGTTTCTCTGCAATGTCTTCTGGAATTGGAGGTAACAAAGAGATGAAATTTTCAATGCGTGGAAAGAAGTCTGAATCAGATAAACATAAAAAAATGAAAAAGCATTATCAAGAAAGAAAACAGATCGTTCGAAGAACAGGATTTTTAACTAAAAAGAAGTTATCCAAAATGTTTTAATTACCTAATACCTATTTATTACATTGTAATAACATTCAATTAAACTAATATTTTGCATTGGTTCTAATCGAAAATACAATGTGAAATGAAAGTTGCATTTTTTTTATTTGTGAACAAGAAAATATTTTATCTAATAGTAACAGTTGGTTACTTTTACGCCATCATTAATGTTTGTCCATTTCCAATAGTATGATATTGTATCTTTCTAAATATGAGTATATAGTTTAAATTTGTCATGATCACGAGAACCGTACTTCTCGTTTCCAGCACTTGAAGATAAGATGTTCAATAAAACAATGAGAAATAAAATAATGTTCTAATCATTTTTATTTAATTAAGTCTAAATGATGGAAAATGGAGGAGTAAGAAAACACATTGAGTACTTATTTATTAGATTTTTTTTTAAATCCTAAAAAAAATCAGGTCTTTCTGTATAAGTACTACAAAAATTAAATGTAGGATTAGTTTACCATTGACTACCTATGAAAAGACAGAAAATTAATTTTATCTAATTTCTTCTATTGTCAAGGATCATTACTTTTGCAAAGTCGCATGTAACAAACATGAAAATACCCTATAAAACAAAGTATCATCAGTTTCCCACCACACCCAATATGGACACAATAAAGTTATGCGTACCTAAACCATGTGTATTTATCTAGACTGCGTTAGTTTGAACACATTGTATATTCCAGGTTTTAAAGAAAGCTGAAAGTGATTTACATTTGTGATAAACAAGTAATACTTGATCAATTTTAAATAGTTCCGTTTATATGTAGACATAACAAGTTAATAACATTGGTTTTACTGCACACGAGTAACGCCGTGTATTATAGCTAGTAGGAAATAATTCCTATATTCCTAGCTATATCACACGGCATACACGGCACTACATAAAGCATCTTATTTATATAAGATGCTTTGTTATATACCTACTACTAAAAAAATCGAGTTCAACTTATTATCTCTGAATGCGTCATTCTGATATTGTTTTTATTTATATAGGTACTTATAGTTGCGTTTACGTCTCCTTTGCTTTGGTCATCAAAGCATAATAGTAGTTACTCGTACTTATAATACACACAACGTATCTTTAACTAATTGAAACCTTAATGAATAAATACGTATCTTTTATGATTGCTCTGTAGTAACCAAAATAAACTATGGATATAAAATACTTTTAGCTGTCTATATTATTATTTATTCGCTGTGATACCTACGACAGTAAAAGTAGGCACTGTGATACTATGCACAATGCTAGCGAATCATATGACAGTGGTGAGTATGTAGGTATCTACATAATAATTAATTATATTTAGCTTTCGAAATGCGGTTGGTTAAATTTATCATCGTTGTCAATGAATTTCTTTAATTATTTTTGTTATCTTCTGTTATAATGTGCTAATAATAAGTAATTACAGACTATAAATGGGCAATAAACCAGTTAATGTTAATTTTTCAAATAATTATGTAGCTAGTGATCTATTGGAGACTCATGTACTGTGTAACGACAAGATGATGGAGAGATCTACGAGATCCAGCTTCGACGGTAACAGTGTTGATGTGAGTTTTTCATTGAAACCTATGAAATATGCAAAACTAATGTATTGTCATAAAAAATATTCACAGTATTGTTTAAAGTATTGAAATAAAAACCTATACCAATGTAAAATCAGAATGGCATGGATCAGTCAATGTAAAGGTAATTTAGAATGAGGTAGATTATTTGAAACAACTAACATCTTATATCCATTTTATACTTATTTAATAATTATTCTTCTTATTTTTCATTTTCTCAATAACTCTTATACTGTATATATTTTTATCTAAATGCAGTGTCATTGTTATTTTCTAAGATTACAGACGTAGGTAGGCTGTATACAGCTTTAACATAGAAAACACTGCACCCACTCTCCGCTTCTATCTCCCGTGTATTTTCCGTAGCAAAAGAAATTAAGACATTCGTCCTTTGTGGGTGGTCTAATACTATTAGATATAAGAAGGTAGTTAATTTTTTTGACTTATCAAATATGAATGTAGAAATATCATTGTCGGAATTTGAGTTTTCGCTCAACTTTCCCTTTTAAGAAAAACGTTTTTAAGTAAGGATTATTTTCCCGTGCTTATCTTACCTTTTTTTACTTCTTTTTTTGTAGAGTGAACTTGAAATTATACTTAGACTAGATTAGCTCTGCGTTAAATTTTGCTAACCAAAATCTATTGCATATAAAAAGGAAAATTGTACTAATTAATATCCCAAACTGTATATGTGATGTGGTAACCTATACCTAAATATAATATCTAACGAGTTTCAAGCTGATTGCATATTTACTTGAAGAATGTCGTATACAACAATTTCACTTCACTTGATTGATAGACAACGCTATACACACAAACTTGCGAACTCTAAGCCACCCCTTATTTACTAAGTAGTAGGTACGTAGACTATCTGATACGGGTGTGTTTAATGCATGAAGGTAGAAAATTTTCCTTTACTCTTTTATTAGATAATGACTGTAAGATTGTAAGAAAAGTACATATCTATCTAAACAATACTCAACAACAACAAAAATAAAATGTTTTTATTATGTATTATGATTTTATAGAAATGGGTACTACATCTGCTATTGCTATTTATTTCTAGATTGGTGAAATAACAGAATCTCCAGATACAGAGTATATGAGTACATCCGCGATACTACACTACTGCAAATCTAAGGTATGGTGCACTTTCTGTTTAAATAATATTCAAATATATTAGTAGGTAAATGGAATATTCAAAGTTGTTCAAGTTGTGTGTGTGTGTGTTAAAGTTGTGTTGTTGTATGTTCCTCTGCTTACTTCTAAACTACACAATGATCTCTAAAACATCTTTCCTTAGATTTACATTGTATAAATGTACCTGGTTATATACATCACACTCAATATGCATCTGTTAATAGTGCAGCACGTGTAATGTTTTTTTTTATTAAATCTGTTTTAGATATTACTTCCATATTTGAAGTTACTCACAATTATGGGATTACGGCCTTTAGTGGATGTATCGAATTCGTCAAAATTTGCAATTTGTGTGTCACATTTTCATTCAGCTCAAGTAGCCGTATATATGTTTCTAGGATATATTCTGCAATATATGTCATGTTTCAGGTACGTAGTTTAACACATTTATTACGAAAAATAGTATAATTTATAATAAAATAGCATCATCCGTGACTGGCTGCTTTTTGAGACAAAAATATCCTATACCTATCCGTAATGATACAATCTGTCTTTACGTTCAATTTCATTAAGATTCGTTCAGCCGTTTGGGAGTTTTTATGTAATTTAAGTTAGTTAGAAAACAACCTGTCTGATAGTAAGCGGTAACCATCGCTTATATATAAGAAGCACTACCGCCCGAACCTACTGTTCGAAAGCTTACAAAGTAAGGTGCTTGGGGGCTGAATTAGGTGCGATTAGGATACCCATTCAGATTACTTTTCAGTCTAGTCTAGTTTCAGAAAAGGTAACAGCGAGCATTATTATGTAATATAATAATAATTAAAGGGAAATGAATATATACAAATGCTTATATAAATAGTTTGTGTATTTTCTCTGGAGTCTTGGATAGTTAAGAACATCTAACAAAAATTACCTAATGGAAATATTACCCGTTATTTTCATAAAAAAAAATTAGGTAAATGCTCTTTTTATCCTAAGAACAAATACTTTGTGGTTATTACATATAAAATATTAGGTTCATCATATTTTATAAGCAATAAAATGATATATATACTAAATTTGTTTTGTATAGTATATATATAAATAAATAATACAGTTACTTAAATTATTTTTCCAATGTCCACTCAAACTACTTTTGTTTTACAGAAGGGACAGAGGTTTCTGTTACAAGTTGGTGCCTCTTGCTTTAGTGTCGCCTTTGGAATATGAGACATACAAAGAAGTGTGTTATGGAAACATTGTTTTCACATATATTGGTCCCAGTATTTTACATTTTATAGGGTTTCTTTATGCATTGTATTTATTCAGAATATCCGATAATGAACAATTACAAAATTTAATGGAAAGGGTAAGGGTTTTAAAGATGTTTTTATTTAATTTTTAATTTAATGTTTTTATATTGATACCACAAATTTTAAGGTTTAGTGTATGTACTAAAATATGTGGGGACAAATATGAAGCGGTGACCAGATTATACAACTATATAAATATTATATATATATAGAACAGTATTAAAACAATAAAAACATATTACCTAGGTATGTTTTTTTATTGTTTTCTTTGCCTATGCGTTGGATTTTCATGAAGATTATTTTCACTAGTCTATTACTACTTTAACAGATCCGAATTTCCAAATAAATTTCCAAATGATGTATTAAATTACAGGTTTTCCTTTTATCATCTTATGCTCCCCAAGGCATGCCTACAGCAAAACCCAGACGATTGCTTCGTATGCTTTGGTTCTTCATAATTTTAAGTGTCCTATGGATGTGTCTTTCCCTGTGCTCAGTCAATTTGATGATGACTAGGGGGACCATTATGTTTAGGTGGATGGAGTCAAGGTATAATAATTACAATATTATTATTATTTATAACTTTAATAGAATCGCATTAAAAAGTTTTCGTTTGAAACATTTCGACACTGAATTTAGCAGAAAACAACTACTTCTCGTAAACCACGTCTAATTGATTCGTGAAGTAGAAGACGTTTGAAGCTTGTTTATGCTTTAAATGCATTTTACTTTTTGTAGCCTATGAACACGCCTCAATTTGTAAAACTATGCTCGCTGAACACTTAAATCTATCTGATACTCATAGGTAGGTAGGTAGGTAGGTACGTAAAACCTATAAAAAGTTATAATCACTCGCGTTAATGAAATAAGTAGGTATATATACCTAACTACATACTCCAGGACATCAGTAGGTATATCACATATTGATATTTATATTTGTTATAGTTTGGCATATAGGTATTTATATTATAATTTAGCTTTCAAACATTTTAATATCTTCACAGACTTTTACATTTCTTACAGGGATTATGATTGAATTCATAGTACGACTATAACTAGGAAAGGTATTATAAAAAGGATGAAAGAATAAATTTTATTAATATATTTTTTACAGTTCTAATGAAGTAGTATTGTTATTAAAAATACTTCTGATTGTGTGCACCCTCATACACGATATGGTGCAAGCAACTGTAGTCGCTAGTTATTGTCTGCAAGCGCAACTATTGCAGGCGCATCTCATGTTCTTAAAAGAACGTTTGCTCAACAGAACTATAACGCCGCTAAATTGGATGAGAGTGAGTTATATTCAACATCTATATTTATTATTAGTGTTACACATATATCCTATACATGCCTAAAAGGAACCAATGTTGTTATATGTATATAATATTGGTTTTTATTTTTTGTATTTTAATCCCGTCTGATCTGATATCTAAAATTAAAATAGAAATAACGTCTCAATAAATATTTTTGAAGCACACCAAATATTGCTAACGATAACAAACCTTATTATTGCCATTTAAAAAGTTTTGAAATTTGTTTTCTATTTTTATGTAGGTAAGTGGTAACCGTAGCCACGGTCATTAACTTATTATGTGATGCCCGTGATATTATGTGTTGTCATTCCAGGGAATAAGACATGGAAATTCACTACATTTTATTACATCTAAACTTTCAACTGAACCATAGCCTACAAAGCAAAGTGCTTGTTTGAATAGATGAGACTATACTGCTCATTCCATAATACTCATGCTGATGATATATTATATATATAAATATATCTATTCTCTATTATCTATCTATTTTTTGTATTATAGGAAATTGCAGAATTTCGTAAGTTATTAAAATATTTAAACAATGATTTAGCACCTGCGGTGTGCATGTTCATAATCGTTAATATGTCATGGGCGGCATCAGGGCTCATGTGGATATTGAATTTGGATAAAGTGGATACTCAAACCGAACCTATGATGGGCATTAGTGTTCTCAATCAATTTTTGTGGATATCAGCAGTAATTGTACCTTTTATACAGGTTAGTATATTTTTGTGATATGATATGAGATGCAAAATTCTGTGTTATTCTGATGCATAACCTATTTAACTGAAAGTTCCATTAACATGTATAAAGTAGTTTTTACATTTACATGAAAGTGTCACAAACATCCATCTCACATACTTTACTTTTTATAATATTAGTAAGAATAAGTATTTCATATGTAAAAGAAATATAATTTATATAATAAATTTTAGGCAGCCCGTCTTTCGAAAGAGTGTCGACGGACACAATCCGTTGGACACGAGCTGTGTGTGCGACCATTTCTTCACCAAGATACATCTCAAGAAGACATTACCACAGTACTTATGTACGCGTCCACGCTCAAACTAAGAGCGAAACTGTTTTACTATCCTATTGCTGGACGTTATTTGTGTCTTATATTAACTCTTACCATTATTATGCTCTTTTCTTTAGGCATGTGTCATTATTTGCAATGATTTTAGTAGGTATTATAATAAAACTATTATATGGACTAATGGTAATTTTATTTAAATATACTATGTATTCGTAACATTTGGCACTATTTAAAATTATCTACACATTACCTAAGTCCTTATATTTTTATATATTATTCTAATAAGAATAACATGGTAACACTACAATTGAAGCAGGTTTCCTTATATCTGAGAATATTTTTAGGGAACAAAATATTTACTTACACTCAACAACAATGATACATTTATCTAAATAAATTATTACAGACCTTTATTCGTTGAGTAGCGGTCGTCAGTTCAATCACCGACATAATACGATAACAAAACAATAAATACGAATATGGTTTTTACTTTTTATACATTTACAATGTACTGCTATTAATCACTAGCAGTTTTCCGTCGCCCTGCGTAGTGTATATAGATAAATTAAATTGCGAATTTGGATATTCTTGTTTATTAATTGTGCAACGCAACATATATAATATATTCTTGTTTAGACCTTTTCTGTGTGACTGCCGTCGAAATATTTTGCTAATGCATTATCTTATTTCTGGCTTTACACCATCATATTACTAACTTGCGAATTATCATATTAGAAACTTAGTGCCGGCGAAACACAACACTGTAATACAAAAAAATCAACAATAATAGGTACAAAGGGATAGTATTTAGTGTTCATCGCCAAGGTCAAAGTTAGCCAGCTTCTATATTGATTCCGTCACTTCTTAATCGACTCAGAATAAGAGTAACCTTACTTACTAATTATGTTATTGTATATTATAATTGGTATATGGTTTCAATTAACGGTTTTTTCTTTTGCACAGGTGTATTTGTTATTTGTTTCTGGCTACCATTTTCTTATGATTTATGAGACATTGTATTTATACTCAGTTTGGTACGGATTGCAGATATTAATTAATAAGTTAAATATTAACCATACAAACCATAGCCCAAGCCTCCAGGTAACAGTAGACAAAATTCTTCTCTTATGAGATGACATTGAAGTTCTCCATCGGTGTTACGGTGTACTGAGACGATAATATACTCGGTTGTTGTATACTGTATACAAGCCAGTCTAGTCACAGTCGACGAGAGCATAGTGCGAGAGCTGTGATCCCCACCAGGATTGCACCTCGTGCAGAGCGGCCGAGCAACCGCCGGCGCCTACACTGCCCACCACCACGCTAGACCCCATCCCAGAACTGTTATGGGAACCACGGTTGTTGGTCTTCATCACCGCTATAACAAGTAGCATTCCAGAGTGCTATCATCCGTTACATATCAATATACTTCAGACTTTTATGACCGAAAACCGACACAAGGCAAACTGGTAGTGGACTACGCGGCGTTAGGTATTTACTAGTGGCGAAGTAAATGAAAAAAAAAATCTGTACATGTTTATTTTACCTTGTAATTAAAAATTATTTTTAATTAAAAATTCTTCGTAAATTGTATTCATTTCTCAAAATATTTATACATAGTCATATCAGAAACAATCCCTTTGACGGTCGTCGGAAGTGCACTTTTTTTGACAATTTTTGCATAGCCAGCTATGGAATTGTCATATTTGCTAATAAATTCTGACAATACAGAGACCCAGAGCAACGTAAGCTAGTGCAATGATTAAGAAAATCTCATTTTTTTTAAATAATGAAAACGTTGCATCAGCGGCAATAGTTAACACGTGAATAATTCTATTGGTGTATGAGCTTTACGTAAATACACTAAACTTAATATTTTGTACAAATGTGGGTACTTACGTGCGGCTTTCTTATTAAGTGCAGGGTGCGGGTCACTTAAAGTTGGCTGAAGATATTTCTTAACAGGGCTCTCCGGTCTATAAAAAAAGTGATAATTTGATATGAAATTACAATAATATTTATGTCTTATTGGTATAAAAATTTTGTTTCTCAAGTTGGTCGTGTTTGTGGGAAGTGGTCCTAAATATGGATTAATGTTTGTAAACAGCATTCATTTAAGTTTATGTAATATTCGTATTTATGGTTAATATTTCGAGATTTTGACTTTAAATAAACTAAGTCACAGTATTTTCGTTACCTACTTTGCTTAAGTTAAGTAGGTAACGAAAATAGTGTGACTTTGTTTATTTAACGTAATTTGCTAAGCATCAGTATTATACATACGTCTAGTTGGTTATATTAATGGATGTTTGTATAACTAATAACGATACAGTATATTTAATAAAATATAATAATTGAGTCCTATTTTACCTCGGTATCGTAACAGATGGCAATCCAGGCCGTTTAAATTGTCCTTTTGTTGAGGATCTTTTTGGTTGCGTATCAAAGGATGTAATATCTGAAAGTAAACACAAAATAATTTTTGTTATTATATTTTTATTAATATAAGCCATCATAGACACAAGAAATTTAGTACATAATTTTACTTTAAGGACTTGTATTAAGCGATATACAAACGAATCCCGAGATAAAGAGTATTAGATAGTGCAATATGTAAATTTAAAAAAATACGCACTAGACATTAGAGGTTGCGATGTCGATTCAGTGATCTCAGTTCTTCCCACATTAGCGATGATTTGCTGCAAAACAATCAAAATGTGTTATATTGTGAATAAAAAAATATATTACCGATTACTTATTAAAAACGTTTTATCATAATCTAAAAAAATCCAGGACGAATAACACTAAAAAATCACCTGGGTCTCAGTTTCAAATTTTTCCTTATCAGTTTTTTCATTATTCATATCAACAACTTGTTCGTTTGTTTTTCTCAAACCCGCTATAAGGCTTGTCTGTTGTTTCTGCAATAAAATACTGTTATGTTATACTATAGTATTAATTTTAGTCAGGTTATGGCAGAAACTTGACGCCACTGTTTTTGTTATTTAAATTAACAAACCATTTTTTAAGCTTTCATATTACAGAAGTTAGTTTATTAAATAATTACAGTTATTACAACATGGTTTATTAGGTCCACATGATATATAGATAAAATATAAGCATCTTACACTGCTATTGGCTCTTATTTTTTTCAAACATCCTTCTAGCCATGTCCTTATAGTTTGTTTTGCAACCTCTTCCTCAATCAAAAATTCGAATTCCTCTCTGGCTAGCAACTCTTCCATTTGCAATGATTTACGAATATCCACTGTACGATATGAAAGCATACTGTAACACAACATTATTCAATTCAATCATATGAATATCAATATTATTTATTACAATATGAATAAAAGTGAGTATAATAAAAAAAAGAAATTGAGCATGAAGTCTATAGTATTTATATTCACTTTACAAATATTTCTTCTTTAATTAATTCGGTTACAGTTTTAATTCGGTTCGATACCTCGATAAACTGTTACCGGCTCTCATATCTCATTGACAGATTTTATATAAACATATGCTGCATTTTGTAACAGTTACGGGGTAGATACATTGTACTCTATTATAACAATGAATCTTACTTACTTGATGACATCATGGAATGTAACATCTTCTCCGTTGTGCAGTCGCTCCAGCTCGTAGCACATGTATTTAAATAGTAACCGCTCCTTATGTGTATCACACTCTAACCGCCCCTTAAGGAGTCTTAAAATGAACTTCACCTGAAGACACAACAAAATCAGCTTAGATTCTAAATCTTCTGTCTACGAAATGCCTATTCGTTACTATTGAATGTGTATACATATGTATATTATACAATGAAATGTCTTAATTGCCACGAAATGGTCATATTATGTCATTAGTCAGACAGATATAGAGCGATATGAGATATATTTATATGTATAATAATATATATACACCCGTGAGAAAACTAAACGGGCAGCTAGTTATGTTATAAGAGGAAATCTATTGAAATTACAAACCTTTCTTACTGGTATTACACCTTTTTGGTGCACATCAACAACGTTCCATGTATTTTGAAAGTTTCTAATGTCAGCATATGATAACAAAGCATCTTCCTCGTTAGAATAAAATAAGGAAAAATTTTCCATGATAATAGCTGTAATGATATAAATTTAAATATGATTTACTACTATAATATATAAGATAATTATAGTAACAAATCCATACTTCAGTAAATACGTACCCACAAGCAGATTTAGAACGATGTATGTAATAATAACATAAAAGGTGCAGAAATAAGCTAGAGAGGCGGTGAAGTTACCGCAGTCCGTCTCCCAGTAATTGTCTGCGGGAGTACAATATGGTGGTGCGACCATGCAGTCATGCATTATTTTGTTCCAGTCTTCGCCTGTTACAATGCGGAACAGCATCGCCACACTGTGAATGGGCGAGTTGAAGTTTGCACGCCTGAAAAACAATATAACATTATAATGTGCAATATATGTGACAGTTTATAATAATTACCAAAAAGTACAGATAATATTGTACACAATAATATTACAAGTCGCCGCCTTTGTCTCCAAAACCATTATTTTTTAATAATTGGTAATAAATGTATTATGTGTATTGACCAAGCCGCGACATCGACATATCGCGCCAATGCGATATCTCATATATTTAAATAATTGTTATGTAATTCTTGAACGAAACAATGCATGCAAATAATATATAAAGGCTATTAAAGAAAATCGTAATATCGCGAAATATCTAACAACAGTTAAATGTATAATAATTATTCTATACTAAATGAATGGGAAGTTCAACTCACCTACCAATACCCTCGCCATACTTAACGTTCCCAAAGACAATAGTGCCAGCCAGCGCATAGAAGAACACGAGCAAGAACATGCCGAATATGATAAAGAAGCTCTTGCACACACTCACTCCAACTGTCAGCATGAGCATTTTTAGTGTCGTATGCTTGCCGGTTATTGTAAAAAATCTCAATATCACTACCATAAATCCAACGAAGTATGATAAGTCATTCTAAAAAAAGGAAATTATATCTATAACGATATGAATAGTACATTTAAAAATAGACTTACAGTAAGGCTTAAATATAAAATGTTCACTACAAAAATGTACTAGTGCAATATTTTTTATTTCATGGATGGCATCAGAAGAAATCTTCGTGGGTTCTATTTCCTCACACGGCGGAAACATTTGTATTCATGAGTATGATTGTTTGTTTTGGTCTGGGTGATTTAAATGCATATTAAGTATGTATTTACAAAAAGTTAAGTTAAGTAAATATTTAAGTATTTATATCAGTTCTCCAGTACCAATAACACAACCTCTGTTTTGCTTGGGAATATATAATGTTGTGTGAATTGTCCAAGGTTGTTGTCAACTATTGTTATAGAACATCTACAACGATAAATAAACTGACAATCTTTTTTATGTAACTAAAATGGTTAATAGTTTATAGTCATCTGACAATAAGGGACTTGGCCTTTAAACACATGGAGTGTCAGACTCACGACTCACGTCAGTCATCACGTCATCATGTGCTGACTGTGGGGAGACATACGTTCCCAGGCCGGAGAATATTTTACAGCTAAGAATTGCAACATATAGTATAGATTTTCTCACCTTTAGTATAAAGTGCATAAATATCCAGATACACCCAGCCACTGTTACAAGTAAATCGTATCTGTTGCGACGACTCTGCCAATAACCACGAGGGGTGAACGCTATTGTCTTCAGTAGAACTTCCACGACAAAAACCAGGGTTAAGAGAGCCGACGTGAGTGCCAATTGTTCGGTGTAAGGTGAATAACGAGACCACTACAATGTATATATAACATAAATGTAATGAAACAGAACTTTATAGGTAAAGTGGTAATAATTTGAATATTACAGTATCTGAAGTAATATTCATAATTATCAATTAAAAATAAATATAATTTTGTGCAATGTTCAAATTTTTAATATTTACTCTGTATAGTATTAAAATTTTTATGAAATATTAGTAAACTGCCAGTACTTACAGTTACTGCCAACAGTCCACTGTTGATTAGTACGACAATAGCTATAACCCTCTTAAAGCTCAAATTTTGTGTTACGTCGTAAGCAAAAGCTCGCACTTTCCGTTTGTTTGGTCGCGGCGGTAAATGAAGCGGCTGAGCAATTTTCAATCTCTTCTTTAAATCACACCTAAAACAATAAGTCATCATTTTCTAATAATTTTAATAATACAGTCAAAATAAATCGAAGCAGGATTTATAGATATAATATAAGAATAAACGAATATAATTATATATATGATACTACAAATCTATCAAGATTTAATAAGGACAAAATTTAATAGGATACAATATATCCAGTTATGACAAATTAAGACGTATTTATTAAAAGAAGAAGTATTTAAATAGATATGATTAATGATGCCAAAATACTAAACATCGCGAATTTTCTCCCGTGAATTAAGATAAAGTGATTTATGTAAATTAGTAGTCCTGACCATTTATTTATATTTAGTATATATAAACAAATGCACAAACTTTAAAAAATCTAATATTAGTATGAAGAAAATAATTATTCGTTACATAACTTTAAGCAAATTAAACATTAACTAATGAAATTGAACAGAACTGCATACTCACCATCGTCTTTGGTCTACAGTCAACAGAGCCGTGCCTTTATTTTCAGAGTAGTTTGCTATGACCACGCCAACAAATAGCGTCAGTCCGATCATACAACCCAAGAATATGTAAACATGAATGTAAAGTGCGTGCACCTGGAATAAATTGCATTTTTTTAATTAACTCAAAAAGCTAAGAAGCTGACGGCTCATCAGATTTTAAATGGCAACCTTCGCATATATACGTGGACAACGCTACAGAAATCACGTTATCGTGTTACTCTTGTATGTCTTAGTAGCCGGTAATTTCACTACCATATCTTACCCTCAAAGAGATTTTTAAGATATATTTAAATAAAACAAACACTTACGGGACCTAACGCCTTGATAAGCACGTCACGAACATCCAACCATCCTTTAAATGATAGCACTTCAAACAAAGTCAACAGAGCATCGCCGATGTTATCGAAATTAAATCTCTTCGGATTAGCCCTGCATAAGAAAATATAAGAAATAATATTGCGTTATATGTGATATTTAAATGAATTAACTGTTTCAGCAGTTTCGCCTACGCGAATCTGTTATTGAGCTATATCTGTTTATTTTAAATTGAATGTGTTAATTCGAAACATTCAATGTGCCAACAATGTGTTATACAATAGAATATTTACATATTACAAGCATAATACAGAATATTTACATATTTTCGGGCATAAATAATAATATTTTTTATTTAAATTTGTATAAAATATCGACCAACACCAGCTGAAAGTTCCACTCTATTTATCAACACAAATTCAAATCCATACTATACTTATTAAATGAACAAAGACAATAATTTGCAATGACTTACCATACTCTGGGGACAAGCATAGAAGGAAAAGTCTCATTCGGTCCAGGCCTTAACTTCATTTTTGTAACAAATACTCGTCGCATAAATACACCCACGCAGTCTTCACGACGCTTAATAGTGGGATCATTGCAACGTGCCAGCCTACAACGTATATTATTTATAAAATGTGGTATTTTAAAACTAATTGAACATTTGATATTAATCGTTAATCATATACTACTCTATTCTAACTACATGGATTGTTACAATTTTTAATATACTTCCAATTGTCGTTTTTCATAGAAGAATGAAGACAATAAAATTCTCAACTTTCAAATGTTGAGAACTCTATAACTAAATAAAAAGTACACAAATCTTATACAGATTTGTGTACTTTTTATTTAGTTATAGTTCGAAATATGTATATAAAACTAATATTCTAATTACCTTCCACCATATAACTGAACACCATAACTTGCGAATACGAACATTAGCAAAATCAGCAGAGTAGATACCTGAATAAAAATATAACAAATTATAACTGTAAGCAGTTTTAGAAGTGATACAAAATAAAAAAAACTTGAAAGTCTAAAAAGTAACCCATTTTAAGTCTGAGTTTCTTTTAATCTTACGGTAATAATAGTACAAGATGGAAACATTAAAATTTCAATTTTTATTGTATTGAATTTAAAGATAGTTGTTAGGTACACAAATACTTAGACATAGGTCACCCTCTACATAACAAAGTTTTTATAGTACATAACCTTTATTTTAGATTAATAAAGAGATATCACAAATTAAATCAAATTTTGCAGTGTTCGGTATTTTAACAAAGAGATTCTTCTAAAACATCTGTTACAAGATAAAAACCATACGTCTGCTATCTTCGACAATTACACACAGTTTAGTCATCAATTAGCGATAATACCAATAGGATCTCCTTGAAACCGCGACACAGCTCGTAAACTACTTTACGCATGTGCGGCACGAGTGTGAAGATGCGAAGCGGTCTCACGCAGCGTAGGATCATAAGCATCTGCGCAGCCGACCCTGGAGGTACACGCACAGGCATCCAGCATAAGAATGTCAGCGACACCTGGAAACATACGGCAAGTAAGGAGCGTAGGATACTCAACTCAACATGACCCCATCTCTCCCTTTCTCCAATTTTCTCTTCCTATCCAAAATTCAAAATATTTTTATTCATGTAGGTCCATTACAGACTCTTATGGTATGTCAAATCTACCGTCAGTTCGGAATGATTTCGAGATGAGAAGAACTGACAAGAAACTCAGATTGTATTTTTTTTTCTTTAATTGTTGTACATATTTACATTAATAGATTCATTTAAACTCAAATTTGGGAGAATAGAGTGACCACCAGCATATGCTATTGGCAAAAAAATCTAATCCGTGTTCGCTGAACAGACCAGTCCCCACAAGCAGCACCCGTTCACGAGTATGATGGATGAGCCAGCCATCATTGCACTAAACCATATTAGAGGGAGTACATTTTCTGTATTTTCAGTATTCATCTTCCCACCTGCCCGCGTTAGCTTCAGAATGGGGAAATTAACTAAACTAATTTCCACATTCTCCGCTTTTTTTATAGATGAATATAATTTGATGCCATGCACCAGTGTAGGATGATAGGAAGAGCATTAAGTTATGTCAGTTAGCCCATTATAATCAATTCACCATAAATTAACCATGATGGTTTCCATGTCAACATGTGCAGGGTGAAGAACAAGATGGATATTTATCTAGTAATTTCATCCGCCTGAAAGGCTTAAATCCTGTTCTCTGGAGGTTGTCGCCCTATAGTCAATGCCGGAGGAAAGGTATTGGCCCCGAGCGCTCAACCTTCACCTTCCTAGGAAGGTGCAGATCAGTCTGATACCTATATCATAATAGGATTATTATCATATAAATCACCGATGGTTGTGTTCCAATTTGATATTGAAAATGAGGATAATTTAGGAAACACTTTGGTTACGCCAAACGCGATGCGTACCTGGTTTGTTGATGTGCATTGACACCCCTCCCGGCTAATTCAATAATCAGTGATGTCATAGCTTTCGCCGCGCGCGCACGTCGCACTCATATCGCACGCATGTCTTAATAGTTGTAATCAACCTGAGTGAATTCCTGAGATTCCTGTAACCGTGTGGGCCCACTGAAGAACAAGCACATTGAAGTAAGGGTAAGTCATTCATATTTGACCAGCCAGTTTCCTATACAACAATATAGTCCATCGAAGAAGGCTAGATCATAGCCACCGCGCCACATTTATTGGCCTTCCGTCGCCGGATCACAATAGGAATCGCAATTTATTTATTTAAAATTTGTTTTAATTTTTTCCTATTGTGAAAGTCGAGTGAATGACTCGCATGTAATATTGAACCTTATTGCGCATGTAATAGGATCTATTCAAATTGCATACCACGGTTGCACAAATATAACGATACATTGGTATTTTCGTTAATAAATAAGTTTATATTTATGTCGCTTATGAATTGTTCATAACTCGCAGCTCAGTTCTTCAATTTCGCTTTATATCTGTTTGCGTTGTTTCGTTCATTTAATTTCACATTCACCCGCATTATATCGATATTGTTCGATCGATCGAAGCTTCTAGAAATATTATAGTTGTCGTTATACTATTTGACGAAACAATATTACCTGTCGAATATTATGTATGATGATTGTAGTGTTTGAATGTTAAGATTGTTAGTGTTAATTACCGTAGTCTTTACACAAGAAAGTGAGCAGGGAAAGCACACTATTTAATCTGAATAATTATTGATAAGCAGCGATTTTATTTCTGTTCGTAATAGATATTTTATTTCCTTGCATGTCGGTTAAAGATCGTGCCCTACGTACCTATGATTAAGTTATACGTGGTGTATCGACACAGTGACTAACAACAACGCTTTAGAATACTCCCGCGTAAAATAATAGTTGTGAACATAGTTATTTTATATCTTTTTAGTTATAGTTATAGATATATTATCTGATTTTCTATGACATCACTCACTTCGATTTCGCTTTATGTATAGTTTATGTTTCGCTCGCATATTTTTTTGTAGATGTATGGTCGATACCTACATTCGCATTGTCGCACTTATGTACCTACATACTACCGCTTATGAGTAGGTATATATAAATTTATTTGTCACGCGCTTTAGTGTTTAAAACGTTATTGTGATTTACTTCTCGCACCGCATATTTAAAATATTGCTTTTATGCATTATTTTATTTTTCTCGCATATAGGTATATATAGATAATAGTTGTACCTATTTTTCGCATTATTAATTAGTAGTTTTATAGCATAGTAAGCATATATTTTTTATGTATGCTAGTTTATATCGCGCATCATTTCTCGCATTTGTGTACTTATTTTCGCTACAAGTACATCTGTCTGTCTTGTAGGTATTTAGTACATTAAATACCTATTATACTTTATTATTATATTTATCGCTCGCCCTTTTACGGTAGTACAGGTATAGTTGTACGTTATTACCGCACATAGTTTTATATATCGCATTTATTGGTTTTCCTTTGTTATTTTTTAAGAAGTATATATATATAAATAATAATAATGGCTAACACAAACGCAAAATTAAAAATGTATGAAGCAAAACGTGCACAATATTTTTCGCAACTTCAGTCTATTTATGAATTATCTTCGAAAACTAAAATGGAGAAACATCGTAATGTTTTTATTGCAAAAGTTAGCCTGATCGATCAAATGCGCACCGAGTATGTTAAAATTGTCGATGAAATTATTCTCCTTAATTTGGAACTAAACCCTGATTATGTAGTTAATTATCAATCTCTCACCGCTTTTGACGAAATGTTTTATTCTATAAAGATGATGGCGGTCTCGTTACAACCTCAATCTTCGCGAACTCCAGCTCCCGCTTGTCAGTCTGCTTTACCAGACAACAAACAGGGATCAGTAAGGATCCCCCAAATTGTGTTACCAGTCTTCTCAGGTGATATTTTAGAATTTCCTTTCTTTTACGAAACATTCAAACAGGTTATTCATGACAATGAATCCTTTTCGGACTCAGAACGTTTTCATTATCTTATGAGTCACCTGTCAGGAAAGGCTAGAAATCTGTGTGCTGGCTTAGTACCAGCAGCCGAAAATTATCCTATATTGTGGCAAGCTTTAATCGACAAGTATCAAGATAAACGCTCTCTTGCAACGTCATATTTAGATAAATTATTTTCTTTAAAATCAATTAACGGTCCTTCGGCAATAAACTTAGAAAAATTTATTGATACTTTCTCGTCGACTATCGCAGCATTAAAGCAACTTAAAATTGAAAAGCTGGATGATTTTATATTTATTTATATGGGATTAAAGGCATTAGATCAGGCTACCGCGCAGTCGTATGAGTCATCAATTAGAGGAGAAGATGACATACCGCAGTTTGAAAATTTTATAAAATTTATACGTCAACACGTAAAAATATTACAACGCACGTGTAACCGCACCGCCGGCGCCGCTGCCGCCACCAAGTTGGACGGTCCCGCCGCCGCGTCCGCCAGTGGTCGTGCACAGTCGCATCAACGATCGATCGCTCGATCGCCACGTACATTTTTAGGTACTAATCCTACGCAACGCATTTATTGTTCCTTATGTAAAGGTGATTCACATTCTCAATTATATAAATGCAAACAATTTTCAACTTTCACAATTAATGATCGATTTAATTATATTAAAACTAACCGTATGTGTACTAGATGTCTAAGTAGTCAACATAACTCTTTCAGTTGTCAATCAACTTCCGCCTGTCGAAATTGTAACAATCCGAGACATCATACGTTGCTTTGTTTTAAAAATAATAATTCCGCACCTACGCAAGTATCTCAGGGTACGAAAAACGCACAGACATCTTCCACGCACGGTCGCCAATTACCACCATCTTCTTCGTCGCAATTGCCTCCGCTTGCGCACACACAACCCACACAACAGACACGATTAGAACCAACTCCCGTTCCTATTGGAACCACCACTGGTGGAGACAAGGAGTCGTTATGCACGCTTTCATCGTCCATTCATGAGCAGCCGTATGTGACTGAAGTACTTGCTACTGCCAAGGTATTTGCTACTGCTCGTAATGGGAGTGATGTTGTCATTCGCTGCTTATTGGACCCCGGGTCACAAAAGCATTATATTACTTCTAAATGTTGTTTAAAATTGGGTTTAACCATGCAGCCGGACGCACATACCACCGTTAAGGGTATAGGTGGCGCCACTGAACCAGTTAAGGGTGCAGTTGATCTCTCTTTGCGATCGAGATTTAATCATGAGCAATATTATAATATTCGCGCTTTAGTTTTGAATAAAATAACAGGTAACTTACCAACATGTCAAATTGATGTTGGCGCGCTCAGTTACTTAACTAATATTCCGCTCGCAGATGATACGTGGGGAACACCATCAGAAATTGACCTTTTGATTGGTGTCAATCTATTCGCGACCCTTTTGTCTGGAGGTAAAATTATAAATTCACCTGGTACTCCAAACGCGTTGGAGACTGTTCTCGGTTATCTTATTTTAGGTGAAGCTCCCACCTTAACTTCTACGTCTTCTTCATTCTCGTTCTGTTCCACCACTTCGTGCGAGGTTTCAGTATTAATTCGCAAATTTTGGGAGATTGAAGAAGTAGATCGCAAACCAATAACAAGTATAGACGATAAATACTGTGAAGATTTTTATACCACAACGACCACTCGTAACGAATCAGGTCACTACGAAGTCGCTTTACCATTTAAGTATAGTTCTAAGTCTTTAGGGAACTCTTTCGATATCGCTAAACGCAGATTTTATCATTTGGAACGTAAATTCGCATCGAAACCGCAACTGAAATACCTTTATGATGAGGTAATTCACGAATATATAGGAAAACAATATATTTCTCCCGTAGACGTAATTGAAAATAACAGCCCTAGTTATTTTATACCGCATCACGCAGTCTTACGTGAGGACAAAGTGTCCACGAAAATAAGGCCGGTACTAGACGCAAGCGCGAAGTCTAGTACTGGATTTTCGCTTAATGATATTCTACATACAGGTCCTTCCTTACAACAGGATTTATTTATTATTCTCTTGAATATGAGATTGTTCGCAGTCGCCATCTCAGCTGATGTGCGACAAATGTATTTACGAATAAAAGTTCGCCCGCAAGATCGTTGTTTTCAACGTATTGTATATAGATTTAGTCCTAATAAACCGCTCCAAGTCTTTGAATTTAATAAAGTTGCATTTGGCTTACGTTGCAGCCCGTACTTAGCATTACGTACTGTAGCTCAGTTAGCTTCCGATGAAGGAAATAAATTTCCAATCGCGCATGAAATTGTAAAGAGAGACATATATGTTGATGATGTTGTTAGTTCAGTTAAGAATAGTAAAGATGCCTCGCAGGCAGCATCAGAGCTCACCGCTTTATTTTTGACTGGTGGATTTGAACTGGCAAAATGGACTAGCAATTGTAAAAAGGTCTTAGAGCACATTCCAGAAAGTAATCGTTTTTCGCAAAATCTGGAATTCGATAAGGATGAAACGCTTAAAATTTTAGGTTTATGTTGGTTTCCATCAGATGATGTTTTCGCATTTAAAGTTACTCCCATTAATCGTCCATGCACCAAACGCAATATTTTATCATCAGTCGCACGACTTTTCGATGTTTTAGGTTTAGTCGCGCCTATAATATTATATGCAAAGCTTTTAATTAAACAACTTTGGATTTTAAAACTCGATTGGGACGAAACGCCCCCGCAAAAAATTGTTCGCACGTGGAATCAATTCCAATCTGAATTACCACTCATTTCTAACATTAAATTTATTCGTCATATAGGTGTTATTGATAATTGCAAATTAAACATTCTCGGATTTGCTGATGCATCCGAACGCGCATATGGTGCTTGTGTATACGCGTATATTGAACTGCCAGATGGTACTTCAAATATTACACTTTTATGTGCCAAGTCAAAGGTAGCACCATTAAAGGTAATTGCTTTGGCACGATTGGAGTTGTGTGCCGCTGTAATTCTTTCTAAATTAATCAAAATTATTTATCAAGTTTATTCGCCAAGATACCCCATAGAATCGGTATTCGCATTTTCGGATTCTACGGTCGCATTAAATTGGATACACTCGTCGCCACACAAATGGCATACGTTTGTTGCGAATCGAGTATCGCAAATTCATGAAAACATGGAACCAACGCATTTTTATCACATTAAGGGCACGGACAATCCCAGTGACTGCCTGTCTCGGGGACTGAGTCCTGCTCAACTCGCAACGCACCCCCTTTGGTTAAATGGTCCACCATGGATTTGTAAACCAAAGGGACAATGGCCAATTAAGCCATTTCTTGCTGCGGATTCATCGGACATTCCAGAATTAAAACCTATCGCACTGGTTACCATTGAAGATTCTATGGAACCTTATTTATATTCGCTCGCTCGCAAATTTTCGTCATGGATGAAATTACTTCGTGTAATTTGTTATATTTATAAGTTCGCTAACATTCTTCCACGCGGCGTCATATCCAGTTCCGATTTGGATTTCGCCGAACGTATAATTGTTCGCGCTGTGCAGGGGTTTCATTTTAAAAACGATATTAGCAAGTTAAATAATAAAAAACCTTGTACCGCATCAATAATTAAATTAAATCCATTTTTATCAGACAATCTCTTAAGAGTTGGTGGTCGTCTGACTCATTCTGATGAAGATTTCGATTATAAACACCCTATATTACTTCCGGGCAGAGATCATATAGTTCAATTAATTGTAACACACTTTCATCGTAAAAACCTGCATACAGGCCCAGAATTGTTAATGTCAATACTACGTACTAAATATTGGATTCTCGCAGCTCGACGTATGATTCGCACGATCGTAGCTAATTGTAATATTTGTTTCCGCAATAAACCGCGTCCTACATTCCCACCGATGGGTGATCTGCCTGCACTAAGGGTGAAGGAAGTTCCTAAAGCCTTTGTCCATTGTGGCTGTGATTTCGCAGGTCCGTTTTTTGTAACCCTTATCGCGGTCGTGGTATAACCACTCGCAAAGCATACGTTTGCTTATTCACGTGCTTAACCACTCGGGCTGTTCATATTGAGCTCGCAAGTGAATTGAGTACAGTTTGTTTTCTCGCCGCGTTAAAACGTTTTCTCGCTCGCCGCGGTCCTATTCAATGCATGTATAAGGATCATGGTACTAATTTTATAGGGGCACGATCCTACCTACGTGAACTTTATTTGTTTTTATCGCAAGAATGTAGATCTGTTTGGGATAAGGAATTAGCTAACAATGGAATTAAATGGACCCTTATCCCTCCTAACGCACCGCATATGTCCATTGCCTTTGCAATAATATGTATTCTATAAGATAGGTAGTACGCATTTATAATAGGTTAATAAGTTAAGTTAAAATCCTTTGCATTTTTCTTATTTAGTAAATTCCGCATTTGATATTTTTTGTATTTTTTCTTTATTGTTTTTTGTATTTGTCGCATTCGCAATAAGGTTCAATTATGTAGTTCCTTTATTTTTTTTGTTAATTTTACTTTGACATTATGTCAAGGCGGGGGGCATGGTTACGCCAAACGCGATGCGTACCTGGTTTGTTGATGTGCATTGACACCCCTCCCGGCTAATTCAATAATCAGTGATGTCATAGCTTTCGCCGCGCGCGCACGTCGCACTCATATCGCACGCATGTCTTAATAGTTGTAATCAACCTGAGTGAATTCCTGAGATTCCTGTAACCGTGTGGGCCCACTGAAGAACAAGCACATTGAAGTAAGGGTAAGTCATTCATATTTGACCAGCCAGTTTCCTATACAACAATATAGTCCATCGAAGAAGGCTAGATCATAGCCACCGCCGCACCACACTTATTAAGTTATTTGTATGCAAATATATATATAAACACTACTTACAATGTAAATAAACACATCCAATACAGCGGCAGCGTCTTTAAGATATGCTTTAGGTGTAAAGAAAAGACCGTCAGCAAGAATTTTTAAGGCCAATTCTAGACTCATAAATATCACGAATCCATACTCCGCTATCTGAAATACATATATGCGGGGTGATAATTGAATCTATAGATTATGTTAAGACTGATAACTAGTTGTATACTTTATTATATATTTACCTGTAACACAAAATTTTCCATAACTCTGTAAGTAGGCGTCTCGAACATCATCGACAGGCAAGATAGAGTAGTGACCATAATCATAACCCAGTCCATGTATGTAACTAGGCCAAGGAAATTACTGAAATAAAATGTATTAATAGTATTACATGTACGGAGATATATTAATATTACAGTATGCGAATGTACATATATAATATACCTATATAATTAGAAATAGTAAAGAGCATTTTTTGTATGCTTATTCCCCTTTAAGCACCTCGGGTATATAATATTCGAAGCACATATATATACATATATATATATATATATATATATATATATATATATATTTATAAGAATAAACAAAATATATGAATAATGATTTGACTAGCTTTTTTGTTAACCTAAGCATTTATAATTTACTTACTGAAAGCTTTTGTAATGGACCTTTCGTTCATTGCCCGTAACAGGGTCTCTCAACCGAGCATCGTACCGGGCGTCTACGATAGCACGACATATTTTACGGAACCGTGATTCTCGTGGGACTATCAATAATGGCGTATCGAATAATGGATGGTTCTCTCGCAAATCCTCTTCTCGTTGATTTCTAAAATTAAAACATATTCCATTTATTGCTGTTTAGCGATTTCTTTGACTTTAGTATGAAAATAAGTATTAATAAATACACATTTATTAAGTGTTGAGTATTATTCTTTTCGGATGGCTTCTTCAGAAAAATTAATATAAACGTAGACGCATATATAGAGGTATCTGAACATAAAATTTAATATGTGCATTAAAAAATTATGAGTGAAAAAGGAATAAAATACGGACCGTTATTGGCCGAATATTAAATAAAATTAATCAATTAATGGTTAAGTGCTATCATGCAATAACACATTTTGACATATGGTGATGCCATATTGAGCCCACAAGCACCACTTGTTAAATATATTATTATATCGTGAACATAATAAATATTTAACAGGTGATGCTAGGCACTATAAGGTACATCACAAGTATAATTGAAAGATCATTAATAATATTACGTTAATTTTAAAGTTAATCATATTGTTAGTTACGGTAAACAAATACCTTCATAGGTATGTTCATGGTATGTAATTAGAAGGCACTTTACCTTCTCATTTCGGCTTGTTGTCGTTTGGCCTGTAGTAGGCGTATGTCGAGGTAGGGTGGACGGGACCTCGAAGCGGGCACAACGCGGGAGGCGGCCCCAATGTCGCCGTTCTCCAGCAGGTGCTCATACGTCTGCTTCAGTTTGATGGAACCGCTGCGTACCGAGCGTCGTATGGACCGCGAACCGAACCTGGTACAACCGATTATACTAGCACACTTTTTCAGAATAAATGGAGTATTAATAATTTTAGTGCGACAAATAATCTTTAAATAGAAATAGAAAACCATTTATTCAAATAAACTTACATTGAAGCACTTTTGAATAGTCATTACATTTTTTCAATCTACCGCTCATTCGGAAGGCTGTCTCATCACAAGATGAACGAGAAAGAAACTTGCGTGTTGCTCTTTTAAATAATTTTATGATTACTTTACAGTTTTAAGTTTAAGTGTGCGAATACAAACCACCAATTAGCACTAATTCAATTAAAAAATATTGAATATATAACCAACTGGTTAAACAATTAATAAGAGGAAATCAGTCATAGTGATTAGAGCAGACCAGTCCCTACAAGCAGCACCCGTTCATGAGTATGACGGATGAGCCAGCCATCACTGCGCTCGACCATATTTTAGGGAGCCCAACGTGGTGGGCCGGGTACCACGCCGCCACAAGTCTGGACATTTTAGTGAGCAGGACTACTCAAAACACTAGACCACGTCAAAGCTACTTACAATTACCATCTGATAGTTATAGTATTCACATTTTACATAAGAATGCATGCGGCAATCAATACAATAACCGCTACGCTTTCATATTTCTAAAATAATTAAATCAAGAAAGCAAATCTATCGATTAAATCAGCGTTCTTTAATCGGTCGATTAAAAAAAACGCTGTTATGAAAAATCGCAGTAATATAAGTGTATCAACCAATAATCTTTCTCTGCACCACTCATGGCTGACTGGTTGATAACGACAAAAAAGTGTTTAATCCGACATATGTAACTTTTATAAGTGCATTAAAGTTAAATAAAAACATTTTAAAAACTTAATAATATGATTTGGCTTCATCATCGAAGCCCGGAAGACGTCCACTGCTGGACATAGGCCTCCCCCAAAGATCTCCACGACGATCGGTCCTGCGCTGCTCGCATCCAATGCCTTCCAGCGATCTTGACCAGATCGTCGGTCCACCTTGCTGGAGGCCTTCCCACGCTGCGTCTTCCGGTCCGTGGTCGCCACTCGAGGACTTTACTGCCCCAACGGCCATCTGTCCTACGAGCTATGTGCCCTTCCCATTGCCACTTCAAAGTCGCAATTCTTCGGGCTATGTCGGTCACTCTGGTTCTTCTGCGGATCTCCTCATTTCTGATTCGATCACGCACAGTAACTCCGAGCATAGCCCTCTCCATTGCCCTCTGAGTGACTCTGAGCTTGTTGATGGGGCCCATAGTTAGCGACCACGTCTCTGTTCCGTAAGTCATCACTGGCAACACACATTGGTCGTAAACCTTCGTCTTGAGACACTGCGGAAATTTGGACGAAAAGATATATCGGAGCTTCCCGAACGCTGCCCATCCGAGTTGGATTCGACGACTGACCTCTTTCTCGAAATTGGATCTACCTAGCTGAATAGTTTGCCCTAAGTATACGTAGTGATCGACAATTTCGAGTGTAGAATCACCGATTTTTACGGGAGCAGGTACGACATGGACGTTTGACATAATTTTCGTCTTGTCCATGTTCATTTTAAGACCTACTCCTTGTGAGACTCTACTGAGGTCTTCGAGCATTTTGCTAAGGTCTTCCAGGGTCTCAACCATGACCACGATATCGTCGGCAAATCCAAGGTGATTGATGTACTCGCCGTTAATGTTGATGCCCAGCCCGCTCCAGTCCAGAAGCTTGAAGATATTTTCCAACGCAGCGGTAAACAGCTTTGGCGATATGACATCGCCTTGTCTGACACCTCGTTGCAGTTGGATAGGCTTCGAATTCTGGTCGTGGAGGCGAACTGACATAGCGTTTTCATACAAACATTTCAACGCTTCGATATATCGATAGTCAATTTGGCACCGCTGGAGAGACTGTAGCACGTCTCGATCGAATCAAAGGCTTTTTCATAGTCCACAAACGCCAAGCAAAGTGGCAGGTTGTATTCTTCGGTCTTCTGAATTACCTGCCGCAGCGTATGAATGTGGTCTATGGTACTGAAGCCGTGATGACTCTGGAAAACAACTTATAAACATGGCTCAGCAGTGTTACGGGTCTGAAATTCTTCAGAAGCGATTTGTCTCCCTTCTTGATGAACAGAACCACCACACCCCTTTGCCATGCTTGAGGCGTTTTGCCCTCGAGGATGACGGAGTTGAATAGCTTCTGGAGGATTCGTAGAACAGGTCTACCTCCAGCCCTCAGAAGCTCAGCAGTAACTCCATCATCGCCCGGCGCCTTGTTGTTTTTAAGTTGTTTAAGAGCCATACCAATCTCGTACAGGCTGACGTCCGGGATATCTTCGGTATAGTGTCGGGTTAATTTGGCTCTAGTGTCTTTCGCCGTGTTGTTAACAGGTGCCCGTGTTGTCGTGTATAACTGTCCGTAGAACTTCTCAATTTCCCTCAAAAGTTCGGGTTTAGACAAAACGATCCTGCCGTTATCCGTCTTAAGTCGCGTCAGCTGGCTCTATCCGGCAGCCAGATCCCTGTTAAAGACTTTTGAGCCCTTGTTTCTCTCTCACAAATTGTGTAAAGGAGGCCTTTACACAATTTGTGTTAAAGTGGCGTAAGTCACGAGTCAAGGACTTAGAGATCTGCCTGCTAAGTTGCCGATACTGAGAAGCGTCAGTCTGAGACTGCAGGACCATACTTCGCCTTTCATCCATCAATTTGAGGGTAGAGATAGATATTTTTCCGGTTCTTTCTGCGCGGCGGGTTTTGAAGTGCTTAGACCCAGCCGCACGGACAGTTTCCACGAACCTGTTGTTGTAATCGTCCACGTCAACGCAGTCACCAAGGCTTTCGAAACGGTTTTGCAATTCTAGCTGAAAGCTTTCGGGGTTTTGGATCTGTATAGATGTAGGGCGGAGCGTAGATTTCATCAGTCGGGATCGTTCTAGTTTCAGATTCAGATTCAATGTGCCTCTTACAATCCGGTGATCACTTCCAATTTTGACGGCATTGATCACAGAGACATCGTTGAAAATCTGTCTTCTCGTTGACAAGATGAAATCTATCTCGTTTTTTGTGGCACCATCGGGACTAATCCACGTCCATTTTCGGTGTTCCGGCTTCCTGAAGAAGGAGTTCATCATAAAGAGGTTCTCCTTCTCCATGAAGTCGGCCAGCATTTGACCTCAGAAGTTCCGATCACCGACACTAAATTGCCCCACTCTCAGCTCATCACCGCTTCGTTTGCCCAATTTTGCGTTAAAGTCCCCCATGATAACGTTATAATGAGTCTTTGTACTATGTATGGCTCTGGAGATATCCTCATACATAGCCTCAACCTCATCGTCGGAGTGCGTCGAAGTTGGAGCGTACACTTGGATGACCTTCAATGAATACCGTTTGGTAATTCTGAGTATCAGGTACGCTACCCTAGTCGACACGCTCTCGACCTTGATAACATTATTCACAAGGGACTTGTGGACGAGGAACCCGACACCGCCTTGGGACAGTTGATCGCCCTCCCGGAAGTAAAGCAGATTGCCCGATTTCAGGACTATCGAGTCCTCCCCCTTTCTTCGGACTTCAGATAATCCCACGACATGCCAGCATAATGCAATCTGCTCAACTCTTCCTCCAGTTCAGTTAACTTTGATTTAACCTTATATATTGGTTCTGACTAATCTGTAGGGTTTCTTTCTTTATAGTAATAGTTGTAGTTATTGACTGCCTTGAAATGTATTCCACTTACTTTTTTTGGTCGACTCGTAACTGTTTAGCACTAGATATGGTCCCTTGAGGTTTTAAGCCGGATTTTCCACCTGTTGCCAGCATAGCTGAGTCTCCCAGTAATGGACGATGGTTGTTAGAATCCCTGAATATATAATAAATTAAATTTATTGAGCAATTGGAGTAATGAAGAATAAAAAAAACTTTCTCTTAATTTAAAATCAAATTGGTATTTTATAAAGTACTTATACCGTAGATATATAACTCATAAAATGAAAATAAATAGCGTAACAAAACAAAATAAAAACCTGCATGATGAAACCTGGGTGAAACTAAAAATACCTGAAAATAAATAAATAATGCAAACTTAATATAAAATAGTAAAAATCTTTAAAAGTAAAACTGAACCACTAAATGATAAGTTAAGCATAAAGTCAGGTCAATCAGTCCATTCTAACAGGTTATGCTGTCCATTATGATAGATACAGCTGTGACCTCACTCGATAATGGTGGTGACGACGTGGCGACGCAGCGCGGAGCTGGGCCGCTGCGAGGGCGGCGCCACGACCAGGGTCTTGACGAGGCAGCGCTTGCGATACGGGAAGGCGATCTTCGCGACGCCGATGTACTCAAACGCGCGCCGCGACACGTCACCCTGTGAGGGCGCCGCGCCGCTTCCCGCTCCGCCGCCTACCACGCCCACCACGCCCACCACGCCCGCCACGCTCGCTTCCTCCTCGCCGCCCTCTTCGCACACGAACTGCCGCATGAACGACTCCCGCACCTGATCGATCCATAAACCACTACATATACATATATATATATACACATCCAATTTTAAGATGAAAAAAGAATTGGCTTATGTATTTTATATTTTAGCCCTTTGAAATTATAGACTTTTTTATTAATTATGTTGATTTTGATAAACGTATTTAGTTTATGTAATTGCAATAGTAACGATCTTTTTTTTAACAAACTGGCCGTTTCTGTTAATCAATTGTTCATACATACTTCTTATGTAGAAAACACACAGATCGATACGAAATGACTTGAACATAAATTGTAATAGTAGATGTTTATTATACTATAAATATTTGTATCTAACTTTCCATCGATTTTTTTATCTAATATAAAATATATTTATAGATATTTTAATTATCACAAAAAATCAATAAAGTAATGTAAAGTTCTAATAAATACGTATTTTGCAAAACATGCTTTACTTACAATTATGTACCATAATCATTATCTATACAAATATTACTAATCTGAAGGGTTTTTTTGATGAATACGCCAATCTTAGAAACTATGTCATAGATATAAAAAAACTCCTTTAGTGTTGAATAACTCATTAATCGAAGAAGGCTACATAACATTACGTTAATAAGTGACCAGGAGAACATAATATAAAAAACAAGCAGCGTTTATATGTGTTGCTCTAAGGGTTTAGCGCACCGATTTACTTTAGATGGACGGAGGTTCGTTCCAGGCACGATGGAAACATTACTAACCTTTAGTATTATTATTTGTATTGGTTAGTTTTCTATGTATGTATTTACAAAAAAATGTACTTAAGTATTCATATGATTGTCTAGGAACTTTAACACAAGCTATGTTTAGCTGGGACAAGGGGACAATGGGAGTGTGTTAATTGTGATTATAAACACACCTTAGGTAAATTAAAATCTCCAGGAACTTTATGCAATTTAGTCATTTGAGGGCTGTCTGGAAACTTCTCAAATATCCTCAATCTAAAAGGTAAGCTTTCTTTAATTTCTGCACTCTGTTGACGGTATCGAAGTTGCTTCAACTTTTTTATATCTTCATCCAACTCCAAATTATCCAAAATAACTGCTACGAAAAGCGATAACACTATCTGAAATGTTATACATATTAATTCGTTATATACAAATGTATTTATATAGAGAAAATAAATAAGAACTATTTAATGTAAATATGTCTTACCAAGGTGACAAACAAGTGATATAATATGAAATATATAGCAACCAGAGGAGTAAGTGTCTGACTTGTTCGCACCATAGTTTCGTCCATAACTTCCACCCATGCTTCTTGTGTTAATATTTGAAACATAGACATAAACGCCTGAAATTTAAAAGACATTTGTCTATTTAGTATACCAATACTTTAATTATTTGCTAAATAAACAGTAGTATATCTTTATTCTATTTACTTTTAAAAAACTTGGGGTAGAAAACATATTTTTTTTTAATTTATAAATTCTTTATTAATACGATTTAATAACTTGAAATTTTATTTACACATAGGATAGTATAATATTCTTGATTTTTTATTTTAACAATTTGAATAAAAGCTTAATAATATAATAATATAATTAATAAAAAATAAAATTGATTGACTGTCATATAATATAACCGTGATTGAAAGTGAAGGGCTGGTGCAGTGATCAAAGAATTTAAGTCCACCCAAGTAATCCTGTATAATAATTTCAGGTAAATAATTATTTGTTACCAAATTCTATGTGTGTACATATCTTTTATCTATTTAATAATATACAAAATTTTCGTGTCACAGTGTTAACTATTAATAGATTAAATACTTCTCTGAAACAGCTTAACCGATTTTGATGAAATTATATAAAATTTATTATTTTACTTTGTGTCAAGCAATAATGTATATACTCCTAAATTTTCACCCTTCTACCACCAACCTGTATAGTTTAATAGATATTAAATGATATGGCAAAACAACCGAGTTTTGTCGTATTATCTAGTATTTCTATATATAGTTACGTAGTAAATACTACATTGTATGTTATCACAAATTTTTCATAAAAATCACTTACCTCGGGAAATGTTTCAAATTTCGTAAATTCGCAGAGAAAACAGAATAATTGCATTGAGATGGAAGAACTGATAATGAGCAAACACATAGTAAATATAATAAGACTACCAAGTTTTTTTCCTGGTCCAAAGATCTTGTATACAAATCCCTCGAGAAGTGGTGAAGCTTTAATTAATCTTACTATACGAAGAACCTGGGGAAATAAAAAGTCAGTAAATTAAAAATGACTCTTATACCACCCATTGCAGTGACAATGGATTTTATATCTATACTAATGTTATAAAGCTGAAGAGTTTGTTTGTAAAACAAACAAACAGTTTGAACGCGCTAATCACAGGAACTACTGGTTATTAATATTTACTTTACCTGAAAATACGTGAAGACTGACATATAAAGTTGCGGTATTATATGTATAGTAGTGCCAATAGCTAGTAACAATTCAAATTTGTGAACAGAATGCTTGAAATAACCTTTCAATCCCAAACACCATATTTTTATTAATGCTTCCAAGTCTAAGAAAATTGTGAATGCAATCTGAAATTAAACATCATAGCACCATTTTTTAGTAATCACATAGTCTTTTATTGTACTTTTATTAGATGTTGGGTATAATAATATATAATGTATAACATAGTATAATTAAAAAGAAATTACTTATCCTAAATCTACACAAGAATGAATTTTATAGATACCTCAATGTAATAGTATTTTTCATAAAAGAATTCTCTTGGATTGTTGTCATGTTTAAAATTCATTGTTGCCGTTATGATTCCATTAGCTAAGACGACGCCCATCACTAGTAAACGGAAATATGCAGAGCGTAACATTTTATGGAAAATGTCTGGTGCACTACCTGAAAGTTTCATAATCATACATTATTTATGTATGATAGTAGAATTTAATAAAAAGTTATATTTGGCACTATGTCCCTTCTGGATCCAGTTAACACAGTTAAATTATAGTGACATATATTAGCGACATACAACAACTATTATATTAATATTTAAAACAGAACCTCCGCAAGCTAAGTAAATATGTACCAAAAAATAAGTATAAAGAGAGGCAATTTATTTTATTAAGAATTTATTATACCTATTGATAATGAAATATTTATTTTTAATACATTTGGGAAATTGTGCTTTTGCTAAATAAAAATAAATGACTATCAAGTATTTTAAATTCAGATTGTATATGTTACCTGAATGTTTATTTTCATCAATAGTTACAAGCTTCCAACCATTGTCATCGCCAGTGAAAAACTGTGTTGTACTACCTTTTGTTATAGGATTTCGAACACCCCACATTTGTTGAAATTGTACTCTTATTTCATTAAATGTTTCTGTTATTACAGCTATGAATACATTTTTCACTAACCAAGCTAGGAAAAATATCATAGTGCTGTAAAATAATTACAATAATTATATCAAATAAAATAATTAGGATCGTTATTCCAGATTTGGGTAATTAGAGGCATTTTCAATTGTCTACGTCATGATCGCAACAGATGACATTCATACAATTCAGTCGGTATACATATAATTATATTTTTATCCAAAGTGGCACAGGACCGAGACTACCATGGACCATGGATTAACTTTTTGATCGTTATCGATTTTCAATTCACGACAGAGTCAGTCGAAAGTATAAATTAACAGGAAATTGTTTTTAACGTCGACCAAATTTGAACAATCGATTTTTAGGATTAAAATATATCATTTTCTCATAGTAAAAATTGTAATATTTTGAGTCAACATTATATTATGCTATTTATACACTTGTAATTGAAAGATATACCTAATTATAATTGTAATTGTCTTTTACCTGAAGTAAAGTGCAGACCTCCATGTCGGCAACGAGTCTATAGCACGGTACATAATAAAAACCCAACCTTCTTGAGATGAAGCCTGATAAACTGTGAATAAACTTGTTGCTGTAACAAAATAAAGAGTTTAAGTTTTTACTTGATAACTTTATTTTAAATTTAAATGCTAAATTAATATAATAACAATGAAAAAGTCAATATGTGTAGTAGGAATTTTTGTATTATTCAAGGTATCATAATATTGTAGAATTTAGAAATTATCCTGTACCACAGGTGAGGGAAGAGCATGTAACTGCAGAGTATGCTGCATCGCAGGGGCGACATGTCAGACAGTATTTTTAAAGCAATAATAGTGTACTTTCCTATCAATTTACTCATTTAAATGTATAAACTATATACTGAGAACATATCAAATATTTTTTTGAATAAACAATAATCACTAACCAAATTCCTCAAAGCCATTAAAACCCATTATATACTTGGACAAATTAAGTTTCATGCATTTCATTCCAGCTGGGCACTGATATCCAGAATCAGGATCAGGTGAACAAAATGTATCGGGTATAGCTAGGGAATTTATTGTAACTTCACTGGAAAAAAAAGCAATAAGTTAGTTAAATTTATGTATTTTACAAAAGTCCCAGGTACAAAGTTAATTGTTTGTATAAGCATTATAAGTTTTAATATAATAACAACTACTACTTACTTGGGATTAGTATAATTTCGGACACAATGGTGGGTCAGTTCACCAAAGAATTGTACACCTAATAAACTGTACAAAGACATAAAGAAGAGAAAAAATAGTGTCACATTATATATCTGTTGACTTGATCTCCTGCAAAGTGGAATTTAAAATTTAATACACATTAATTTGATATATTAAAAGATAATATATGGATTGGACTTACTTGAATATTTGATTGATTCTTGATTTTGGCATAGAGAATTTTAAGAACACCCTGAGAAATCTTATCATAATCAATGGTCTTGGGGCCCTTAATATACTTAGGTAACTATATCTGGGTACAATTCCAGTTAGTTCAAACATTTGTAATAGTACAGAAACCCACAAGAAAAACACCATAGAAGCATCAAACTGACACCAATGATCTTTCAAGTAAGCTACATCCCCCTGTAACATTGAAATTAATAAAATTAAAATCATACAGCTTGTAAAAAATAATGTATTTTTTTAATGTTACATTACCTTCAGTATGCCTCTTATATGCATTTTAGCAATCATTTCAGCAGTAAACAAAAGAGTTACACTACAATCAACACCAAATGTAACAGTTTGCAGGTAAGTATATTTCTCAAAAGATTTTGGAGTGTTTAATGAAACAGATAATAAACTTAAAAGAGCACATGATCTTAAAATTCTTCTAACCCATAACTGTAAAAGAAACAATATAAAATTTAGCAGAATAACATAAGTGTGAACAAAGAGAGTTCTTAATATATATAAAACAGATAATATTAATTCTTATTCAATTATCCACCACTACCACAGTATTATCACAGTATTTACCTTGTTTACCCATTCTATATCGGCACTTTCATTTAATGACTCTTCTGGACCATAGTCCGCGAGGACCGGTTCTCCCTTCAAGCTCTGTTTTCTCCCTAACATTTTTATACGTTTGAAGATAATTTTTAAAGGAAAATATCAACGAGTAACGTAAAACAATATGATCAAAATTGGGTGTATGTTTCCGTACTGTAACTTCGGTTAACATAATGAAAGATTAAGTGCATTTTATGATTTTACATTTAGTAATACGGTCCAGTCTATTTTTTATTTACAATTGAAAAATGTCTTTGATTTTTATTACTCTACTTATTATTCTCCTGTCTTGGTGTTACTAATTTGATAAGTATTAGAAATTATGCCCCACAATTTTCTTCTAATACTAAATAAATTTACGATGATTATATTTACATTTAGCGTATTTATTGATATTTAAACAATTTAATTCAATATAAAGCACTACCAAACAAAATAAATAACTATCATTCATAATCAAGGAACTTCATAATATATAATACATAATAGAGATGGAACCGTAGTTAATCTAGTTGACAACGAACTAGTTCTGAGAGCCCTACTAAAAATAATACATGCGAAGATTTCCCAGATTCGTAGCATTTTATTTAGGTTGATTAATAATGCAATAAAGGTCTTGCTGAGAGGCCTAAATTAAACAATAGGTACTAGTTTGCAGGAGATTATCGAAAATATTTGATCGAACTAACGCTCTACGCCTTCTTGTAATGAGTGGATTTAGAAGGTATCATTCACTCGACCTTCAGATCAGTCAAATTCCACTTTAGTTACTGTAATGCGATTAGGTAATTTTTTTTTACTTTTAAATATTATTAAACTATATAAGTACCTAGTAACATAGACACATGTCTATGTTAGATTAACATTCCGATCTCTGATTCTATATTTACACATAAGAAATACCTATCTAAACTATCTGCGTTTGACTGGAAGAAACAGATATTATGTTTTTATGGATAATTGGATCGTATTCCATATTAATAAAACATCGATGTTTTCCTGCAAAAACATTTCTGTTATTCGATATTTTATTGAATGTATTCTTTGAGTGAACAACCCTAAGGAAATAGTGATCAATACGATAAGTAGCGTAAGTTGCCATCACAGAGTACTTTATTATATATATGAAAGTTGCCATCCACTAAAATTTCTGTCTTGTGCGACGGATTTGAAAATTAAGGAAAGTAATATTAACGGTTTAAAATTTTGTCCTCTTCAGACATCCGTTTATTTATGTGGATTAAAAATACATACTAGACGAACAATAAAAAGTCATCCGAAAAATTCAGTCGAAATAGGTCCTTAATTTTATTTTTCCAGAAGCCTAGTACCTAGGTATCGACTAGATTATATGTCATCATATTAAATTCAGAGTGAATTTAAATAATAAAATCTGGTGTTACGTTCACTACAAAATAGAAAATGAACAATGCCTCGGACTACCAGATCCGGGATGACAGTAAAGGTATAAAAAATATTCATATAAAGGCTTCATAATTTACTACTCCATAACGTTATATGTTTAATACACTTTTTAAAAAGTTTCATCGGTGCTTTAATCATCATATTTTATTTAGGAATTGTATTATAGAAACCAAACCCTTATGTTTTTGGTAACAAAATATATACATAATCAACAACTGCTTCTCATAGATTATATATTTTTCTAAATTAATTTAAAGTATATGTAAGTATATTACATTAATTATCTATTTATTCTGATTCTTTGCATGTACCTTTTGCATCGAATTACGCACCAAATAGACGGCTAAATGGTAAATAGAGATGCTAACAAGTAGCTGCCTAGTTACGTCGCAATTCGTACTGAAAGTTAAAAATACATTTTCTATTAATATGTACCGTACCTAGTGGCATCTGTATTATGATTGCTTTCGATTCCTGGTTTTTACTGGGTTAACGATTACTTTGTTGTGTGCATTTGTTAAAACTTGGTAAGTATTACAATTAAATATGTAGAATGAAATAAAACATCGACAATTGACCAATAAAATTTCGTCATTATATTTAAATAAGAAATAATAGTTCTAAATTAAATGGAGATAGTACAGCAACCCACGATAAGTGTTGTTGCTATAGATTCGAAATAATCTTAATTTACGGCTTTTTTATATTTTGTATTGTTTTTTATTGAAAAATAATTTTATGCCTCCGACTTTGTATGTGTGGTATTAAGATTTACATAACTTTTTTATTTAACTTACGAATAAGACAGTGAAAATCTCCTTCTTGTTTTTGAAATTATAATATATAAATACACATAGACAAACAGATAAAAATTCTGTTAATCATTTTTGACGTCGGTGACACAAGTATAGTGTATATATATACATAAAAATACAGTTTGTGTTTATTATATATAGTAAACCTTATATAGCAAACACAAACTCTAAATTATTATTTAATGATGAGACACAATTAGAAAATGCAACAAGAAATATTCACTTAAACCAATGTCCACTGATCTATAGAAGTGATTAAATACCAAATATACGATTTTCACATTTAGGTACAATGTTATTATAGTTGTATTCCTGTTTTTCAGCAGGGTCGTGACATTCCAGTGATTTACTACACCGATTTAGGGCCTATTGCCCATTGTGCGTTCTAAACAGACAGCAACCAAAAATTTTTGGTGAAAATTTATTTCCGACTGACTGTCTGCTGATGGAAACAACTCAGTGGGCGCGCTTAGGTGTTCAAATGTTGCGTTTATCACAAGCATATTTACATTTTACCGAATATTAGCTGCCTTTAAAAAAATACTTGTGTCTATATAGACTTTCCACGTCTTGCATTGTTTTTTAAGATATGAGATGGGTATAAGAGACAGTTATACTTATACTAATATTATTACTTTATTTATCTTTCAGTTCAACAATGTCAAGATACAAGCAACCAAAAAATCTCGAAAAACTGGCATTGAAAAAACTGGGAGACTGGGTAGCATTACTAGCAGAAATTCATATGAAACCAATCGCAACACTAGCTCAAAAAGACATAAATAAAGCACATACAGTACTAACAGAAAACGTAAACTATTTACGCCAGTTCTTGAATTACAACGTGCCATGGATGATACATGATTTATTAGCAAATGAAGTTATTAGAGCTTTATCTGAACTACTGGAAAAAACAAAACAGTCTTTGGGATTTAGAGCTTCTATGGGAAAGTTCGTTACACAAATGAATGTGATTGTAAGGATGACAGAAGTTCTGTTTACTAAAAATTTAACTCGTGTTTGTGTCGATACTATACCAAAAATGTTACGTTCTGTATTTTATTCAAAGTTACCGATGCTAAGAGGCCTTGTTTACTTGAACCTCGGATCGCTTTCAGGTGGGTGGAAAACAGCTGATATGGAAGAGGGTGTTGTACAATCCCTTAAAGAATTACATTGTTTAAAATATTTATTTATAAATTATGATTGCACAGATAATATATTAAAATGCATAGTTGAAAACTGTCACCTCATTGAAAAGTTGGACGTCTCATGTTCTAAATGTGTTACAAATGAAAGTATTGATATAATATTAAAATTAAAAAACTTAAGAAGTGTACAATTGTATAGAACTTTCGTATCAAAAGAAGGTTTTACAAAATTACTTTTAAAGTGTAAAACTTTAGAAGATATTGGTAGGTGTGACGACATTGGTCGAATATTGGAATTTATTGACTTAACAAATTCCACTGCTAAGCCATTTAACTTAAAAGTCTATGTTAGTCGCTATGCCACTATGCAACATTTACAGCTCGCAGTGCAGATGTGTCCCTTTATTTGTAGTATGACTGTATTTCATAACACTTTGCAAAGCGATCTGATGGTATTAATAGGCCTCAAAGATTTAACGGATTTAAAATTGTTATCTTGTGATTTTTATGCTGATCAAGTTAAGCATGTTTTGCAGGTAAAAGGGTGCAATATAACAAATTTACATCTCGAACATGTTGATCAAATCGATTTAAATGCATTGATGTACATAAGCCAAATGTGTCCTTTATTAGAAAACTTAACTTTATACAATTGTACACTCATACAGCATACGTCATTATACACGAAAAAGTTAGAAATTTTACCTTACAGAAACTTGAAGAAATTAACTTGCGTATCTAAATGCACAGATGAGCAACTGTTATTTATATTTACAAATTGTATAAATGTGGAATATATTCATACAGGAACAGCAGTGCAATTCACAGATGATTTGATTTTCAATATTTTAGATAAAAACCCACTCATTTATCTGAAAGAATTTAGAATAATGCAGTCGGATTTCTTAACAATGAGTTCTGTAGAGCGAATTATTCAAAGTTGCATGAATTTAGAAGTATTAGTAGAAATGGAAAGTTGGACTTTGTTGACAGATAGTGATCGTGAATACGTCAGAAATTACATAAAAGCGAACAATTTAAACATCGATTTATCTTCCATACGTCATTACGATATATGAATATTAATATTTATTTTCACACCAAGTGCATTGTGGGCTAGACGTGTATCGAGCTTAGATGCCATTATACAAATAAAAAAGAATATAATAATAATCATAAGCAGTTATACTTGTAAATTATTTTATATAAATAGTTTTTTATTATATTTGAATAGTTATTTAATATAATTAAATGTTAGTATAATTTAAAAGTTATATTTTAATCTTGTATTTTTGCTGTTTATAAAATATTAAAAAAAACGGAAATACTTTCTATAGTTTTAATATGATTTATTCATTTCCCCGTCACATCTCTTTGTAAATTTAAAATAACCGTTTTTTACTACGTGCATATGAATATAAATACAGCAAAAAAACATTTTTGTCTGTCTGTCGTCTGTTGCAGAAATATCGGGATGTTGCTATAGTCAACATTGTACAGCTAATTCGTGCAAGCAATGGAAATTTTATTAGCGCTAGTAACGGATGGACATGTATGAGGCACCAGTGATAGACGATAGTGCGAAGATGAAATTTTTATATCAGTTCAATTAATTATTGGCGCCATTAGCCCTTATTACTAATAGGCTAATAGCCTATATAATACAATATACACTTGATTATTTATTTTAAATTTGACACGGTCCTTATTTATACATATTATTAGTATCAAAATCACGGGATCTCAATAAAAATAAAACGTGGTAAGAACCCGTGATTTTTTACTTATTATACGTATAAATATACACTCGAGTCTAGGTATCCCACAAGCTACTATCAGTATCGTGATAAAAAGTGGTTGTATGTTGATGGCAGCCAGTGGCCCTATTATTATTAGCAGGTTTACCCTATCATGTCGAGTCCGTGGAATCTACTGGAAACCATCGTAGTTAATTCGTGGTGTATTCGCAATATTGGCTAACTGAACAGACTACAAACTCATCATCTTGCATTAATGATCCGCAAATACGGTACGCATATACCGTTAGTCTAGGCGGGTGCACCAAGGGGCACCATGTCGGACGACCTCGTATAATCCAGCCATTGGGAGGTCCCCCATCTTCGTGAATACGTCCGCGGGCAACGGTGGCCGAGCAACGGTTCAGTTCTGGTACGCCCTGGGCGGGACGGTAGTAATACCTTCGGGTTACTGCTACTGTGTTGGCCGATAGACCGGTGAAGGGAGATGTCGCAGACTGGGACAATGGGCCCAGGTGGGGTCCCGTCCCGGCCGTTAAACGTCGCGTTGTTGGCCCGCTGCTGCTATGACTCTACCTTTGTAAAGATACGTACGGATTCGGCGCGGCTCTGTGTGGGCGGCAGTCTCAGGGGTTGGTGGGCGGAGGTGGCGTAAATGGGAAAAGTGACGATAATGGAACGTTGTACCCGCCTGCGCTAATGGTTTACGCTGGCGGGGCACCAGTGGAGGAAATAAGAAGAACATAAATTCAGGTCAGCCCATCGTGACAAATTGACCAAGAATTTATCACGAAGGTTTCCAGGCGGAATCGCGTGGAGATCAACCTGACAAGGTACATTGCTAGCAATGAGATCATCAGTCCACATTACTAATAATACCCTTTCCTCCCTCCCCCTATGCGTCGAGGAGGGCCCGCTGGCGGGCAACCGCCGCTATTGTGGGGTTCATGGTGAGTAGGAGTCTCACAGTACACATCCGTCCAACCCCTGAGATAGGCGGGTCTCCATAATAGATTTTCTTAATGAAATAAAAAAAAGGCAGGTGCACCATGCCATTACCCACATCAATAGCATAATGACTGTAAATAAGAATGTTTCTTGTATATATAAAGTTCTCGTGTCACAGTTTTCGTTCCCATACTCCTCCGAAACGGCTTGACCGATTCTCATGAAATTTTGTGAGCGTATTGAGTAGGTCTGAGAATCGGCCAACATCTATTTCTCATCCCCCTAAATGTTAGGGGTAGTCCACCCCTAATTTTTTTTTTATTTTTTAGACAAATTTTTAGTTTCTAATTTTTTTTTATGATACAACATACAAAAATACATACATTCCTAAATTTTCACCCTTCTATTATCAGCCCCTATTTTTTATAGCGTTATTAATTTATATGGCAAAACAACGTTTGTCGGGACAGCTAGTATATATATATATATATACATTATATTTCTAGACCCGCTTCACTTGGAATTATTTTGTTAAAATTTGTTTATATTAGACGCTAGTCTATGTTACCCGCATGTTTCTCCATTAGGGGAGATAAACAGTTGATAATTTAATATTACACACTCAGTAATTCCGAAGGATAATTTTGCCTGTATATTGAATTGAATGTAGTAGTAATGTAGCACAGGTTAGCAATATCATAAATTGAAATCTTCTGACATTGCTTATTCTTTTAATTAACTAATTTTATTTTTAATTTGATTTATGCTTAAAATAGTTTGCAACATGCCTACAGTTTGCAGAATATTGCAGTTCACATCTCAGAGAGCCCAATTTAGTTCGCAAGTCTCTTTATCAACTATATTTTTCAGAGGAAGACCAAAGCTGTTCAAGTATTTTTGATTTTTAGGTCATTAATATAGTTGTGACGTATGCTTATTCTAAATTCGAATTGTCGCTAAGTAACATGAAAAAACTGATAAGTCAAATATTGTATATTTAGTTGCAATTTTTCTTATAAGTAATAAACACCTAAAACATTATTTGTAGTTATATTTGCAATATAGTGGCGACCGTGACGAAATAAAACAAAAATAGTACACCATGGATATCCTGAAACGCAAAAGAACACAATTTAGACGGAAATTCACCATCATATCCGATGCAATAGAAAAAGCGTTCGAAGCAAAAGACTCCGAGACAATCGACGAAAAATATACTACACTCACAGATAGTGTCGAAAGTCTATTCGAATGTGAAGCAGCAATTCGCAACCTATGGTGTGAGAATGATAACTTCGACGAACAGTCCTTTCAAGCCGACCAGGACAAAACACTCGAATATCGGGAAAAATGGTCAAAGATAAGGACAAAATACACGAAGTACATAAAAGGAAGTGATCCGCTACAATGTAGTTCCAACCATTCTATCGTTTCAGCTAAAACTATGGTGAAGTCACATAATAACCAATGCAACAACAAACAAAGGCTCCTAATCCCGAAATTAGAGATAATTAAATTTGACGGGAACGTGAAGTCGTGGCTGTTGTTCTAAGGACAGTTCCAGAAGGTACATGATAACAAGAAGATCAATGACTCCGATAAGTTCCAATATCTACTTCAGTCTATGGCAACAAATTCCAGTGCAAGACAGCTAGTCGAAAGTTATCCACCATGCGCTGCAAACTATCCAAAAGCTATAGACGCATTGAAGGCTAGATTCACAAGAGACGATGTCTTAATAGAGACGTATGACAGGGGCTTATTAACATTAATGCAAGATAAAAATCAATTATCTAACTCTAGTGACCTGCCTGCGCTGTATGATAAACTCCAAACGCATCTCCAAGCACTGGAGACTCTTGGAGTAACAAAAGATAAGTACGCTTCAATCTTATTTCCTATGGCAGAGTCAGTGTTGCCGGAAGAAATACTACGCGCATAGGTACGCGAACAGGCATAGGTCCGATAATAACAAAGGACTCTCTGAACTTGTCGAATTTTTAAGACAAGAGGTAGAATCGGAAGAGAGAGAGTCCAATTAGCTCGACAAGGTTTCACTCTAACGCCAACAACATCTAGTGAACCAAAGTCCCCTACTATATGTTTCATGTCAGAAACAAAAACACAAACAAAAGAAAAGCGTAAAAGTTCCATAATATGCATATGGTGTGATAGGGATTCGCATGGTAGTTCAGAATGTTATAAGGCGGCGAGAATGACTTTAAAAGAGAGAAAAGAGTTTGTTAAATCGAAGAAAGCATGTCCAATCTGTTTAACAAATAATCATCATTTTATGAAGAGATGTAAAAGTTTCCCAAAATGTTTATTCTGTAAAAAACGGCATTTTACTATAATGTGTCCGGATATAGATGAACAAGGACAAAAGAAAAAGGAAATATGTGAGAATGAGGCGAACAATTTATTATGTCAATTAAAGCCTACAACATTACTACAAACCGTGGTAGTGGTAATTAAGTTTGGGAAATAAAAGGATTCCTGTCAGAGCTCTTATCGATAGCGGGGCTCAAAGATCATATATCAAAAAAGATGTTGTTCGAAAATTGAATTTAAAGTCAACTAGAAAAGAGCGAATAACTCATTGTTTATTTGGCGGCATAGAAACGAAAACCGAAGAACGTGACGTTTTTGACATAAGTGTTGATAGTGTTACTAATGACTTTAGTTTGAATTTATCAGTTTTAGAACAACACAACATCTGCGGTTTTTTACCTAAAATAAGATCGTCTGTAATAATTGAGCAACTGCGAGATAAAGGTATCATTTTGACTGACAAAGTAGACTCACCTGATGACGTAAGCTTATTATTTGGAGCCGACTTCTCTGGAACTTTACTGACCGGTGACATAATCCACTTAGAAAACTTGACCGCTATAAAAACTAAATTAGGATGGACAATTCAAGGACCAACTACTGGTATTTATAGTTCTGTAGTTACAATGACAACAACATTACATTGTTTAACAAAAATTGACATTTCAGATCTATGGACATTGGAGACTTTGGGTATTACAGATCCAGTAGAACAAAGTAATAAAATTCAACAGGAGTTGAAGGTTTTACAATCATTCCAACAGTCAGTAAAGATCAATGAAGAAGGTCGTTATGAGGTATGCTTGCCTTGGCATGACGTTCCTCGTCCATCTGCTAATTTTGAAGTAGCGAGAAAACGTTTAGATTCCACGATGAAAAAATTACTGCAATTAGGTAAGGTAGAACAATATGACACTGTATTTAGAGAATGGCTTGCACTAAATATTATTGAAGTAGCACCCAATCAAGATGTTAAAGGTCACTACATGCCACATCACGCAGTTATAAAGGAATCGAGTCTTATTACTAAAATACGCCCTGTTTTCGATGCGTCAGCAAAGGACAAATGCGGCATATCGTTGAACTCTTGTTTAGAAAAAGGCGTCAACTTACTTGAACAAATTCCTCAACTTATGCTTAATTTCAGAAAGGAAGCTATAGGTGTAACAGCAGTTATTGCTAAAGCATTCCTATAAATAGCAATAGTTCCGGACGATCGCGATTATCTACGATTCCTGTGGTGGTCTCATCCAAGTAATATGGATAAAACTATCGTCACTTATCGGCACAGACGAGTTGTTTTTGGAGTAGCCTCAAGCCCGTTTCATTTGATTGCGACTATAAATCATCATTTAGATCATTATCATGATCACCTGAAACAAACAGCAGAACAACTGAAAAATTCATTTTATGTTGATAACTGTGTGACCAGTTTACCATCAAAGGCAGCATTAGATAAATTCATCAATGAGTCGAAGGAACTAATGATAAACGGTAAATTTAATCTTAGAGGTTGGGTATCGAGTCCAATATTATTAGATAACAAGGTCGAAAATAGCTCTATACTAGGAGTACTATGGAATATAAATGGAGATAATCTCAGATGTAACTGCAATTCCTTAAAAAATATAGATGAGAAAATAACAAAACGATCGTTATTGTCTATAACACAAAGAGTTTTCGACCCAATAGGTATTGTATGCCCTACTACCATCATTCCAAAAATGATAATACAGGCGACATGGACATATAAACTTACCTGGGATGAAGAGTTACCTCAAAACCTTGCAAAAGATTTTAAAACATGGCTTAGTCAAGCTCACCTTATTAATGAGTGTGTAATACCTAGACGTCTCACTAGTTCACCCATAAATGAGAGTAAAAACTCATTACACGTTTTTTGTGACGCTAGTAACAATGCGTATTCAGCATGTATATTTCTACGCGCGGATTACAACGGGAAAATAGACGTACGACTAGTTATGGCGAAGGCTAGAGTGACACCATTAAAGAAAATTACTATACCTAGACTCGAATTAATCGCCGCGACGCTAGCGACCAGATTGGCTGCAACTGTAACAAAAACATTAGCTTTACAAAATTGTCCGGTTTGGTATTAGACAGATTCGAGCGTTGTACTGACCTGGATCAAAGGAGACGGTGATTGGAGTATCTTTGTGAAAAACAGAGTTAAAGAAATAAAAAATTCTTCCTCTTCTACAGCTTGGAGACATGTTCCTGGAGACAGCAACCCAGCAGACTTACCTTCTAGAGGCATAAATCCACAGAGGTTACTAGAAAGTAAATGGTGGGAAGGTCCTGCTTTTTTATTATTAGATGAAGAAGATTGGCCAAATGAGAAGTTTGGAATTGACTATAAAGAGGTAAATCAAGAAAGGAAAAAACATTGTATTCAGTCTATGCTTATTGAAGAAGAATTATTCTTAGAAAAACTCAGATATTTTTCAAATTATATAAAAATAGTCAGGATGATAGGTTGGATGTTAAGAATAAAAAGAAAACCAAAAACAACAGACTTGACTTACGAAGAGTATGAAAATGCTGAAAGAAAATTAATAAGAATAATTCAGAGTAGGTATAAGGATAATATAAATATGAAAAACTTGTTACTATTTACAGATGATAATGGATTATTACGACTGAAAACAAAAATTGATAAAGGAACTGAAAGGTATGATTTTAAATATCCTATAATACTCCCAAGTGAAGAGCCTATCGTACAACGTATGGTACAACAACGACATATTACTCTTCAACATGCAGGTGTACAATCACTAATGTGTAATTTGAGAGAGACATTTTGGATATATATAGGGTTACGAAAAATAACAAGAAAGGTTGTTAGTAATTGCATAAAATGCAAAAGATTTAAAGCAAAGAGTTGCTATGTTCCTACTGGCAGCTTACCAACAGATCGTATGGAGGCAAATATTGCATTTGAAACCACTGGCGTGGATTTAGCAGGTCCACTTATGTTACGATCAGAATCAAAGGTATGGATTGTCTTGTTTACTTGTGCTACATACCGGGCCGTCCATTTAGAGCTCGTCGAGTCCTTATCTACAAGAGATTTCATAATGGCGTTAAGACGGTTCACAGCACGAAGAGGTAGAGTAAAAACTATATACAGCGACAACGGTACCAATTTTAGAGGACTAGATAATTCATTCAATTCAATTCATTCAATACTCTTGATTTGAATGAAATATTGCAGTTTTCTACCATAACAAGGATCAAATGGAAGTTCTTACCTCCCAGCGCACCTTGGTGGGGAGGGTTTTACGAACGGCTTATTGGCACGTTGAAACAAATTCTTCGAAGAGTGTTAGGTAGAGCATCGCTTTCATTCGTCGAGTTGCAAACAATACTTTGCGATTGTGAAGCTACTATTAACAATAGACCTCTGACTTACATAAGCAACAGTCAAGATGAACTTCGAGCATTAACTCCATCTATGTTTATACAACCGCAGGCACAGTGTGAAGTAAGAGATTTAGATGAAATTGATAGCAAGTCATTGAATGTAAGAGCAAAACACTGTCAAAATATAAGAGACGCTTTCAGACAGCGGTTCAGAAAAGAATATATCAGTACGTTAATTCAACCTCGTAACAAGAAGTACGCTCAGCTACAGTGCGGTGTTGTGGTGTTAATAGAGATGGAGGATAACAGACGGATTAATTGGCCGTTAGGTATAGTGGAGGAACTTTATGACGGTACAGATCAATTCTCTAGAGTGGCCAAAGTTCGTACAGCTACTGGAGATAGAGTAAGGCCTGTTCAACGACTATTCCCATTAGAAATACGACACAATGTTACCAATAATCATGATAGTGATACATCTAATGGGACAATGACTGAACAAGACATGACAGAAGAAGTCCATGACAACACAGACTCTACGACACGAGTATTACGTTCACGTAGTGGTCGCGAATTAAGACCACCACGATATCTTAACGACTTCACATGTTAAATATTATCATTATGTATATTTCACATATCATTGTTCATCTTCCGGTTTTTCTCGCTGCGGACTGTGACGTATGCTTATTCTAAATTCGAATTGTCGCTAAGTAACATGAAAAAACTGATAAGTCAAATATTGTATATTCAGTTGCAAATTTTCTAATAAGTAATAAACACCTAAAACATTATTTGTAGTTATATTTGCAATAACAATTTGTTTTTTATCTACCACTCGTTCGGAAAGCTGTCTCATCACAAGAAGAACGAGCAAGAAACTTGTGTGTTGCTCTTTTAAACAATCCTTGTAAGTTTACATTTACAAGTCGAAACGTGTGAATACAAACTACCAACAAGCACAAATTTTTTGGGTCAAATATAATCATGCAATAAGATTAAATCAGTCGTAGTGATAAGAGCAGACCAGTCCCTACAAGCAGCACTCGTTCACGAGTATGACGGATGAGCCAGCCATCACTGCGCTCGACCATATTTTAGGGAGCCCATTGACCCGGCCCACCACGCCGCCACATGTCTGGACATTTTAGTGAGCATGACTACTCATTCCACACGACCACGTCACAGCTACAAAAATTACTATATGGTAGTTACAGTATTCGCACTTTACATAAGGATGCATGCGGCAATCAATACAAAAGCTGCTACGCTATCATATATCAAGAAAGCAGTATGAAAATTAAAATTATAACGTTGTCCGCAAATAAACTTATTCTTGCTATATATTGCTATCATCTATAAATTCATCTATCTTATAATAGGCTTTTTTACATAGCATTTGTTTAATATAAGATTTGAATTGCCTCTCTGTAAGATTTAGCGTAGACTCTGGCAGTTTATTATAGAATCTTACGCAATTACCATAAAATTAATTACTAACTTTGTGTAGACGGCATTTAGGTAAAATTAGCTTATTTTTATTGCGTAAGTTTCTACTTGTACAGTCTTTAAGTTTCTTGAAACTATCTAAGTTTTTCCTTGTATACATAATATTTTCATAAATGTACTGAGAGGCAACGGTGAGGATATTTGATTGTTTAAAGCATTGACGTAATGACTCTCTAGAACCCATACCATAAATAGAACGTATGGCTCTCTTTTGTAAAATAAATATAGTATTTATATCGGCAGCTTTACCCCATAGCAGTATGCCATATGACATAATGCTATGGAAATAACTAAAATATACAAGTTTTGCCGTCGCCACGTCTGTTAATTGCCTTATCCTTCTAATTGCATAAGCAGCAGAACTAAGTCTACTGGCTAATTTTGAAATATGGGGCCCCCATTGTAACTTCGAGTCCACTGTTATTCCTAAAAAAACTGTATCATTAACAAAATCTACTATTTCATCATTAAGCAATAGCTGCGTATTTACTTGTTTTACATTAGGCAGCGTGAATTTAATGCACTTAGTTTTGTTGGAGTTCAATAATAGATTATTACATGTGAACCAATTTAGTATAGCAGAGATAGCATAATTTACATCGTCTAATTGATTACATTGGCGACCAATTTTAAACACTAACGAAGTATCATCCGCAAATAACACTATATCTGCAACTTTCTCTACCATGTAGGGAAGGTCATTTATATAAATTAAAAGAGAAATGGGCCTAATATTGAACCTTGAGGAACGCCCATTTTTATATTAGTTCCCTTAGACTTTACACCATCAATATCTACAGTTTGCACCCTATCCTCTAGATAAGTTTTCATTAGACTTAGGTCATTATCTCTAATACCATAATATTTGAGCTTGTACAAAAGTGTTTCATGATCTACGCAATCAAACGCCTTCGACAAGTCACAAAAAACGCCGAGAGCATCCTGTGAGTTTTCCCATGATTCGAATATATGTGTAATAAGCGCTACACCTGCATCAGTAGTAGACTTGCCGGCAGTGAAACCATATTGCTGACTGTGAAGCAGTCCGTTATCCCTGAAGTATTTTAACATTTGGTTAAACATAATCTTTTCAAATACTTTACTTAGAACTGGCAAAATAGAAATTGGTCTATAGTTGCCTAGCTCAAATCTATCTCCAGATTTAAAGAGTGGAATTAATTTGCTAAATTTCATTAATTGAGGAAACACGCCATTATCAACACATTTATTGAAAATAGTAGCCAGATAAGGAGCAACAATATCTATGAATGAACTAAGTACTTTAATTGACATGTCCCAGAGATCTTCCGTATTTTTTAAATTTAACTGTTTGAATATTTTTATGACATGAAAAGGGCTGACATGTGAAAATTTAAATGTTAAAGAGTGTTATGTTTCCCGTTTCAACTTTTCGATGTTTTAATTTATACAAGTAACGTAAGGAGTTTTACAAGGAGTGTCTTCTTTATTATTGTATATATGTCTCACTGATATAGGGGTCCGATTGTATGTTGTGATTTGCTCAACATATTCTGTTAAAATTTAATTACATTACTTTTTAAATTAATCCACGTTATTTGAACAATAATTTTTTGTCATTTATATTCATATATTCATACTAATTCTAAAAATCGGCAAAATGTGTGTGATTTGAAGTATATAATAAGTTAATATCTAACTTCAATATATTTTTTTTACCCTAGTTTTCGTCGTAAGTTGGTAATATTAAAATAAAAGCAATAATTGCAGCATATTTTATAATTTTGCAAAGAAAGTGGAAACAATTGTTCATTATGATAAGGCACATAGAAACCAACAGTATTCCAAATTCTAGTGATATCTAACATGTTTTAGTCATATGGTATATGAATGGTTATATTATACATAAACTTATTTTTAATCAAATTTTAAGTTAATAATGTTGGTTTGACAGATTGCTATCCCGAAACAATCAAATGTTACATGTATTTCATGGAATCATTCATCTGGATACATTGCTGTTGGAGGAGAGGATGGAATGTTGAAAGTTTTGAAATTAGAATCAGGTAAGGAAACTTTGTTTTTACTATTTACTAGATAACATATCTATAGAAAATTAAAACAACATATCAATATTGATGTATATTAAAAAAAATTATGGTCTATTTGCTAATAAAAGCTCACATTAATTGCTGTTTCTATATTCATTATAAAAACTTTTTAATCTTTGACATAATAATCGAATTATTTTTTTTTAAAGGAGGAGGGGGAAACCTTTCTATGAATCTTAGCTTAGAAGGTCATACTGGTCAACTATGTGTTGCTATATGGAATGAGGTATTTCAAAAATTGACCACAAGTGATGAGCATGGTGTCATCATTGTTTGGATGTTGTACAAGGTGAGATTATCATTGGTTATTAAATATTGTCCTACCAGTTTATGAAGGAATCAAAAGTAGTCTTACAAGTTTTAATTGTTTCACATGAAATTATTATCAACTATGGGTCAGTTCAAACTTCACCCAGAAGAAGAATTTACATAACTCAATATTATTAGGATTAAGTACTGTAGGCATAAATAAATCATCTATACAAATAGCTACATAACAATAAATATATCACATTGAAATCATGAAAGTTACAGTGAAAGTAAGTTATCAAAACATACAAAAATATAATTTCAAATATTATACTTTGCCTTCCTGGTTTGGTTATCCTAGTGTCATAGTCCAGGTTAGTGTTAAAATTCCAGAACTAACTAGTAATTAACTAACTACTACTAACTATATTGGAATTACTCTTGAAGTTTATTTTAAGGGTTCATGGTATGAAGAAATGATAAACAACAGAAACAAGTCAACGGTAACAGGCATGGCTTGGGGTTCCGATGGCCAGAAGATCTGCATTGCATATGAAGATGGTAAATAAGAAATATTTTCCTTAGAGTGGAATCCAAGAGTAGAAATATATAGCAAGTTGCAAGCCATTCTCATTTGAAGTAAATTGAAATTGAAATTCTTATAATCTGTAACCATTTATAAGGTGCAGTTAATACCTTTATTTGCCATTAAATTAGTTCGTTCGTAAGATCCTGTTAATAATATAAATAAAGAATATGTTCACATGACACTAGTTTCGTTTAATATGTTTAAGGAGCTGTAATAGTGGGTTCAGTGGATGGTTCCAGAGTATGGGGTAAAGACATTAAAGGACCAGGACTAGCGGCTGTTCAATGGTCGCCGGACAATTCACTGCTTCTATTTGCACTAACAAATGGAGAGCTTCATTTGTATGATGATCAAGGAAATTTTACAGTAGGTTTATCATTATTACATAGTATAAAACGAAGTCACTGTCGCTGACAGTCCCTATGTATTCTTAAATCTTTAAAATTATGCAACGGATTTTGAAGCGGTTTTTTTAAATAGATAAAGTGATTCAAGAGAAAGGTTTATAATACATATCTATATACAGGTTTTAATACATGTAAACCCGTGCAAACCCGGGGCCAGTAGCTAGTATTTTAATATTTATAGAAATATCAAGTTTGGATACCTTTCACGGGCAATCTAGTTTAAAGGTACAAATAGCTTATAATAGAGTAAGTACCGGGGCGTCCTACTTTTAAAAGGAAGTTTGAAAATACTAATACCAGCACTTTGAATCAATCAAACAATCGAATTATTATGGGTCAGTAGGACAGAATGAAAGGAATAAAAAAACTCACTGGAATCAACTTCCAGCAATGGTATGATATTGAAACCTTCAAGAAAAGAGCTTATTTCTTCATAAAAGGCCGGAAACGTACTTGGAAATTTGATGTTGCGGGTGTTCCTGGGTGGCGGTAATTACTTACCATCAAGTTAGCCGCAAGCTCATTTCTTTAAAAATTTTGTATAAAAAAAACTTCAGACAAGACGAACTTTTGACTGAAATTGTGTATGTGTACCCTGTAATTAATCTGGCGAAACGATGGTGCACAGTACCTATAATAGATTTTTACATGTTTTAATATTTTCAGATGCCAGTGACAGTCAATGGTGTTGCGGGTTCTATGGAGGTAATATCAATGGATTGGTTTGCTGGAAGTGCACCTACTAATAGACCTGTGTTAGCAATATGCTACAGAAGTGGTTTAATATTATTGATGAAGAATTGTACAGAAGAAGGTATTTTCTCCTTAATTCATGTATTAAAATAAACATACACAACAGCATAGGTGTTTTTGTGACTTCATAGATCGAAGATGAGTTCACTTGAAATTATGTAATAAGCTGTGTACTTATATATGAAAGAATGGTTCTAAAATAATTTACAGGTCAATATGTAATAGATAAATGGTTATAACGCGTCAGTATTGTTTATGAACCTCAGTATATCACTAGCTAGAAAACTCACGAATTAGTGCGCTTGACCATAATCTCTGTTTTTGTATGATTTATATGTATGACTCATATGCTGCATATGCCTATGATATATTTTCGTCAGGATTTGATAAACCATTAAGTTGTGAAAATATTATAATTATTATTATTTCTTTGCCATTTTTATAGTTAGAATATGCATTTGTTACAGATAGCGTTGTTGTAGAAACTAATATGGTAGCTATTGATTGTCATTGGAACCATAACGGAACACTTCTTGCAGCAGCAGGAACGTCTGATCAAAGCAATGTAGTCCAGTTCTTCACTGCATACGGAGAGGTAATAAATAAACAATTATCGTTATAATAATTTGTACATTTATTGTTTAATTTAGTTTTAATATTCAGTGAGTAAAGTAATGAGTGTATAGTTGATTACCAATCCAACTATAAGATGTCAATTCAATTTGATATAGAATATAATTTCGTAGTTTTACATTTTGTGTCTATGGGTTACAGAACCGTATGGATAATAGCTACCTTAATTGTTATACGTATAAACTAAGATAATGAAATAAATTAAGAGTCGGTATTTCTGCCATGATGTATATTGTTTTTTTGAAAAAACCTATTTGAATTTTTAGAGTTGGTTTTAATCAAATAATAAAAAAACATTTATATACCCCTTAATATTTTAATAGCATATAAGGACACTACGCGTACCAGGCGGCACGTTGCGAGCACTCTCTTGGGAAAAACGGTCTCTACGATTAGCAATCGCAATTGACTCTTTCATATATTTTGCTAATGTCAAACCAGACCATAAATATGCATTCTATGGGAATACACTTGCTTTCGTGTCTGGAACTGAAACTGTCACGTTTTGGGACACGGATACTCATCAGGTAAGTTTGATAACAGAAATCAATTCGTCCCATAACGATTTACAATCCATTAATTTAGTTTTGAAGTAGTTTGGTTACTTGCTGTTTAAGTTTTAAGTTAAGTAAAATTACTATTAAAATAATCTAAAGATATGAAATGACCCAGAGCTTGCAATGCCTTTTGTTGATACTGCTTTTGGTGACTGATTTATTCTAGTTTTGTCTACTAACCGAATTATTTTATTCTATATTAATACCATTTACTGCTGGTATTTGTTCATAATATACAATCTCATTTGGAAAGAGTAATAGAAGATCTTTATGTCTCGTTTCTGATCAAAATACGTTCTTAACTAACATGATAGATTTGACTATCTTATACATCGGCAATAGAACTACATGACTAAATATATTATTGATTAATTGTTGTAATTTTAGTCTTGGATCAATCACATACCCGATGTTATTGACATGAGCGGTGTTAATGAATATTGCGTAATTGCAACACTAAGCACTCTTATAATATCCAATCAGCAAGGTATTCAATGTGATGGTTAGTATAATAACAAATTTATACAACATATATTTTATTATTTTGTACTTGCTGTATTATTACATGTATTTATTTCAGCTAAGCCAGTTACTATACCTGTATCATATGTTACGATTAATAGTAAAGCTATCGTCGTGGCCGCTTCTAAGGATTCCTTCTTAATTTGGAAATTTGCCACGCCCAGTAGACCAAGTAAGTTATTCGTACAAAAGCACATGTTGCCATAGCAAAAAAAAAAATTATTATTAGCAAAATATGCGTAAATTGTCTTATCTTCTATGAACCAATTTTCATGGTTGTGAAATGGTTACAAATTATGAGCCAATTACAAATTATTTTATTAATTAGCGTATTGCTTAAGAGTCATAAGAGTAGTCAACAATCATATTGTTGATTACTCTTACGACTCTAAACAATGTAGTTGGACATCTAAGTCTCTATTCTAATGTTGCACACTATCTTCCCCTAAACTCGACTGATGTTGTCGAATCCTTTTGTAATTAATTTGTAACACAAAATATGTTATTACAGCTATTACACTTTTGTAGTATTAATGACCGATATGATTTAGTTAATATATTATTTTATTTAGGAAGTACAGAGCAACTATACCATGCCGATGGAACTCCTGCTACATCTAATAACGATGTGGCATATCAAGATGATACAATATGTTGTATCACGTGTTCCGATAGTCATCTACTAGTTGGAAGGGATTCAGGAAATATAACACTCTTTTCATTAATTCATTTCAAGAAGATCACCGCCATTAATATGAACTCTAAGCCCTATAAAATTGGGCTTAATTCTAACTCAAGGTATGAATTTGAATAATTGTCTATCTTAGTATTGTCTACTAATTTTATCGCTTTATGAATAATGTAAAACTCACCTTTTAGTCTACATTATATGTGCACATAACTTCCTGGTAAGATTTATAGAAATTGTTAAAACTTGAATTTTCAGTAAATTTTATATAATCGATCAACCTGGCTCGCTATATCTATTGGACACAGACATGGCAAACAATATAAGCATCGGGCAAGCACTACGTAAAGATGTTTGGAGCGCACTGTGGGCAAGTGACAATCCGCAGATGTTGGCGGTGGCAGAGAAAGCTCGCCTCTACGTCCTGCGTGACTCCGAACCAGAAGAACCCCTCACCATGCAGGGTTACTTATGCAAATTTAAAGTACGGATTACAATAATTATATATCATCGCATTAAAATATACACCTTCAACCGACTTCAAAAAGGAAGTTCTCAGTTGAATTGTATTATATATCACCTATTCCGCATAACCCTGTGTAATAATAAATTCTGCCTTACTTTAGGTATTAATAGTTTACTATATACCACTTCAAAATGACTATAAATATTATAATTATTACGACTTAGCGCAGACACTCTCATTTACATTACAAGCATATTAGTGTAATTAGATACTTTTAATTATATTCCGTTAATTGCACTGATTTAAAAATACAATTACTAGAGCAGTTTCATATCACCCTTTATATACTTTATATATAACTACATTTCAAGTGATTAAGAATTATAATGGTAAATTTATTTATCCAATAAATTATTCATTAATAAGAAATAATTTATTTTTATGTAGGAACTGGAGATAACAACAGCACTTTTAGACAGCATAACTGATAAATGTACTCCACAACATGTAGTGCGAATTGAGGTGAAATCTTTAAGAGATACTCGACAACTTATAGAAAAAGTTGGTTTGAAAGAAGCAGAGAATTTTATAAAAGACAATCCTCATCCACAGTTGTGGTAAGCATAAACTAAAGCTTTAAATTTAAATGTATAAGTAAAATGTTAAATCACTGATAACTATAGCTAGATAGCAACTTTTAAAAGGACGAGCACAATAGATCTATGTAGGTCGCAGTACTCCAGTTCCATGCACCTGACAATAGAACAAACAACCCATTAAAAATAAAAAATAGATGCCTACAGCAAAATATGTTTCACTTATTTCTTGTCTGTCAGCAGCCTTCTTATTTCTCTCTAAATCTAATCTGAAATCCATACATAAATGAATCTCTTATTCCTTCGTCACTGTAGCACCCGTGAACAGCTGTACGGATTTCGTTTATTTTTATTGTTGTTTATTAATCTCAGAAAAGAGTAATAAAAACGTAAAAAATGAAAAATTTACGCGATTTGTTTTTACCAATGCTAATCTCATTATTTATAGTTAAGACAGGACAATGCCCGGGTCAGTTTAAAATATTTATTTATAAAATAATTGTTTTTAATGGAACCACTCTAAATACGATATACTTTCTTTATTGTTAAGTTTAATAATTGCAGGTTATTACTAGCAGAAGCAGCGTTGAAGAATTTTGAATCTGAGTTGGCGCTAGAGACGGCCGAGGCTGCATTTGTGAGACGAAATGACTACGCCGGTATAAGATTTGTGTCACGTTTGAATCAGCTACATTCAAATGCCCTTAAAAAAGCAGAAATACTTGCTTATTTCAAAGATTTCGACGGTGCTGAAAAGATATACCAGAATGAAGACAGACGGTTAGTTTCTGTATTTTATTAAAAAAAAAATGTAAATTAACAGTAAATATAAATCAATTTTAGGTGTCGCTGCAGTGTCTAATTATATTATATTGTATTTCGGCAGCGTTCTTGCATAAGTACCTAATAAACATAGTAACTTAATTAAATTCCCGTATTATATATAGTCATAGATTATAATGCAAAATGAACATAAATTAAAAATATAATATTTTAGTGCATTTACTTCGATGCCATTTTCACGTTCTCGTTAATTTTCAGTGATCTGGCTATAGCCCTTCGCAAACGTTTGGGTCATTGGTTTCGTGTGGTAGAACTACTGAAGATGTCGCCTAGTACAGTGGACACGCAAATAAAGCAAACATATAGCAACATCGGCGATTACTACATTGACCGACAGAATTGGTATATATATTTTTTCTTTTCTATGTATATGAATAATTTAAATAGTGATTTTTATTGATTTGAGATGTTTTAGACAGTACAACTTTTTGGAAATCCCAGGAATATACCGTATTTTAAAGAGAATTATTTTGTTGTTGTGTGATTACAGAACGAAATTAAATAGAATAAAAAAATAATACTTATGTGTTACTTGTTATTTTTTAAACTTATTTGTTTAATTTGCAGTGTTTTGTGAGGGCCCTAGTCATCATGCATATGTTGTTTTTACTCAATAGCAGTAGTCTATTGGAGTATTTGTTCGAATAGCACCGAAATTACCTTTGAAAACTTATAGTTTCTGGAGCCTTACAAAAAAAGCACCTGAATAATGTCACCATAATTCCGCCATGTGCACCTTTATTTGTGTATCTGTGCATTAAAGTTTTAATAAATAAATAATTGTTAATTTTAATTTACAGGTCAGGTGCAGTAGAATACTATTTAATGTCAAATAATACCGATGGATTAAAAAAGTGTTATATGGCTTTGGAAGATAATGAATCTTTGTCTAAATTATACACTGGATCTTCTAAATATAAGGTATTGTTGAATGACTTGTAATATATGTAGACGCTAGATAATGAAGGAAAGTAATATACCCAATAATAGTACCCAACATAGTCTAATATTATAAATGTAAAAGTTTGTGATTATGGTTGGATGGATGCATGTTTGTTACTATTTCACGTAAAAACTACTGAAAGGATTTTGATGAAACTTATATTATTGTAATATAGCATCGAAATAACAGATGTAAATTTCAAGCGGGTACAACTAGTGTACAATATTTTTAGTTACTGCAAAGCAATTTCGGAAAAAACCTCAAGAATTAACATATTATAATCGACGCCACATTAATGTAATTTTTATGAAATGGCACAAAAGATCGACCTGATAGTTGGTATATGTACATATATCATCATCTGTGGTACTCTTTGTAGTACCTACTCTGACTCGTTAACATAGGCGCATGGACAGCCTACGCTATGATTTATCACTAATTATAACCTACACCACGGCACTTCTAATTTATATTTAAAAAATCCAAATATTTTTCTAAATAGGATGGTACGACTAAACAAAACACAGTGGATGAAATTAGCGACAATTTGAATCAAACACCTTCAATTCAAGGTATTGTACAGTTAAAAGAGACTGGAAGGATGTTGCAAGCGGCAACGATGGCGTTTCAGGTAAGTGTATAATGTTAATCGTGTTTTTTTACACACAATTCAAAGTTTGTTTCATTTTTCATAGCTTTACATCTAAATAAATACCGGCGAACCAAATGTCGCAAACGTCTTGAATAATATTTCGCAAAGTATTCGCCGGTTTGGATCCAGTTTTTGACGATTAGTTTACTTAACGACGTTATATTTTTCAGTTAGCTAATGACGAAGCATCTAAAAAGGCGTCACCATTACGAATCAAGAAACTTTTCATTTTGGCAGGCCATTTGTATAGTCAAAATTCTGTTGGTAATTATGTTTTAATACTACTTGCACTGCCACGACCTTTCACTTTCAATTTTTATTTTCTTCGGTAAACAGGTGCAATTTAACCTTAAATATCTGTAGTATTGCCTGTCTATGCCTGTCTGTCCAAAAGGGGCAATGATAATTTGCTTTTTGCTAATCTTTTTAAGCACAAAAATCTGGGATAAACTTGGAATGCACGTGTATATTTCTTTTTTCTAAAAAATCTTTGACTTGACTATATTTCAATATAAAAGTCATATTACATAACATTTAATGAGTGCAATAATACATATAGAGCAAGAGCCCACGACTGCCAGACATACGTCATTTTAATAAACGTGAAAGTTCTTGTATGTGTGTCCCCAACACAGGTAAGAACGATCCCCAAATATGAAACCTGGATCGTGGTTCCTTTGGCAGGTACCAGGTAACAAAGGTGTAAAAAAAATCATACCAAATTCGTTATTTTAAGAAACTCCATATTTTCATATATTGTTCGTAGCACTATTATAACTTGCGCTGCTCATTGCCAGACACGTAGTGTGGTTCCAACCCCCGCCGGACCCCTAAACTATACTATTTTAGAAATAAACTTACGTCATTTTAATAAAGCTGAAATTTATATATATTATTGAGAGTTCTCTCAAACTGAGTTTCCTAAATTGCCAGACAGTTTTCTTGGTTCCTTATCATACCAGACTCATTGAAACCGTATATTGGGTAACAACGGTGTATACAATTTCATATCAAATTCGTTATTTTAAGATGCTCCATTTTTTCACATATTGCTCGTAACAGTATTATAACTTGCTCTGCTCATTGCCAGACCCTTAGTGTGGTTCCAACCCCCCGCCGGACACCCCTAAACTATACTATTTTGTAAATAAACTTACGTCATTTTAATAAAGCTGAAATTTATATATATTATTGAGAGTTCTCTCAAACTGAGTTTCCTAAATTGCCAGACAGTTTTCTTGGTTCTTTATTCCACCAGAATCATTGAAACCGTATATTGGATAACAACGGTGTATACAATTTCATGTCAAATTCATTATTTTAAGATGCTCTATTTTATCACATATTGTTCGTAGCATTATTATAACTTGCGCTGCTCATTGCCAGACACGTAGTGTGGTTCCAACCCCACGCCGGACCCCCCTAAACTATACTATTTTAGAAATAAACTTACGTCATTTTAATAAAGCTGAAATTTATATATATTATTGAGAGTTCTCTCAAACTGAGTTTCCTAAATTGCCAGACAGTTTTCTTGGTTCCTTATCATACCAGACTCATTGAAACCGTATATTGGGTAACAACGGTGTATACAATTTCATATCAAATTCGTTATTTTAAGATGCTCCATTTTTTCACATATTGCTCGTAACAGTATTATAACTTGCTCTGCTCATTGCCAGACCCTTAGTGTGGTTCCAACCCCCCGCCGGACCCCAATAAACTATACTATTTTATAAATAAACTTACGTCATTTTAATAAAGCTGAACTTTATATATATTATTGAGAAAACTATTAAACTGAGTTTCCTAAATTGCCAGACAGTTTTCTTGATTCCTTATCCTACCAAACTCATTGAAACCGTATATTGGGTAACAACGGTGTATACAATTTCATATCAAATTCGTTATTTTAAGATGCTCCATTTTTTCACATATTGCTCGTAACAGTATTATAACTTGCTCTGCTCATTGCCAGACCCTTAGTGTGGTTCCAACCCCCGCCGGACCCCCCTAAACTATACTATTTTATAAATAAACTTACGTCATTTTAATAAAGCTGAAATTTATATATATTATTGAGAGTTCTCTCAAACTGAGTTTCCTAAATTGCCAGACAGTTTTCTTGGTTCGACAACGATCAGAGCAAGTTATAATACTGTTACGAGCAATATGTGAAAAAATGGAGCATCTTAAAATAACGAATTTGATATGAAATTGTATACACCGTTGTTACCCAATATACGGTTTCAATGAGTTTGGTAGGATAAGGAACCAAGAAAACTGTCTGGCAATTTAAAACTCAGTTTAATAGTTCTCTCAATAATATATATAAGGTTCAGCTTTATTAAAATGACGTAAGTTTATTTATAAAATAGTATAGTTTAGGGGGTCCGGCGGGGGTTGGAACCACACTAAGGGTCTGGCAACGAGCAGAGCAAGTTATAATACTGTTACGAGCAATATGTGAAAAAATGGAGCATCTTAAAATAACGAATTTGATATGAAATTGTATACACCGTTGTTACCCAATATACGGTTTCAATGAGTTTGGTAGGATAAGGAACCAAGAAAACTGTCTGGCAATTTAGGAAACTCAGTTTAATAGTTCTCTCAATAATATATATAAGGTTCAGCTTTATTAAAATGACGTAAGTTTATTTATAAAATAGTATAGTTTAGGGGGGTCCGGCGGGGGGTTGGAACCACACTAAGGGTCTGGCAATGAGCAGAGCAAGTTATAATACTGTTACGAGCAATATGTGAAAAAATGGAGCATCTTAAAATAACGATTTTGATATGAAATTGTATACACCGTTGTTACCCAATATACGGTTTCAATGAGTCTGGTATGATAAGGAACCAAGAAAACTGTCTGGCAATTTAGGAAACTCAGTTTAATAGTTCTCTCAATAATATATATAAGGTTCAGCTTTATTAAAATGACGTAAGTTTATTTATAAAATAGTATAGTTTGGGGAGGTCCGGCGGGGGGTTGGAACCACACTAAGGGTCTGGCAATGAGCAGAGCAAGTTATAATACTGTTACGAGCAATATGTGAAAAAATGGAGCATCTTAAAATAACGATTTTGATATGAAATTGTATACACCGTTGTTACCCAATATACGGTTTCAATGAGTCTGGTATGATAAGGAACCAAGAAAACTGTCTGGCAATTTAGGAAACTCAGTTTGAGAGAACTCTCAATAATATATATAAATTTCAGCTTTATTAAAATGACGTAAGTTTATTTATAAAATAGTATAGTTTAGGGGGGTCCGGCGGGGGGTTGGAACCACACTAAGGGTCTGGCAATGAGCAGAGCAAGTTATAATACTGTTACGAGCAATATGTGAAAAAATGGAGCATCTTAAAATAACGAATTTGATATGAAATTGTATACACCGTTGTTACCCAATATACGGTTTCAATGAGTCTGGTAGGATAAGTAACCAAGAAAACTGTCTGGCAATTTAGGAAACTTAGTTTGAGAGAACTCTCAATAATATATATAAATTACAGCTTTATTAAAATAACGTAAATTTATTTATAAAATAGTATAGTTTGGGGGGGTCCGGCGGGGGGTTGGAACCACACTAAGGGTCTGGCAATGAGCAGGGCAAGTTATAATACTGTTACGAGCAATATGTGAAAAAATGGAGTATCTTAAAATAACGAATTTGATATGAAATTGTATACACCGTTGTTACCCAATATACGGTTTCAATGAGTCTGGTATTATAAGGAACCAAGAAAACTGTCTGGCAATTTAGGAAACTCAGTTTGAGAGAACTCTCAATAATATATATAAATTTCAGCTTTATTAAAATGACGTAAGTTTATTTACAAAATAGTATAGTTTGGGGGGTCCGGCGGGGGTTGGAACCACACTAAGGGTCTGGCAACGAGCAGAGCAAGTTATAATACTGTTACGAGCAATATGTGAAAAAATGGAGCATCTTAAAATAACGAATTTGATATGAAATTGTATACACCGTTGTTACCCAATATACGGTTTCAATGAGTTTGGTAGGATAAGGAACCAAGAAAACTGTCTGGCAATTTAGGAAACTCAGTTTAATAGTTCTCTCAATAATATATATAAGGTTCAGCTTTATTAAAATGACGTAAGTTTATTTATAAAATAGTATAGTTTAGGGGGGTCCGGCGGGGGGATGGAACCACACTACGTGTCTGGCAATGAGCAGCGCAAGTTATAATAATGCTACGAACAATATGTGAAAAAATGGAGCATCTTAAAATAATGAATTTGACATGAAATTGTATACACCGTTGTTATCCAATATACGGTTTCAATGATTCTGGTGGAATAAGGAACCAAGAAAACTGTCTGGCAATTTAGGAAACTCAGTTTGAGAGAACTCTCAATAATATATATAAATTTCAGCTTTATTAAAATGACGTAAGTTTATTTACAAAATAGTATAGTTTAGGGGGGTCCGGCGGAGGGTTGGAACCACACTAAGGGTCTGGCAATGAGCAGAGCAAGTTATAATACTGTTACGAGCAATATGTGAAAAAATGGAGCATCTTAAAATAACGAATTTGATATGAAATTGTATACACCGTTGTTACCCAATATACGGTTTCAATGAGTCTGGTATGATAAGGAACCAAGAAAACTGTCTGGCAATTTAGGAAACTCAGTTTGAGAGAACTCTCAATAATATATATAAATTTCAGCTTTATTAAAATGACGTAAGTTTATTTCTAAAATAGTATAGTTTAGGGGGGTCCGGCAGGGGGTTGGAACCACACTACGTGTCTGGCAATGAGCAGCGCAAGTTATAATAGTGCTACGAACAATATATGAAAATATGGAGTTTCTTAAAATAACGAATTTGGTATGATTTTTTTTACACCTTTGTTACCTGGTACCTGCCAAAGGAACCACGATCCAGGTTTCATATTTGGGGATCGTTCTTACCTGTGTTGGGGACACACATACAAGAACTTTCACGTTTATTAAAATGACGTATGTCTGGCAGTCGTGGGCTCTTGGGCTAATAGGTAACAATATAAAGTATTTATGTACTTGCGAAGTGTAAGCAGCAGATACTAAACCAAAAACGTTTTTTACTGATTCACCTATACGTGTGCATTAGATATTTGTCAAACATACAAAAATAATAATTCATATGAATTTAAATAGTACATTTGCAGTGATCTCAGATACGTTTAATAATAAAAATAAGAAAAGTATAACTAAAACATTTAGAACAGATTTATATAAAATGTTTTAAATATAATTCTTACCATAGAAATTCTTCAAGTGTTATTTCCACAACAATGTTATTAATCGAAAAACGTCTTTGGTAAGTTTGGTTTTGGTAGGTCATAGGTAGATTCGGTTATCGTGCGATTACTTAGATACAGTTTGGTCATTATAGAAGGTGCTAAGAATCGCTTAGCTGTAAATAGCTACGGGCGCGGCTCGGCCCAGCACTGGCTGTGGGCGTGCGCGGCGCGGGCGCTGGCGGCGGCGGCGGCGGCGGCGGCGGGCGGCGCGGGGAGCCCCGACGCCGCGCTGCGCGCCGCCGGCCGGCTGTGCGCGCTCGTGCCCGACCTGCACCCCGCGCAGCACCCACAGGTACAGTCCGCCCGCTCACAGTTTGCGTTTCGGACAGGCCGGGATCGAATGGGCGATGTGACTTGAACTGACGTACAATTTTATTTTGGTTTTATTGACGCAGTTTTATTGTGGTTTGACTTTTTAAAACTATGTACGTACGTCAGTTTAAAGTTACATCGCCCATTCGATCTCGACTTATCAGAAACGCAAACTCTGAGCGCCCGGACCTTAATCTGTTTTCTTTTCGGACTACTTTAATGCTTTAGTTTATTTTAGTTTAGTTGTGGTAGAGCAAGCTGTACGATCACACGTGGTTGTTCAGCTCGATTGGGCCGCTCGAACCGGGAAATACCACACCTCGGCAGAAAACCGGCGTTAAGCGTTATCGCGTTTCGCATGGTGAGCTGTAGGTTCCGGATGCCCCTCCCCCTCCCCCTATCCCTTTCCTACTTCCTTCCCCTACCCACCCCTTTCTTACATACCATGGCAGCGGAATATAAGAGATTTTTACCCCAGGGTGGTACCAGTAACCGTGTTACTGGAGAATCCACCCCTGAGATATCACACTCAGGCTGCCCTGCGTATTCTGGGGTGGGCAATACTCCGCTCAATTTGGCCAACAGGAAACCGAGCAAATCTCCTTCGGCATTTCCCTTGCTCAGAGTCAGTTTTTGCAACATCAGGGGAATTCATTCCAATCTCAACGCCGTCCACCACCACCTAGAGACGGCGAGGCCGGCTTTGCTCTTCCTTACGGAGACGCAAATATCCTGTCCCGACGAAATTTCGTACCTGACCTACCCTGGATATAGATTGGAACACCATTTTATTCCACGGGCCGGTGTGTGCGCTTATGTCAGAGAGGATATTTGCTGTCGCCGTCTTGGTACACTTGAAGGTACTGACCTTTATGGTTGCGTGTAGATTGCGATGACCACCCCCGCATCTATGCATGCTTATACAGGTCCCATAGCGGTAACACCGAAACTGACCGACTCATTGAACACGTCCAAATGGCTACAGATTTTTTGCTCCAACAGATTCCCTCCGCTGAGGTCGTGATTCTTGGTGACTTTAACGCCCATCACGCTGAATGGCTCGGTTCACGTACCACCGACTATGCGGGGAGATCTGTTCATGGCTTTGCTTTGGCATATGGTTTGACGCAACTGATATCCTCGCCAACGCGAATACTTGATGTTGTTGACCATATACCTTCACTGTTGGACTTTCTGCTGACTTCTCATCCGGACTGTACAACCCAACACTAAACTCTGGACTACTACAGCGTCCTCTGGTGTGAATAAATAAAACAACCAGCGATGTTGGATTGCTGAACTTAAAAAGGGGTTTATTTTTACAAAATGGCGTACTATATGTACACAGTAATACAACGAAACCATATCGACGTCTACTTTTAACACAGCGCCATCTAGTATGTAGCTCGAGTACTAAAGCTTCTATATAAAATAACAAACTTATACATTCCGCCCACCAAGGACATGATTTGTCCTTCACACTTGGAGCCGCCCACCATGGATACGTAATAACAAATGTAGGGCAATAACATATTATAAACAACTAAACTATAGATAGTAGGGCTTAAAAAAAATAAACTAAATAATTAATTAACTAAAAATGAGTAAATCAACACTAACACTATAAAAAAAATAACAATTTACTCTGTAATAGGTAGTACACATAACTTTGAAGTGGGGCGTTTAATTAGTGAATTCTGATTCCTAATAGTAACTACCCGAGTGATGTTATCCATGCCTGGATGTTTAGCAACCACTCTCCCGAGCAACCATCGACAAGGAGGTAAGTCCTCTTCTTTTACTAAAACTACATCCCCAACGTCAGGTTCTGGTTTTTGATGTGACCACCTATACCGATGAAGAAACCGTGTAAGGTATTCTTGAGACCAACGCCTCCAAAAATCTTGCGTCAATCTTTGAACCAACTGCCACCTACGAAGATTAGATATGTTGGACCTTTCAAAGTTGTAATCTGTAGGAGCTAGTAATGGTCCTCCGATGAGGAAATGCCCTGGTGTCAAAACATTTATTGTATCCTGTTCTGAGTCTATTCTGGATAGTGGACGTGAATTTAAGCACGCTTCTATTTGTGCTAAAGTTGTGGACAATTCCTCGTAAGTTAAAATTAAATCTCCAACTATTCGCCTTAGATGAAATTTGGTAGATTTTATCCCGGCTTCCCATAACCCTCCAAAATTAGGAGAGCGTGGTGGTATAAAATGCCACGTAGTACCTTGTGTGGCTAGAATTTCGGCTACCTCTGTTGAAATTTTTTTATTCTCAGAAGCGAACAAAGTTCGTAATTCGCGCGAGGCGCCAACAAAATTTGTTCCATTATCGCTCCAAATATCTGTACATAAACCTCTGCGAGCAACAAAACGTCTAAAAGCCGCCAAAAACCCTTGTGTGGTAAGGTCTCCAACCAACTCAAGATGTATCGCCTTAGTGGCCATACATATGAATAGACAAATATATCCTTTTGTAGAATGATAACCGCGACCCTTTGTAGTTTTAACATTCACAGGACCTGCATAGTCAACACCACTACACTGAAAGGGTCTTCCTGGAGATACTCTAGCTGTAGGTAATTGACCCATTAATTGAGTAGAAGTAGTTGCAGAGTAGCGAATACATTTAACACACTTGCGAACATAGGCTTTAACTAAATATTTCGCACTCAAAATATAATATTTAGTCCCAATAAAGGACAACATAAGTTGTGGTCCTCCATGCAAAGTTTTCGTATGCGCATCAGCAATAATAAGTTTTGTAAATGGTGAATTTTTTGGCAATAATATAGGGTGTTTAGCATCTAAATTGAGTTGTGATTTTTCAAGTCGCCCACCTACTCGTAAAACTCCAGAACTATCAATAAACGGATTTAACGATTTCAGCGGACCCTTAACTGTACTGTACTCTATATTTTTATTAATCTGAGCTATTTCTTCATGGAAATTTTGTTTTTGGCAAATTTTTATGCAAGTTTTTAAAGCACCCGCCAATTCCTGTGTTGAAAGAAAAGTAGTACTCTGTCGCTGTTGTCCGGTACGTAGATTTAAAAAACGTTTACAGTATGATATTACTCGAATTAATCTTGTCAATGAATTGTATCGATCCCAAAGTGTAGTTTCAGTGACTGTTAGGTGTACTTTACTTTCTTCTAAATGTGTTGCAATATCCTTTGGTTTATTGTAATGCACCTCATGTTTATGTAAAAACTCCGGTCCGTTAAACCACATTGTATTTTGCCATAGATCTGATGGACTAACACCTCGGGACGCACAATCGGCAGGATTCTGACCTGATGTTATATGTGCCCATTGTTGAGAATCTAAAGTTGACAAGATCTCGGACACTCTATTGGCAACAAAGGTTTGCCATTTACTTGGATGGCTATTAAGCCACGCTAAAACCACCGTAGAGTCAGTCCAGGCTCGAATGTCTTTTTTAGGGATGCCTAAAACTTCAGCTACCTCGACCAAAAGACGTGTCACCAATACGGCACCACACAATTCCAATCTAGGGACTGAAATTTGTTTGATTGGCGCGACTTTGGTCTTAGCAGAAACCAAAGTGACATGGATATTACCATGTTCGTCTGTTAATCGTATATAAACGGCTGCTGAATATGCTATCTTCGACGCATCTGAGAAGCCATGTAACTCGACTCGTGAAGATGTGAATTTAGTTCCGAACCATCTCGGTATGTTAATTTTTGTTAGCTCCGACAAGCCTGTGCGGTAAGTATGCCACTCATTAATTATATTATTTGGAACTTCATCATCCCAATCTATTCCCAAGATCCAAAGCTTCTGAATTAATACCTTTGCTATAATCACGCTAGGGGCTGCCCAACCCAGCGGATCAAATAATCTTGCTATTTCTGAGATAATCTTTCTTTTTGTTACAGGTCCAGACACCGGAGGAAGATTCACCGAATATTGAAAGGTATCTGCTGAACGATTCCAGGTAAGTCCTAAAAGTTTAACTACTTCATCTAACTTTATCTTCAACCCTTCCTGTGCATGTTCATTTCCCTGCTTTATTTCATTTAACAAATCTTCACTGTTAGTCATCCATTTTTGCAGTTGAAATCCACCTTTTTGTAATAGTTGATTCATTTCTTGATAAATAATAACACCTTCTTCAACAGTATCACAGCCTGTCAGAAGATCATCCATGTAGAAGTCGTTTTTTACTCTTTGAACTACACTTGGACAATTATCGCCTTCATCTAATGCAACTTGTTGCAGTGTCCTTACAGCTAGATAAGGAGCAGCAGCCGTACCAAAGGTAAGTCTTTTTAATCTATAATCTTCAATTGTTCCATTTTCATTATCTCCCCATAGTACTCGCTGATATTCTGCATCTTGTTCGTACACCTTAATTTGCCGATACATTTTGTTGATATCAGCAGCTAAACATATCTTATATATTCTCCACCGCATGATTAAATGGCGCAACTCTGGCTGAAGTGTTGGCCCTATCATTAATAACTCGTTTAATGATACACCATATTCATTTTTTGCAGAAGCATCGAATACTACGCGAACCTTTGTTGTATCTTTGGCATTATTTATCACTGCATGATGAGGTAAGTAGAAACTTAATCTATTTTCTTTTTCTGTTTCTGGTATCCTTTCCATGTGCTCTAGATGTAAGTACTCCTTTATAATCTCTGTATACTTTTCTTTCAGTGTCTCATCTCTATTTAATTTCACCATTAATCTCTTCAATCGTTTTGTAGCTATATCTCTCGAGTTTCCGTTAATATATTGCAGATTTTCAGACTTAAATGGGAGTTTGACAATATATCGTCCCTCACTGTCTCGTTTTGTAGTTTCTTTATATAGTTGTTCACAGAGTATTTCTTCTTCTGTCAAGATTCGTTTTAAAGTATAAGGATCACTTTCAATTTCCCAAAATTTTTTAAGGTAATCATTCTCATGCGTACATAAATGCAAGGCTGTAACATTAGTT